AAAGTTGCCGTCGGCAAATTTGAATACAAAGTTGAAACTTACTTTTGTACAAAAATTTCGAGTAATCACAATCCATGTTGCATTTGTGTGAAGCTCCAGGATTATATTGTTGTTACTGCTGCTGTTGCTCCACTTGGTTGTTCAAAATTGAAGTGTTGGGAACTCGAGCTCGAAGTCGAAGTGATTTATTGATCGAGTGCTGATTAAGTATTCACCGCACCTTCTTCGGTGCCGGTTCTTGGACTTTGCAGAGATAGAGGAGAACACAGCTGCGGTAGTTTCTTAGAAAACACCGATCTATTAGAGGTTCTAACCGCACTAACCATTTTCCACATTCGATTGGGACGAGTCTCGCGATATCTTTGGGACGAGTTACATGACCATTGTGTCATAAGCCCGGTTTTTTGGTTTCAATTTGCGTTTATTTATTTTGTTTATGATTTTTTGTAGTTTGTATTGTATTTCTCTGCTGATTTGTATTTCTTCTTTCCGGGGGCTTATTGGTGGCGAATCATCTGTGCACTTTCGAATGTTGATATCGCTGCTTATTATTATTACACGGCTTGTCATTACTGCAATTTGAATCCATTTTTAAATAAGTATAACATATCGCATTTTTATTCTTATAGCTGTTTTGCTTGCGACCTCTTATTTTCTGGTATTTACACAGTAGTAACACTTACAGATACAAAAAAAATTGCAGGTGCCTTTCGAATCTAGCCGATTCTTTTCCATATCGCAGCATCTATCAATATAGATGCGTGTTATTAAAGTACTTGAAAGTGATATCCCTGTATGTTGAAATCTATCTTACTTCGGCTAGACTCTCAGTGACTGAATTTAACGCTTGGTTTTATAAATGCACTGGGGAAAAACAATAACAAAACAAAACTACAAAAAAAAAACAGGGAAAAATGTGCTGAGTAGGTTAGGTATTATTGTTATTATTAGGTGGGTAGGTTGGCTTGTTCGAAGACGTTGTTGAGGTGTTTTTTGAAAGTGGGTGCAACAGTTGTGCAGCTATCAGCGCAAATGAATCTCTGCGGTGATTCATAAGCTGTCAAGTAAATGCACAAGAAAAAAAATGTAAAACAAAAAATATAGAGTGGCCGAAAAAGCGCTCCGAATTACCTGCGCATTAACAATAACGGCGCGAATCGGGATACTACACTACTATGCACTCTCTAAGTTACACACACCACACACACAACACACACACGCACACTCGGACGCGAATTTACACTGGCATACATGAAATGCAATTATTATTTTCTTTTCCACGGTCTGTTTCAGATCCGGTTGCAGCTTATGCGGAGCTAATTAAACTAAACTTTGTTTACCCAACAGGAACCCGTCGTAGGACCATACCCATCGATACCATGCGATTCGATCCAAGCTATTTATAAGCAATTTGTCATTTGGAGACAGACACGATGGTTTCCTTAAACTTTGCGCTTATTTTTACCGGCACTCTGTTTGGACTACTTGTACACCGAAGATAAAACATATCCGACGGATAGGGAATGGAAATCGTCATTAAAAAAAACCGCAATTCTATTATATCGTGTGTGTTTGCTGCTGCTTCTGGTGGTGCTGCTGCTTCTGCTTCTGCTGTTGCTATTCGTTGTTTGTGTTGTTGTTGCGCATTCGGTTTTAATTTTAACTAATGTTAACTAGCTCTCGCAATCGAAATAACACAGACGCAAACGATGGCATAAACAGAACTACCAATGAGAAATTATCTCAAAATGTATTTCAGGCGAAAAGTAAAACAGTAAAAGCTCCTCTCATCGAGCATTCGCATTCGCACTCGCATTCGACCGACAAACCAACCGACCGACCAGCCGAACGAACACCCGAACGACCACCGCAACCGCCCGGAACCCGAATTCGAACCCGAACAGAACGGCAGAAGCAGAGAAGAGCGGAAAAAGTGAACGAGCAGGCGTACATATGAGTAGAAACTGACGGCGGCAACAGCACTACCATTGCCGTCGCGCCACAAGAGCCAGAACTGAGTAGAGCACCGGAGTACCCCCCACCCATGCCCACATTCACATCCTCATCCATATCCACACCCAAGGGGGTAAGCGCAAAACGGCCGTGGGCCAGGGCGCTGGGGGGTGGGGGGTACATTCCTGCAGCCTCAACAGATTGTTGGATGCGCGTGTGACCATTTACCGCCTGGTTATCGAAGCTCCAACGCAAAACACTCGACGGAAAATACCCGTTTCGGTATATTTTTATTTGTTTATCAAGCGACTTCGTTTGAAGTTTGAAGTTTCACTTTGGCGGGCAGTCTGTTTTCTATCTTGGTAATGCCTGCAAGACACTAGATTGACTTGGTGACACATAAATCGGTTCGGTTAAAACTGATTTAAAATTCGAAATTAATAATTTCAGGAGTTAAAAAAAAAATATTTTCTTTTTGTTAAAAAAAAGGGCAAGGTTACACTTGATTTAAAAAAGTTAAAATGTGTTTTAAACTTGTAGTGCTAAAAAGAAAAATTAGGGTTCTTAAGTCTTAAAAAAGCATCTAATTAGTCTCTAACTTCTTATTATAGCACACGTTTTCAAACTGCAGAATCCTGGACTCATAATAAAGCACCCAATTTTCCAGCAGATTGCGCTTTGAACTGTATTGGAGAATTCTTTTGGATAACTTGGAAAACATACATACATAACCAAAGCGTGATGACCAAGATAAAAAAAATATACAATATCAGGGGTCGAATATTTTTGAATATTTATGATAAACGTTAAGTACACTTTAAGGAATTCAATTCGGGTACAAATACTATTTCGAGTCGGTTGTTTCTTGAGGCTCTCAGTGTGGTGATTTCCAGGTTTTACTCTACGGCCATACTGCCAAAAAACATAAGCAAACCTCTACATTTTATATGAATGAGACACCTTAAAATAAAACAAATAATAAAACAAATAAAATAATACCTTAGAGTAGTAATTTATGTCGTAAAAGATAAAATTCTTAATTCCAAAGAATTAACCAATTAATTCTAATATTTGACTTAAAGTGTTGTCTAGTTATTACCTATCGAGTACAGACCTATTCCCACCCAGGATCCTTTTAACACATTGCAAACTTCCTTTATTGACAAGACAATTATATTATACCTTAATTAAGATGTGTAAATAATTAATAAACACTTCGTTCAGAAATATTTCAATTTTTTTTTGGTTAAAGAATGATGTCAAAAATCTTATCAAAATGGAGCGACACAATTTTTTTTTTAATTACAGTTTTTTTGGTGACCAGTACTGAGCCTAGTTGTAAAAAAAAGGGTTCGGAAGACTTTATGGAGAAAACATAGCTGAAGTAAATGAAAGGAGAGGCATAGAGAGTAGAACAGCGCAAATGCGAGAGTGGTCGAGTGAATGTTTACAGCGCATGAATTAATCGTCGTTTAAGCTGCTAGCCTCCATGAGGTGTACTCATAGATGTGCCGAATCGAGTCGGATTGAGTGTGGAAAGACTTTATTATCAAACACGGTGCAGTTGCAGTTTACATTTACTTTGAAGCGGGAAAAGCGCGCGCGCAATATTGGGAAAAGCTGAGCTGAATCAGCGTTGACAGGAAAAGCTCTTAGCTTATTTCAGCTAGGACTGGGTGCATTGAACCTTCAGTTCACTTGACAGGTGAACCAAACTGGTTATACCTGAGCGCTAGTGACTGTTTCGCTATCGGGTCTGACCGATCTATTGGGATTATAGAAATTTAAATGATATATGATTTTTTTTTGCCAGACCCTGATATTTTTGTTCCGAAATAAAGGTAGATCAAATTTATCCAATCTTTGGTACAATAAAATATAATTCTTTAGTATAATTTAATGTGATAGATTTGATGTGCAAGAAATGTACTCAAAACCAAAAAAGGCGTTGAGCGATAGTTTAATAGTTTCCGTAAAAATTACTCATACGACATGTAATATCGGTGAAACATTTTTTGATCGAAGGCAACTGTGCGTATGAGGGATAAACGTATTAAAATAAATTCTTTATGGTATGCCTTAAATGCAGCAAAGCGCATAGTTAAATCATGTGAGAGTGGAACGATAAAATAGTGAAGATTTGTACAAATTTGTTCTAAAAAAATACGCCTTAAAGTTTATTACTCATACGTTCCGTTGTCTCTAAATAAATAATTTATTTTTATCCAGGTGGCGTAGACTTGGATTTTTTCAACCAAGAAATGTTTTTCTAGTTCTACTTTGACTCTTGTTTAATACGCTCACTGGGCTAGAATTTTAAGAAAGATTATTTTTGAATAATATTCTAACTGGCATGAGTAATTTAAATGGAAACTTCAAGACAACGCCTAAAACAAAGAAAAAAAATTATTTGGATTTCTAATAAACAACCCTATATTTGTATATACATATAGTATTCTCATTTTAAACATAATAGAGTGATTATTTCCTATAATATTTGGATTTAGGTTTCATTAATAGTTTACCAACTGCTTTGGCCTGCATTATTGATTAATATCTCCTCTCTCTAGATTTTTTTATTCTAAAATATTTTTATCAATCTTTTTGCTATATCAGTGCGAAAAGATCAAATAATTTAATCTTTCTGTGGTCATATCCTCCGAAGTAAAAACACTATTCATAATTTTAGTATGGTAACTGTTTTCGCAACAGCGGCGACGGTGTGAATGCTCTGTAAAAAGATTTGCTAAAATTCATCAGATCGAATTGATCGATTTCAAATATAGCTACAAAAAACTGTCAAAGATTAATCTAAGCAAATATATAAATATACAAAACCCATGCATTACTTTTTAAAGTTTAGTTTTTGTTTTCAACATATTTTAAAGAATTCAATATTAATCCATCAATAGGGAGGCAAAATACTTTTGGGACGGTGAAGTGTATCATAGACACTATAGTTTTTTAACTCTTTATAAAAGTAACGTAATATCGGATTGTTCTAAGCCAGCGATCACCACGGCTCTATCTGTGGGCTGAGCATCAGCAGAGCTCCGGCAGAGCTCACACAGAGGAACTGCGAACATGGCATAGTATGTGTGGTGACCACTGTTCTAAGCAATTGTTCTAAAAGCAATCGATAGTTCTAAGAAGAGCCGAGATCCGATACTTTCTATAGTGCGATCGATATTTGAACTGCCCTGGAGTATGACAATTAATTATTATATATGTATATATGTAAGTAAATATACAATAAAAAAAGCCCCAGCCCGAACGCTATCCTACAGAGCATTTCACCACAGCATATAATGGTGGGAAGTTTTCGGAACATCCTTATCTTATCGTGCAAGGTGGACACGAGACGAGCACTAATCAGAGGAGAGTATTGCTAACTCACAATATTATTGATAAACAAAGCTGAGGCCAGCGACACACGCGCACTTAAGGAGACCCACAGAGAAGAGACCCAATTGCGGCCATGTCCGAACCAGGAATCAGAAAGCTGAGTCAGGAGCGGACTCGCGAGTGGCTGGCCAACCAGGCGGCCTCTGCGGAGGAGGAGGAGCTGGAGTCAATAGCGGAATCATCGGTCGTGGACAGCCTGGACTATGAGTACACCGAGTATGGGCAGGACGATGAGGATGCCGACCAGAACACCAGCGAGGAAATAAGCACCATGACCCTTGGCACGCAGGTCGGTGAGTAGAGTGCACCTAATTTCCGTACCGATTAATCATTATATCCTCTATATCACAGCCTCGAAGAAACACTCAGTCATCAGCGACACAATTCGCGACCTGATGAACTCGATCAACAGCATTCAGACTTTGGGCAACGTGAACATCAGCAACTCAACGAATGTCCATATCGGCAATGTGACCAATATCAATGGCAACATACAGATCATAGCTGATGGTCTTGGCCAGTCGCGAAGAGATCGCCGTAACGTGTCGCCCCCGAAAGCTCCCGCTCCGAACTCTAACACGCAATTCGACGAAGATTACCAGGACGAGTCAGAAGAGAGAGTACGTCCAGATGTATTTATTAGACGCCAAAGTATGTTTTGATACAGCAAAGTATCCATTCACTCAGTCACGATGAGATACCGATCTTATTTACAGGATTCAAAATACCGAAGGAGCTGTGCTCCATAATTCCACGACATTCCTGGCTAGCGCAAATGCCCATGGAAGATCCGATAAATTTGCAGCTACCCGTTAAATATGTGGTCATCTGTGAGTAGTTAAGCAAATCATAAGCCCGAAATTTAGTCTTAAACAAGAAGAACAAATAATAATCCTAAATTTTTTAATTGAGTAGCGTGCTATCATTGTAACTAAAATTGTCGTTTTGATTTTAAAGTTGAGAAAGTCTCACCAAAGCAAAATCCATGGGTTCTGTTTTAAAGTAGCTTAAATAATGACATATCTTGAAGACTATTCTTAGCATTTTTGTTTTTTGTTTTCGTTTTTATTAAAGCTTGTGAGATAAAGCCTTTATAGAGGCTGTGTTGTCCTTATATTTGATAAGCCCCTTATAACTATTCTTCTTTTATAAATGATAGACTTAATGACAATACATTCCAATATTTTTATTTAACTAACCATCTTTTAATTACATTTTTTCCAAATAGTGCACACTGCTACCGAGAGCTCAGAGAAACGCGCGATCAACGTAAGACTTATCCGAGATATGCAAGTGAGTACGTCGTGAGCGGCAAATAAAGGACCAAGAATGCCTAGTATAAAAAATAAAAAAATTAAGATTCAAATTTCTTTATAATTTTTCAAAAATTCCTCGATGGCATTGCAATCTCCACCAATGTAGGATGAGTCTTTTGATTGTCATTATCTTTGTCTTTTCAGTGCTTCCATATAGAGTCGCGAGGATGGAATGATATTGCGTATAATTTTTTGATTGGCTGTGACGCCAACATCTACGAGGGACGCGGTTGGCACACCGTGGGCGCCCATACACTGGGATATAATAAGATATCGCTAGGAATTAGCTTTATTGGATGCTTCATGCGGGAGCTTCCAACGCCGGACGCACTTAATATGTGCCGCAATCTGTTGGCGCGCGGCGTAGAGGATGGCCACATTGCATCCGACTATCGACTTATTTGCCACTGCCAGTGCAATTCAACGGAAAGTCCTGGCCGGCGATTGTACGAGGAGATACAGACGTGGCCTCACTTTTACAATATTGAGGAGGAACAACAATAATCGGACAAAGAAAGGCACACAATTACATGAGTTCAATGCACAATAGGTTTATATCAATGTTAAAAATAAATATGTTACACTTATTTTTACTTTTGTGGAATTATGGCATAAAATGCCTACAAATGTACGAGGCTGTTTATTTTAAGTCGTTCTTTTCAGAGAACGAGAATTAATCAGTCATAATTTTAAGATTTTTAGAGACCCAACTTTTAGCATTCAAAAGTAATATTTTTATCCATTTTTTGGCTTTTCCGCCAATCATCTAATGGTTTTGATATAGGACAATATAATATTTTGCATGTAAACAGGTCAGAAAATCATACGATTTAAAGTTAATAATAATCTGCCACTGTCTGTCTTAATACTTGATTTTTGTCCATTACTTAATCTTGTTTAAAACAGTTGCTCTGTGCGCGTATCACATCCACCAACTATTTTTTAAATGCTTATCAATTCTTTTTATGTAATGTGTGATAGCGAGTGGCCAAGATAAGAAATATACATAATCCGCTGGAGGTAATAAATAAATTAACTAAATAAAAAGGGACAGCAGTAGCGGTTTCATAGATATGAATGAGACAGCAGTGGAAAACAATGAATTTTTTTAAACATTTTTTAATAAAAACAAAATCTTGTATATCCAAGTAAACTATAACAACCGAATCAGAAATGATTCTCCTTGAAATTTGACGGGGCTTTATATTTCTCCTTAACGTGAGCTCGGTAATCCTCATCATCATCGTGGCACTCCTTAAAGCATTGGGTGCAAAAAAGATCGCCACCACATCCCTGGCAACGGATATCTGCGTCTTCGTTGCAAATATTACACCAGGGCAATTCTTCGGTGCCGGTATTGGGCACATCAACAAGGTTTTCACTCATTTCGTTGGCCGGCATTGTTGACAACTTCGATTCGTCCATATACTGATTGAGGAAAGATTATGATTTAGCTATACATGAAATCATTAAAGACCCTGTGCTCTTAATTCTCTTACTTCTGCAAAAGTGTTTCCTTACAAATTTAACTGAGATTTGCAAATGCTTTTGCTAAAGTCGAACTGAGAGCATGGGTGGATAGGAGGGGTATACTAACTTTCTTCATTATGTTCTTTAAAATGGTCTCGTCGTCCTCTTCGTTGTCCGTTATGGTGGTGGTCCTATGGGATGTCGATGGACCTGCATCGGAATCGACTGGCGTGTCGCGCAGAGCTCGGAGACGTCGCTCAATCTCGGAAATTGACTCATCCCTCTGTTTATCAACATTTTGGTCCAACTGCGTTTCCTCCACAAACTGTTCGAGCAAATCCCTCATTTTCTCCTCATCATTTCTTTGGTCAGTGGATAGCAGCAAATCCTTCTTGTCGTAGTTAGTTTTATGCGGCATGCCGGTGAGATTGGCAAGACGAGTGCGAATCTCGTCGTCTGTCGCATCAACTCTCTTGTAATCCTGCATTCGCTTAGTCAACGCACTATCCAGGTTTTCGTCAATATCTTCATGGTTTTTGGAACTTGGTGTTGAGGAATTCGCAGTGGCTGCCGTCTTGCTAATTGGAACCAAAGCCTCGGGCAGTTCCTCAGGAAGTAGGGTCCCGCTGGGATTGGCAGTTAGTTCAAATCACTGGCCGTCTTTTATATGAGTACTTACTCAAAGAACCCGTCAGCCCCCTCTGAAGTCTTTAGTCCCGGCGACGAGGGATTCGGCAGGTTCCACTTGGTGACCAACACACCTGGCAGTGCATCGCAGTCTATGACTTTATCCGCATCGGCGCTTGCCTGCAGCTTGGACAGCCTGTCGTAGCAAATGAGACACACATTCAGGACCTTTCCAGTGTGCCGGGGCACAGGCATTGGCCTTTTCAGACACTTGGAGCAGAATGAGTAGCCGCAGTTAGGGCATCCATACTGTTGGGGATTTAATATTTATGTGTTAGCTTTGTGATCCATCTATGATTTAATGATATGACACTTGCTTCTTTGCAGAATAATCCGTATTTGCGCCCGCAGCCAAAGCAGCTCATGGTAACGGGAAACCCAGATTGCAAATAAACATAAAAAATAATAAATACCTCAAATTTTTTTTAAATTAGTTATTTCTAATTAGAGGTGGGCGCGTGCCCGACTCTTGCACTATGACTAGTCACGACGCTTTACACGAACTCTCATTTGGGTTTTTGGTATTTTAAAAACCTAAATAAATAATAGTATTTTTTCATTGCGAACGCATTTATACATTAAACATTAGTTTTAAAACAGGGGTTTATTTTAGACAGTCATATTCAAAATTGTGTTTGTTATTTAGCTGTACCCAGTTAACTAAGAGCACCATCTAAAAACAGCTGATGTTCTACCAGACATTCCTCTGGGATGTGCTTTTAAGGAATATCGTGTAATTGGAAAACTGAGATTGCTAGGGATTTTTGAAATTTTAAGTCACCACATAAAAACTTAACAGTGTCGAATTTTAAAACTTTTTCTCGCTATTTATTTATTTACGGTTTCGCACTGAATGCAAAAATATTCACTGTAAATATTAATAATTTAGGGTTGCACTGGAAACCATCGGCAAAACGTCCAGTTAAAAAATAATATATTTAACAATAGCATTATCCTACATTTTTTAACAAACGCATTTGAATTTAATTATGTTTCGTGTTATACCTATCAATAATGAATCATTAGTAAAAGTGACACAGTACTGTTTGAGCCCGGATTCACATACACTTGCTATCGAATGCGAATGGACTCTGGCCCAGTGGAATCGAGGCCTAATAAAGACAGATATTAAACGATAGGGTAAAGGTCTATCGACTACCGTCAGGTATCGTCATCGCAGTTGTTTTGAGGTGTCCAGAAGTCAATTGATAAATTATCATTTTAACCATAATACAATTAATATCTAATCTAATCAACCACCTTGATAATAATATTTAATTTTACATATACAATATTTAGCACGGCAAGTAAAAGCAAACAACAAAATAGAAATGGGAGCAAAGAAGTCAGGTTTAAGATACAATACATTTACAATGTAATTTTCGAGATTTTATTGTTTTCGGTGTGCATCAGAAAATTTATTTTAATTGCATTTTAGTGCAATCGCTGGCATTCAGTATTTTTATACGTATGCAGTGTTTTGTGAGTGACCAAAATAATGAGTAAATGGCCATAAAATTCCATTGCTATCTAATAACAACAGCTGAACTACATCATGTGACATTAATGTTTTGAACCAATTCATAGTAGTGTTGAACGGGGCCGTTTCTTATTTGTTTAAAGTATGTAACAGGTAGAAGGAAGCTTTTGCGACTCTAAAAAGTACACATATGTGTATACAAGTGAATCTTTGTGTACATATGTATACCCTGTTTTTTGTCAGTTCTAGTTTAGAACTAGCGAAATCGAACTTTGCTGGCGAATGTGACGTGGTGATTTCCTAGGTGGATATTCAATGCATTACCGTTAGCTGCTGAAACTTATGATGAGATGGGTAATCCGTACTTTATGCGGTGACATTGGGTATGAAAAACGTCCGTTATTATGGATAGACAAATGCTGAATGCTATAGAACTGAATATTACGCCTTAAAAATTTAATTTAATTAAGTCATATTAAACGAAATAATAAGACGTTAGTGGTATCTACCTCGAAGAACAAAGTTTAGACCAAGATTTGTAATATGTTTCCCGATTGGGATCAAACAGATTACGCAGGTATAGTTTTACTAATCTGTAAAACCTTAATTGTCAAACTGGTTCAAAGTTGAATATTTTTGTAAATTATTCGCTTTTGTATGTTCTTTTTCCCCATCGATAATATTATAATAATACAACTTTTTGTTGCAGTTCGAACGATTGGACGTTAATTAGCATCCTGGGCACAACACCATGGAAGAGCCGAAAATGGCAAAGTCGCCGGAGCTGCCCACCACATCATCCGGGGCATCGTCCACTTCGCCCGAAAACGTAGGCTACGACAAAATTGCCTGGACCAGGGATATTACAGAACCATTGTCGGAGGAGTCCTCTACAAGCCAATTGCGACCGCTTGGAACCACAATATCATCTGATTCGGCGGCAGAAGCGAATACATCAAACACATCGTATTCCTTTACCGGAAATTACCTTTCCGGCGGCAACATTGCCGATTTAAAGTCTGGCACCACGTCGTCCGCTGGCACTGAAAGTGCCTCGAAATCCAACGAAAAGGACAAAGAACAGAACGATGAATCCCTTTACGAGTGCAATATATGTCTGGACACGGCCAAGGATGCGGTGGTCAGCATGTGTGGCCATCTCTTTTGCTGGCCGTGCCTGCACCAGTGGCTCTTGACACGCCCCAATCGCAAACTCTGCCCAGTATGCAAAGCTGCTGTGGATAAGGATAAAGTAATACCGCTCTACGGGAGGAACAGTACGCATCAGGAAGACCCTCGGTATGTTTGCTATTTGTCTGTACTGTAGACGTCCCAAGTAGTTGAATTCAAATACTAAGGCAAGATTTTGCAACTATTTTTTCGCTTTTACAGAAACAAAGTTCCACCACGCCCCGCTGGTCATCGTACAGAACCAGAGCCTGTTCCTGGATTTCCCGGATTCGGATTTGGAGACGGTTTCCACATGTCGTTTGGTATTGGGGCTTTTCCTTTTGGATTTATAACATCATCTCTAAATTTTGGCGAACCGCGTCCTGCTGGTATGTTATTCCCTTTCCTACAGATACATGACAATAATATTTTTTAACGACCTGTTCTTAATTTAGCTGCTAATCGCGGTACAACGCAATACGAGGATGAGCAAACCCTGTCTAAGCTGTTTTTGTATCTGGCCTTTTTGTGCATCGGTTGGCTGCTTTTTGCATAGCAATCTGCGAACGCATAAAAACAACAAAACGATAACAAGAACGTATATTGGAATGTGTATTGAAAGCGTCCGAAGTAATCATATAGCACTATCCTCCAGTTAAAGCAACAATATTCTTAAAAATGTTTGGTAAAAGTCGTTAAAATAATTGGACTACTTTTTAGTTAAAATTGTACTTTGAACATTTGTAAAATCCGAAAACATTTCAAAACTTTTGCGAGTCCCTGTGACGCTTAACATACCAAATTGAAAACTTAAAATTATTTCTTCGGTATGTTCTCGGATTGCATTGATTTAATAAAAAGTAGCTGTCAAAAAATGTAAAAATATAAATACAATAAACATGATAAACAAAAAATAAATCGCCTTAATTTTTGTCAATGCAAGTTGTTACAGAGCAGAACGTTAAGTTTGAATCTCAACTCTCTAGCTCTCAAACGTTATGGAAACAGATAGGCATGGCTATATCAACTCGCCCAGCGACGCTTATCAAAAATATACATATTATTATAGGGTGGGTAATGTCTCCGTTTAAAACTTCTAAGGAAAATTATAATACTCCAGCAAGAATAAGAAAATCCTAGCAAAAAATGTTCATCTTGATTTTTTTGCGAAAAGGTTTACCAAATGAAATTGTTTAGCTGTGAATGCCACTTGATGATTGGAACTTTCATAACGAATTCAACGAGGTATGACATTCCAACATGCGACCACTATTTTCCAGCGTTATGATTAAAAAACCGAAAAATCATGCAGTTTGTTTCCGGATTTTGGCCCATAATTTTATGAGAAAATTTTTTTAAATTACATTTTTTCTGTGAATGCCACTTGATTGGAAATTTTATAACGAATTCCACGAGGTGTGACATTCCAATATTCGATTACTATTTCCAAGGGTTTTGATTAAAACACCGAAAAAACGATTCCTTTTAAAAAAAAAACAAAGATTTTATATTCAGGGATTAAAAAGTTTTTAAAAAAGTAATTAAGTTTATTGCTTAATATTAACTGCACAACATTCTTTTTAACTTGAAATGGCCGTTGCCTCAAGAGCAAAAAAACACATTATAAAATAAAACCGGTCGTTACTTAAAATATTTTCGCTAAGCTTGGCGTTCGGCGAAAGGGATTCCACGAACTAGATGAAACGCTTCCAGCGGGGCGTGAATTGGACGACGTCTTTAGGTGGAGCTTGGGCTTTGCCGCAATACTTGTGGGACTGGGAAATCCGGATGAAATACCCGATGAGCTGGCCGCTGATAGCGTAGATAATGAACCTTTCGAGGACAATGGCTGTAGGTGAAAATAAATAACGTTAAGCGATTGCGTGATGTATTCCTAGGACAAACACACCTTCAAGTAGTTACGATCCATGGGCGTTATGACTCTCAATTCAAGTGTGGAGCCACAGGATTGTATAAGTTGCACCACCTGCTGATGAGAGTACCACTTAACATCCATGCCAGCGATTTCCACAATGAAATCTCCTTCCTTAATGCCGCCAAGCTGCAACGACATTAATTCCATAAATGCAAAAATGCATTTCGGTAATAGAATAAAGTTCCATTCACTTACATCAGCCAACGAATTGATCTCAACATGCGCAATGATGACTGGTGCATCACCGCGCACATGAAAGCCGAAGTTATCGAACTCCTCCTTATAAAGATTAAATCCGCCATCGTGTTCCTCCTCATCGTTGTCCATTGGACATTTGTTGTTGTTGGTGGGGGGGACGCTGTGATACGGGGAGGATCCCTTTTGCAAACGCACACACCTGGGCGCTGTCCAGTGGCGTCGCGCAGAGAATATTGCAATGGGCCCGAGACGCTTGAAGGGATCCTTTACTTTGTGCGATGTGAAATCGGGTCCCGTCAAGGATAACGTGAATTTCGAGGAAGCTAACGATAAGGATGACACAATGAGCACACACTGCCAGACACAATTGCACCTCATGTGGTATACCTTCGACGACTCGCTCCAAAAGGTCGCCCTCTTCGATGTTGTTTGCTGACGCTTGCAGTCTGAACTTCTCGAACTCCTCTTGCGACTTGGTGTGCACCTCCTTCATGACTTCAGTGAGCGATGTCTTGTTCTGTAAAATAAAGGATCATAAGCTTGGTACCTTGGATTTTGTATAAACATATAATGGAGGGTGGGGAGACCTGGCAGAATTGAGGTGGTATAATAAATCTAGAATATTATTTTTACATTCCTATTGGAATTGCCTTTAATACTGCTATTCTGCTAATAACAAAAAAAGTTAAAGAATAGCTGGATTTACCCCACCCCGTTTTAATGTGCCGAAAACTAAACTCCTTTCTTTCGTTTTAAAAAAAAACTAGTCGTAGATTATCTTCTGATCATAGATAATTAATTAAGCTTTACAGCACCTTTTCCCTTAGTACCTTTATCATTTGGTAGGTGCGTTTCGCCTTTCCCCCTGTATATTATAATATATAATATTATTTTTTACCTTTAGGTACCGGCACATCCGCTGCAGCCGCTGAGCTTCCTCGTTACTGGCCAGAGCTTCTTTCAAGTGGGCCAGTTTGTTGGCGACGGAAGTGGCGGCCTCTTCGCTGGAGAAGCACTCCACCTCTTGCGAGTTGCCAATGAACGATTCCGACGTCAATCTCGGGTGGTTCTTTTGAGAGGGTAGGGATACCTTGAGCTCCTCCGTCGCATCTATGCTGCGTGCCTTGTAGAAGTGTGCGAACGCTAACGAGGACAGAATCAGTTAGCATATGCTTATTATCACGTAATTATACCTTCGACTACCTTTGTAGAGTTCCGCCTTGACCGGCACCAGTCCAGCCCAACACTCGGGCAGATAGGTGTGTGTGTCGTTTGCTTGGATGTTCTTGTGCATTTCATTGTACTCGTGCGATATCTGGGCGGCCTCTCCTGCTAGATCGCGATACGCCTGAAAATCAGACTTTATATATAGTATAGCTAGGAAATTTAATAAACTTCTTGTGTGGTTTAATATAGCATTGTACAGTGAACGATATTCAACAAATAAAATAATACGATTAAATTAATACTGATTAAAATGTTTTCTGTTAACAAGAAGATGCATAATTTTTTCGGCCGGAATTCTTAATGCGATTAGAAACAAAAAACAAACTGGTGTAATTACTAAAACTTAAGAAAAGGAACTAAGGCTAGCTTTCCACTGCTGAAGAATTCGCGGTTAAATATTTCTAATGAATTAAGGTTGACCATCCTTTACTGAAGATAGTGGGGCCTAAATAGTCCGTGTGTTATTATAACTAAAGAAAATCATTTGGCTCTAATATTGATGCAGTTATCACTGTTTTTGTTAAATTATACTGTGCACCTGTTGCTTACAATGAACGATCATAGCAATAATTTCAAATGTATACACAAAGTAAATTTGAAATTATAAGTATGTACTGCACAATGTGGAAATGTAAGTTGCATGCTGGAATCTATTAGATATCCTAGATACTTACGCAACTGAATTCCGACAGACCTATCGCCTCAATTTGTAGCTGCAACTTCTCGAAGAGACATTCTCGGGCCTGAGAAAGCATCAGGGAGACCAGAACGTCAAGCACCTGCGGTTTCAGATCCATCGAGGGGGCATTGGTGAACGTGTCGTAGATGTGGCGAAATATCCCCGCGGCGCGAAGGAAACTGTCGACGGCCAAATCAAGACCCCGTTCGGTGGTGCGATCGTGCCTGGCTCCGATCTGGGTGTATATGCCTCCGAGGTTGAACAGGGTGCAGGCCTTCTCGAAGGCAATCGTCCGCTGGCACGAGGGCACGCCCGTGAGGGAGTCGTACCACTCAAAGTATACGCCCAAATTGCGATCCGGCGGAAAGAACCGACGTTCCACGTAATACAGCGTGTTGTAGTAGCGGAAGAGTAGTGCCACTCCGAGGGAATCGCGCGATGGCGTTTTGGATGCCTGGATGGAAAGATCATTTAATTATTTGTGATTTATGGTGTTTAAGAACCAATCACTACCTGTCTCGTATCTGTCATATCTGCTATGGCATCTATGTATATGGAGGGCTCTTCGCTGTAGTGCTCCAAGATAAAATCGGAAAATGGTTCCATAAAATTGATTTCCTTGGTTTCCTTAAGGCCCAATGGTATCATAGGCATAATTCCATTGTGACTGCAAATTATTGCAAAAATATCATGGTGTTAAAAAAAATTAAAATGAGGCAAAAATATTACCAAAAAAATATTCCCCAAAAAAAGCAACAATAATCGTAACAATAAAAGTTAAACCACCAGATTTAAACTGTGTTCATACTATTTCTTTTTTTTGTAAGGGGCATTATTTGAATGCAAAGCAAATGTGACTAAAGATTCGAAACATGTTTTAACCTAAATATTTAATTTGATGTTATAAAAAATATTCTTGAACAAGTGTTCGTTTCCGGCCGTTTTATATAAAAAATTAATCCTACCTTTCGCTTTGATAAATTTCCACCGACGAATTTAATTCGGCTAGTTGCTCCTTCAGCAATTGCAAGTTGGAATTGACGAAGCTTAGCTCCAGGGCAACTGTGTCACGCAACTTGCGATTTGATGTGGCCTGAAATGGAAGTAATTTAAAGTAAGTGATTTGTAAAAGTGAAATGGAGAAGATATAGACCTTATATAGATTCTCAGCACCAGCTCGTAGGCGTAGTTCCTTGTTTATTTCTTTGTTTAGTTTGCAGCGCTTGTTTTGAAGTTTGCTTCGACATGTTGCAGCTCTTGGATCTGAGCCCTGAAAAACAACGAATAAATCAGTTTCAACAGAATCACTCTGGAAAATAATATAGTGCAAGGGGGAAAAGTCTCTTAATTCTCACTTCTTATTGTTAGTAATTTATGACGTAAATACCATTTGGTATCCTCTAACTTGCAGTGCATAATTCAATTTTGTGTTACAATTTTATAAATGTTTTAATTAGATAATATATCTTTTGAAATTTAGCTACCAGATGATTTCTATAGGTTCATATTTCTTAACCTAAGGCAGTTAGTCTAGAAAGTAATAAATTTAGAGAAAACAGGAAAAGCAATTAAGAAATTTAAAATGGTTTGTGATTTGTTTTTGACAGATAATGGTATACAAAAAATAAAATTTATGATTCGCCAAGGATATATTGGTACACTTACCCGAACGAAGCAGAACGATAATTCATTCAGCTTCTCGTCATCTTCATTCTCCTCGTTCCTCCCAGAACTTGAGTTATTTCCATCCATATCTGTATCCATTTTGAGAGCTTCAATATTTAACACTTCGAGGCCCAAATGTACTCCTTTTAATTGCCACAGCACAGTTGTTTATACTACCAATAAATATAAACCTAATTTTAATTTTGTCCAAACTATATTTCAATAATTATTGTAAAAACTAAACTAGAATTCTCTCTTCCCGTCACTTACTTTTAAAAATTCAGTTTTTACACAGTATATGTATTAGTTTGTTTATTTTAAAAGATAAATATCGCTTCCATTATCCTTTTAAGACTATCCCCAGAAGATATGTGTATTACATTTTTAAACCAATGCAATTCATTTTTGTGAAATTCAAAGACAGAACAAACACTCTCGAATTCTTGAGTTTATATTGTAACCTTAATCACTGACGGCAAACAATGACGAAGAAAAACAACAACCAAAATGCTCCTGAATGATAACAAAATTGATAAAACGGCTCTATGACTCAAAAAAGATGTAACTTTGTTTTATACTTTTATATATGAATATATATGTTTATATTTAGACGCAATTTATTAGGTCCTGACAGATCAAACACATAATTTTCCTTTAACGCTATTCATAAATTTTCGTATCCTATGGATATCTATTAACCTGTAAGTTTTAATCATTTTTATCAACACAATATGTAACTCATTAATAATAATTCAAAGACCAATGTAACGTTCATATATAAAGAACCGCGATGTCAAACACTATATTCGCTGTTAGAGTTATATTTAACCTATTAAGTTTATCTCGGGCTCCAATTTGTTTTCTTTCTATAATGCTATTTCTGGCGGAGGCTAAACATAAAAAAAGAAGATCATATATTATTCAGCCAAAAAGCATAAATATCTTTATTTTAAACCACATAATTCAAAGTATTGTAGATTCACATCTTACAGAAACAGTTTTTTAGGACACCGAGATTAAACTTTCGTTTGGACTTTGGTTGAAAGAGATTTCTGGGACACCCCCAAATAAACCAATCGAAATCTTGTGCCTACACTGAAAAACAAAAGAAATGAATTTCCATTTAGGTGCCTTCTTTAATTGTTGTGTTTTTATATCTTTTGTTGTTGATAAACACCTGTCAGCGCGTCGTTGATCTTTTCTATGTTGATTTTACGTATTCAAGAGCCAATCAGATTTATAGCATAAACACAATATAGCATAAATACAAATCTATGAGGGAGGGGAGGAGGTAGTTCGCCACTAGTTTCACTATTTTATTCTGGCGTTCCAGCGTCTATGACATATTTATGATAATCCGTTGCGTTCCACATCATCAATAGCATACTTTTAAAGCACTGTTATGGCACAATTAATATATACATATTTACGTTGTGTGTAGTATAAATTGGTGGAGTTTTAACAAAAACTTTTATAACCATTTGTTGCCCACAAATGTTCGCAGTAGTTATATACTTGCAATCAATGTAAGATTATTTACACTGGCTCAACAACATTTCAGTTTATTATCAGATATGTTGTCTGGTCTTCACTACACTTTCCACTATTACCAAAAAAAAAGCAACAGGTTACTGTTACCTGTGGACAACCAAGCGCCAGGTACGAGTTTCCGAATCACCGTAAAGTCACAAACTGGTTATTTACTCAAGCCTAACTATTTGGGCCCAGTGTGACCACCACCTGGCCAATGTAATATACCATCCGGTTAACAATAACATAAAAAAGGTAGTTTTAAATAACTAAAAAAAGTTAAGCAAATTTAAAACCACCTTTAAACACCTTTTTTTTTGACCATTTCAATGTAGAAATAACGTTTAACTAAATGTTATGAGAATTTAGCTACTTAAGCCCCTATTTTCTTTTAAAAGTTTAGTAATAAAAACTAGTTATCTTTGTAAAAAAGTTTAATTTGTTGGTGTGACCGTTTTTTGCTTATCTTTTTTTATCTGATATTGAACTTTAGCCACAACTGATTTTTATTTTAAATTAATTTATGCAAGTTAAACAATTAACCAAGTAATACGATGTTTGGTACTCACAGAAAGGTATACATTAAGATCACTTATCATAACCGTTATTATCCCGAAAAAATGTATAGAGATTTAACTTCAAACTCTCTGTCGCAATCTGATTTCATATTTTCTCTACATAGTTTGAGAAAGATAAAAGTATTTAAGTATATTTATCTCGCCCCCTAAAAAGATATAATTTAAAAGGACACCCCGCTCTTGAAAACCGGATACTCGTGATCAAGTAAAGCTCAAGATAAATACCGTCAAAGGCGCATTGTAAAGAAATCTCAGCGATTGTATTATCCTATACGGTTTTCTTATTGACCATGTATGATATATTAGTGTGCCGAATCTTTTTTTATTAAAAATGCAGCAAGTCATAACAAGTTTAACTTCGGAAATGTTAAAATTAATTAATTTATTCAAGGGTAGTAAGTCTTCTTGTATCTGTTTTCCCGACTCTTACCACGGATTGCCCGTGGCACATACACCTTGTCATGTTGATCAAGGGTTCGTCGCCAAGGATTGACATCCAGCGTAAAGAATCGACGTTTGGCCTCCATGGCGCGATTGTTGTTATCAATCTTGTATAACTTCTCCCATAGGTAGACTTCAGGCAACTCCAAATGTCGTGGTCGGTTCGATGCCAAATATTTAAAGGTTTTAGCGATAAAGTCACGCTGCTCGGGGTTCTCATAGGCGGATATGTCGGACGCTACATACGGTTGTTGCTCCTCGTTACTCCGCTGAATACTTGGTACGTTAGCGTAGAAGTTCAGCAGCTGCCGGAGAGTAGCATCGTTGAAGTCCACGCACTTTCCATTCGTCGAAATCTCTGCGTAAAGGGGCAGAGGCTTCGTCCCGCGACAGAAGTTTACTCGCGGATTATCTTCCTGGTATTTGCCGTGCAGCAGCAGCGTGTTCAATTGGTACTCGTAAAAGCTCCATTCCCTACCGTTTGTGATCACTGTTTGGGTGTTCATGGGATACGTGAGTTCGTTGTAGGTGTTGAAACCGTTGTAGTTCGCCTGGGCCAAAAGCCACGCATAGGATGATTTAATGGCCAGAGAATGAAGAGCCTCCTGAAGATCACTCTCACCATACGATTTGGGTCGCAGCTGGAGGTGAGCCCTCGATTGAAATGAGAGCAGCCCAAAGTTTTGTTCATTTCCTTTGGGCCAATAGCCTGGTACATTGGTAGCATGCTGATGCTTGGTGCTATAGCCAAGGGTGCGCGGGTCGTGCTTGAAGCGAGGTATTTGTTTGCTCAACTCAATGTTTTCGCTTTCCGCAGTCGTTTTCCACGGCGACAATTGCCTTCGATGGCGCAGAGACAGGTATGGCGTTCCCGTGTACTGGACCAGCCGATCAACGCTCTCGTTTGCCATGTCCTTTTGCCACTCCCTGCCTTTCTTAGAGTTTATCACGTTCTTTGGCGGATCCACTCCGCCAACCGCCCAGAAGGCTTCGTGGCGCGGATTGTAGTCAACCTCGACCTCATCTAGATGTTTGTGGTCCTCGCTGAGAGCCTGCAGCAGAGCTCGGTTGAGCTGTTCGACAATGATCTGCGTCAGAATCTGCTCACGTTCCACTGCACTGGGTTGAGCAGAGTTGGGTAGCTTCTCCTGATGCCTGCGCTTGGTAAGCAGAATAATTATTATAGTATCAGAGCGACTACTTACAAGATCTGAGTTCTCATTTAGGTTTAATTGGATTTATAACATAACAGGAGGGAAAACAAGGAGCCAGATGATAACTCAGATCGTGTAAAGGGGCCTTTGCTTTACTCACTTGTAGTAGTCGTGTGCAAACTCGAGGGCTTCAATGACATCCTCACGGACCGTCTTAAAACTAGCATCCTCGCTGGGCTTGGGCTGGTCGCCTTGGTCAACCACCTGCGATCCTGGCAGAGGTGGCAGATCCTCCAGAACTGTTCGCGTGTAGTGTTGCGTGAGCGGCAGTGCATTGTACGGAATTTTGGAGTCGTTGAAGTCAACCACTTTGTAGCCGTAATAGCGGGGAATATTTATTTTGATTAGCTTCTCCTCCACCGTCGGCACTTGTCGGATCTCCTCGTGCCAGTCTGCAGCATCCCTTTGCTTGCGGGCCTTGAAGGACGGATCCTGGATCTCCGGATACACCGGCTGCGCAGAGTACTCCGAGTCCGCCACATTTGCTTGCAGCGACTGTCCGGCCAAACAGCGCTTGTACGTCGATCGCAACTGGTTCACAAGGCTCAGTTTCAACATGTCGTCGACCACAACGCAAGTTGCGACTTACGTTTTAGGACGAATAAAATAAAATTTACTTTGCAGACATAAACGAGGTTATGTCATTGCTATTGAGTGCAGTGTGACCGCGTAAAAGCTTAAATGTATTTCAAAAAATGGATGCGTCAAAATAGCGACGCGTATATAACCACGAATGTGGAACGGTGGACACTGAAATATAGGGGGTTCTTAACTTTCGGATCATACTGGGAGTATATTTAAGACGCGATTAAATGCCAACACACATGCATGTCTGAACAGAAACCCAACATGGATCACCAAGACTAAAATCTCTAATTTGGCATTTTTAAATTATTGCGTTCCGAATGAGGAAAACTTCAGAAAGCTAAGCAAGGCCTTTGGGTATCGTTGTTGGATTTTTGTTCTATATGAGAATTTTCTCTAGGTAAGTGCGCAGAAATCCTTTCAAGGATTGGCCTGTTTGCGAGACCTTTCTGTTAAGAAGCAATTAAGAATTATAATTTATGAAAATAAATAACTTTTTAGGAAAACATTTGTTTGACCTAAGTGCCAGATTCTTTAATGACACCTTCACAGAGGCTCAATAAATTGGACCCGAACAGTTATTTAAGTCCCAAGCTCCACAATCCACCGTTCCGCATATGACGCTAATTTTCGGCACATTATTTTAGTATATTTTTTCTGAGGACGGTGGCCCGGGCCTGGTCACACTAATCGCGCATTGCAAAAATATGCACAAGTCAAATCAAGTCCATATTCCGCATAAAAGCCAGTTAACAGAGTAAACAATATAACGGCGTCGTTTATGCAAACAGCTATTGATAGTGCTGCCTATTACCGACCGCATCGTTGTCCCTGCAAACTGCGTGCCAGAATATATCCACCGGGACGCAGCAGAAGCCAATGCACTGTGGGTCTGTCCGCCTCATTCATCCGCATGCTGAATCCGTATCCAAGCCCCAATCCGAACACTCCACCAAAATGAATCCGTGCGTGCTGCCCACTCCACTGCCCGATTTGGACGGCGACAAGCGCTGGCACAGCATACACCGCCGGTTTATCTCCGACTGCCGTGAGAAGGATCCGGATGTCATATTTCTGGGCGACTGCATCTTTGAGACGGTCCAGGATAGCGAGGCGTGGAATCAATACTTTGCACCGCTGCACTGCCTTAATTTCAGCATACGTGACGATTGCACCGAGCACGTCCTGTGGCGCATCGAGAACGGAGCTCTGGACAACGTAAACCCAAAAATAGTGGTCCTGCATGTGGGCACAAACAATGTGAAGAATAGTGCCGAGGAAGTTGCCGAAGGCGTTCTCGCAAACGTTTCGAAAATACGCCAAAAGCTGCCCAACGCATATATTCTTCTTCCCGTAAGTGGTGCAGAGCATCTATTATAATCAGAATTTATAAATTAAGATTATCACCTCTTACAGTCACTATTGCCGCGAGGACAGCAACCCAATAAGTTGCGCGAAAAGAACTCCAACATTAACGAATTGGTCAATGGGTTGACCAAGGGACAGTATCGGGTACAGACAGTTGCCATAGACAAGGGACTGGTGCAGAGCGACGGCAGCATCAGTCATCACGATATGTTTGACTATAAGAATCTTACCAATGCTGGAGCGAAAAAAATTCTTGAACCACTCTATGATTTGCTTTCTCAAATTCTAAACGAAAACGAACCTGAAAACGATCTCACTCCCTCCGAATAAAGGAAAACCATTCAGCTATCATCATACACCAGAATACACCAGAAACAATTCCCAGAATGTCTTAAGACAAATGTATTTTTTGAAATCTCAAAAGCAATAGGGCTGCGAGACTATCTCACAATTAACCATAAGTTTTCTTATCGAATAGTAAACAACCGCATTATACCATTGCAAAATGATAAATTTCACATTTATTTATAAGAAAAAAACTGTAATTGGGTAAGCAAGCATCAGCATACATCATTTTTTCCGTAAAAGAAGCATCTTAGAACATGTTTATTTTTAATTATTTATAAAATATTTTCTGCAGCCAAAATCATATTCCAAACAACAATAGCTATTACCATCTCGTTGTTAAAAGACATTTAGTTATAATAATTTCCATACGAAAAAAATATGAAAAGCTTCGTAAGCCTTGAAATTAAATGGATAAAAAAAGTGAAATGTCTCAAGAATTTTTAATACCCATGTTTTCCTAAAAATAATTACAGTATAAACAAATTATGTAGGTGTTGAGAAACAAGAAAAGGGGCTCAGTAGACTTTGAAAATAATAGAATTCAAATAATATGTTTTAGAGCTCAGTATTTAATTTAGAGTGTACACAAAGCTACAAAACATTCCCAAAGAAAATATTTTGGAAAGAGGTTTATTAAGATTAAAGACACGATGCTGCGCATTCCCGGGATGCCCCTCCTTCCGGGCACGCTGTTCCGCGATGTAAGTACCCAAGCCATTGTATTTTATTAACCTAGTGATACGTGGCTTATATCCGGGATGGGTAACTAGGTATCTAAGGGTCATTATCCAAAACCGCAATCGCTGTCCAACTTCCAAGGACTCAGCATGCTAAATGATCGCCAGCAACCTCCTCCTGCGGACTCGGGCAGCGTCACGGTGGACATAAGCTGTCCGCCGGTTGGGGCCTCCTCCATATATCCACCCCGGTCGGGTCCCCGGATGCCTCCTTGGTTGGCTTACGACAAGAAGGTCCTGTGTTTCAACGCCTACTTCAAGCAAACTCTGCAGGAGGTCTACCATGCACCCTACCTTGTTCGCAAGGTCAAGATATACTACTACCTGGAAGACGGTACCCTGGAGATCTATGAACCCAGAGTGGATAACTCTGGCATCGTGCAAGGCTGTGTGGTCCATCGCCAGCGCGTCCAGAAGGCTCCCCCTTGTGATAACGAGTTCATGTCGTTAATTGACTTAAACGTTGACCAGACAGTGCAGATATTCGACCGTCAATATCATATCACTAACTGTGATCCGTTTACGCGGGATTTTCTTAACAAACGTGGCATTACCGTCCCCGATCCCGTAAAATCACCATGGTGAGGAAGTTAACTTAAGGGGTTACATGGGTTTAAGTGGGCAAAAGCAATGATTTTGTGAATTTGAACAATATTTCTTGCTATAACGTAGATTGATGATTTCGTAGTATTTTAAAGTAATTAGCGTTTGAAAATTTTGATCATTTTTAAACATTGTTCAAAAATAAAGATCCTCATTTTGTTGGCTTGAGAAGAACGTTAAAATTGCAAAGCCTATATGTAAATAAAAAAATTTGAAAGAAAATACAAAAGAATTCGATTTTTTTATAGCACATTTAACTAATAGCAAATTTTTTACAGCGATCCTACCGAGACGCAAAGAAAGCGTGAGCAACAAAAACGAGGTGGTAATTCAGGCCCGAAGAACCATCCATTTGCACAATTTTTGAAATTCGATCGACAAATACTAAAGTTTCAGGCTTACTGGGATGATCGAACTGAGTTTGGCGACGTACGAAAGTTGGAAGTGTGTTACTATCTGGCCGACGATACTATAGAAATCAAGGAACAACACATTCGAAATTCTGGTCGCGACGGGCCGACAGTATTTCTTAAACGAGGACGCTTAGCTCGGGTAAGTAACTATTAGTTAAAAAATGTAGGCTAATACTCAATAAATTTATAGATGTTTTTTTTTAAATATAGAAATCCATTTATCAAAAAATAAGAATGTTTTTGGTAATAAAACCTATGTTTTGAACTTTATAGCGCAAAATATTGGAGCCTTTTAAAATATGGACTGACTTGCAAAATTTTTAGATATCTAGACTACTTAAATAATATGTATAGAAGATAAGATTTTTCTTATTAACTCTAAAATCCAAACATTTATTAAAATGGTACATTTATATAATACACTTTTATATTTTTGAAATGATAAATTCATATATGAATTTTTAATGATAAATCCATACAAATACTTTAATGATTTTGCATCACAGGAATTCGAAGGACTTACGCTGCCAGGTCAGATGACGCCGATGACGCTTCTAAATGTCCTGGGCACCAACATGCGCAACGTACGCTACTGCGTGGATCCTCTGAATACGGGCTATAAGGAGATCCATTACTACAGCGAGCGTGATCTCCAGATCGGGAGTGTGATAAATGTGTACGGTCGGGCGGTGGTGATCACCGAACTGGACCCCTTCACCCAGCAGTATTACCGCCAGAAGTACGGCATCCAGGAATTCACTCCACTGGCGATTCCCACGAGGACGGACGACTGTGCCGACCACCGGAAGGGGGAGCGCATCCTGCCACCTTTCAACGGCTGGGGCAGCTATGAGGACTCGGTGGGCAACTGCATATCCGTGGAGCCCAAGCCGCCGAGATCGGACTTCAAGAAGTTCATCAAGTACGATCGCTACGTGCTGCGCTTCGGTGCCAAGATGCTGTCGACCATAAAGGCCAATTGCGAGCGAATATTCGTGATCAGCTACTATCTGGCCGATGATACACTGCAGATCCAGGAGATAGCAGTGCGCAACTCCGGCTTCCTCGGCGGCGAGTTCATGAAGCGCACCCGACTGGAGCTGCCGGGCCAGGAGAGATTCTCCTGCAAGCAGCCGCAGTACTACATGCCGTGGAACTTCTTCATCGGGTCCACCATGTCGCTGAAGGACTTCATTTTCCACATCGTCTCGGCCGATGAGTACACGCTGATGTACATGGAGCACCATCCGGAGCAGTTTGGCCAGGCCAACGTGCTGGTCATCATGGAGAAGGTTCGCTGTGGACTGAAGAGCCGCATGGCCGAGTTTGTGGGATCGTGTGTGCCGGACTGCAACGATTTGGAAAACAAGCGCGATGTCTTTGTGACGTTCGAGAGCTTTAAGGGAGCGCTGATCGGGATCATTGGCAACCTGATCAGCGACCACGAGATCATCACCCTGTGCCGCCACTTCTCGGCGGAGAAGAGTGCTCCGCACGCCTGTGACCGGGCCACTGTGCGGGCGGCGGCCCATCTGGAGCTGAAGCGAGCCCTGTGGAACGCCCGCGACGACCTGATGGAGCACTTCCACCACATCAACCCCACCAACCAGCCGTTCCTTCCGGAGTCCAAGGTGCGCTCCGCCCTCCGGGGCTGCCGGCTCCCCTTCTCCCTCGAGCTCATCGACAACATCCTGTCCATCCTGAACCGCAACGAGTGCGACGACATCGAGGTGTGCGACCTGATGAACTTCATTGACGTGTCCTGCGGCAAGGGCTGCAACATGCTGCCCGTGAACCACGCCTTCGAGCTGTGCCCGAAGATCCCCTTCCTGAACAAGGGCCGCATGGTGAACTTCACCTGCTTCCTGCGTGACCTGAAGCTGCCCCTCAACTTGCCAGCGGGGGGCGAAAAGAAGAACGACACCATTGGAGAGGCCAGGATAATGCCGCCATCGCTGGGATCGGAGCCGGAGTTCCAGAAGCATGACAACCCCCACGAGATGGGGGAGATGGCCGCCAAGGCACACGGTTGAAAAGTTACTAGTTGGTTTACTCTGTGAATTAAGGTTGCACCACATTTAGGTCGTTCCAAATTTTTGGTTGTAATTCATTCCTTCAGGTTGCAAAATATATTGAAAAATCAATCGAAGTTGGAACATTTCTGATGTGTTTGGGATTTGTATGAATTTTATTCGAAAAAAGATTATCAATAAAAAAAAAAATACTGGAAAATCCAAGTTTTTGTCCTTGGATAATAAGAACATTAAATATTTTCAGCAAGTTCACCAAAATTAAATGTTTTATCATGAGATAATTCAATGAAGTAATATATATTTCTGATTCTTCGAACTTTTTTTTTGTTTAATGCGGGAATATTTTTGGCCCTTGTATAAATGCACAACCTATAATTTTGATTTCCATAATATCAAATATATTTGTTGTATCTTCATTTATTATAATTTAACAAAAATGTAAGCTTGCATTTTAAGAAAATGAGCATAGCATTATTTTCCTAACTAAATATAATATATCTAAACCAAATGCATTTATCTAGTAGGTTAAAAAAAAAAAAGATGATGGACCGTATAAAGTACATATATATATAATTGATAAATAAAAAGATATATAAAATGTTAAAAGGAGAGATATAGTCTTTTCTACTTGCTATATACAAATGTATACAGCAAATATCCTAAAATATATCCTACTACTGTCATGGTAAGTGTTAAAAAAAGGATATTAACTAATATATGTTATTGCAGTAACTTACTGTTATAAACTTCGGATCTCCGAAGATTGTTGCCTTTGTGTTTAATCCGAAATCATTCAACATTGTCTTTGTTTTTTACTTGAATGCAATACGTTTATCAGATTGTGGTAATAAAATATTAAATATATTTAAACACACTGATTTTGTTTTGGAAACCAATGGAAGGCAGGAAAATTTCATCTAATTCCTTTGAGACGGGCAGTTTAACACTTCATCTCGATTTTGGCAGGTCTTGCTTTCCCGGTCGAACCACTCGTTCGCTGGACAATTGTGGCGCCTGACCCGATTCCTCCGGCACGTATAGAAGCGGCGGCAATGTCGCGGGTCCGCCAAAAATTCCCCATCTTCAATTCCACGGCAGTCCCGCGAAGATCGCAGTACAGCGATTCTTCCAGCGGATTCGATTACAATTGATGGAGCTGGTGGAGCTGATGGAGCTGATGGAGCTGATGGAGCTGATGGAGCTGATGGAGCTGATGGAGCTTGGACAACGTCCCTTAGATTTGGTGCTGCTGTGGTTGGAGCAAAGGTGGTCGTGTTCACGACTGGATCAGCTATGGGCTTAATTGTGTATGGTGTTGGGGTCGTTGTGGGATCAGCCGCCTTAATTTCTCCTTCGAGTATGGCCCCGCCGCGATCGCCGTTGAAGCATTTAATCAGACCAGGAAGATTGCAAGTTTGGATCTTGGGATCAAAGTACAGGCCATTGGAGCACTCCCGCCGGATGGCCTTACCCCGCTGGCACGCATAGAAGCTGGAGCAGCTGGCGGGATCCGCAAATGCCAGATCGTTGAATCGATCCGAGCACTCGGTAATAAGTGCCTCAATCCATTCCACCGTCGAGGATACTGCGATCACAAGCAATAGAAGGTGTACATGGTCTGGGGAAATAAAAGATTCGGATAATGGCTAGTATAAGTAGAGAGTAATGTTAAGATTAAGATTATCTTTCAAAATCTGCTAGAAAGGACATTTTATTTTCCATCATTAAAACTGTATCCTTTTTAGCAATTAAGATGGGTGTATTTAAGTATTAAATTTGTTAAATATAAGAAGTTAAACGCTGCCGAATATTTGAATTCCGTTTCCCATTTCCTTTGCAGGCGTTTTTTTTTAAATTTTAGTCACAAGTTAGACCAAAGAATATAATTATTTTTCATCTGCTAAACAAACACTTCTAAACTATTCACAAAGATTTTCTTCCACTTGTTTAACAAGTAGTTGCATTATTAAGCAATTGGAAATGACCCAAACGGACCTTCCATTGTAACTTGATTGTTTTCGAATAATAAATCCATGTTTCCCGAGATGAAGTTGCTTTATCCCTTTTCAAAATCGGAAGTCTATGTCCTGTTATAGGTTTGATCTGGCCCAAAAACGTGTAATCCATTTTTGTAGAGGTTGAGTGGTTTTTCCATTCCGATTGATCTTTTAAGATCGCCTGTCTACAAAAATACTTAAAGAAATGTTTACGTACAAACTTTCATATTGCTTAAAACGGCTGGGAGTTTTTGTTTTAAGAACGAGACAGTTCTGACGTTGAGTGGTTTTTATAGGCAAAGTCAGCGGCGGGTTCTTATCTTCGGCAGACATTTACATGCCGTACATCATCTTCTTGAGGAAGACACGGCTAAAGCAAATAGTTTTTGCGCGTGCTTCGGAAATAGTGTTTATCATAAATGAAACCATTAGGAAATTAACAGGGAATAACTTTTATCAGTTCCCCAGCTTTCAGTCAATGCAAACGCTTTAAAGGTTCTTGCATAAAAGCGTTATTTTAAAAGAACCAAATCAAATGATACCCACATTGTTTACTTTTTACTCTTGCAGAAGGTAATATGTGTATTACAATTTCGCTTAGTGGAGCATGTTTTTCGTTTCAGTACTACTCTTTCAATCACAAAATATGTATGAGTTTGGAATCATTTCTTTTTTGTGTGGCTTAAATCTCTAGTACCGTGTTATAAAATAAGCCAAATAACACTATTTCATAAACAATATACATATATTTATTTAAATTTGAAGACATCAGCATTTTATAAACAGTCTAGTAAAGAATATCAGTAACCTTCAGTAAAAAAGGAAACCTTTAAACGATTAACATTTAAAATTATTCAAATAGGTTGGAATACATAAAATAATTCTTTTGTACAGCTTTATTTCTCGGTTTATTACATTCCAAAAACTGTATTTATTATCATTAATAAGTAAATGTCTCCTTTTGCATTTTCTCGGGACTTATGGTGAGAAATATGGAACTTACTGACGGCTGCTGGGAAATTGAAAATGAATAAAAATTGTGTTTGTACAGTTGAAGAGTTTTGACAATCTGCGACATGGAATACATATGACTTGACAACCAAAAACAGGCCTTCGGAAAGCGTACAGTCCTGAAATTAATTAACTAGCATTAAAAAGCTAAGGTTTTAATTTGTAAACCACTTACTTGACAATTGCATGCGGAAATACTTTCTCAATGAGGCCACAAAGCTTTAGGTATTTCCATCTATCCTCACTATCTCTGCGTGCTCTGGAGGAATCTTGATTTATTTTAGACATCTGCACTGCCTCGAACCCACCTTCCCGCTCCAGTGTTCCACTGTCCACCGCACCATTATCAGCGGTATCGAATTCGATTCTGGTCTCAACGACGTAGTACGACGAGTAGTGGTTCTGCTCCATTTCCTGCCGCTCCCCAATGGCGGCGATTCGCGGATGACTAAGTGCGGCCATGCGGAGTGCCGGTAGAGAGAGATCGGTGTCGGAGCAGGTGTATACCACGGCATGGCCGCGTCGGCACACATCGTGGATTACGTGCAGCATGTTGCGCCGGGAGATCACGTCCAGCTGGGCGAACGGGTCGTCCAGCAGGATGAGATTGGCATCGCTAATCAGTGCAATGGCTATGCTCAGCCGCTTCAGTATGCCCTGACTGCAAACTGAGAGCAAGTGGAACCTGTACCTGTATAGACCGAATATTCTGCACACTGTCGTAGCATCCGATTTTAGGGTTTTCCTACTTATCCGCCGTACTCGCAATATCAAACGAATACTTTCCAATATGGTCAACGTGCGAAACATTTTCCCTTCTTGAGCACTATAACCAATCAGATCGCAGGCTTCCAAGTTCTCCGACTTGAAAGGCACCATATTCGAGCATATTATTCGTCCCGAGCTGGGTGAGTAAATCCCGAGAATTGCCTTCATCAGAATCGTTTTTCCAGATCCATTTTCCCCGAATATGCTTAAAACCTGATAACTAAAGGAAATAACATTTTTTTGGTTTAATAAAAGGGTAGGGGACATTGTCTTTGGAAAACCAAAGTTTATTTAAGTTTATAACAAAATTGATTGGCAAATATTTTGTTTTATATTTCCGATTTAAGGACTAAGATAAATATCTTCATCTTTAGTATAAACTGCAAATGGATTAGACTTGTTTGTTGATGCTGATCAAGAATGAAAATATATATAGCTTTCAAAGAAATTTTTTAAGAATTAGAACTACAATTTTCTCTGAAAGGGTACACAAATTAAACTTAAAGTAGTATATTAAATAATTTCATACCGATTGACCATAAAATCAATGTGCTTTAGTGCCGCCCTTAGACCAAATAAAACGCTCAGGTGCTCCACATGCAAAACTTTCGTCTCTATATAACTTCGTTCCAGTGTTCGAACACGTGACTTTTCGAAAATCCAGGTATTTTCAAGCTCATTGGGTTGGGAAATATGCAAAATATTTTGGTCGTACTGGCTATCTGGACTGCAAGAATATGGCGGTTATTCCAGTGTCTAAAATAATTATAAGAACACTTACTCACTGTCCCAAAAATATTTTTCTTGGCGGGGCCTACGCTTCACCAATTTTGACTTGAGACTTATGAAAATTGAGATCCACACAACGAATGTCAATAGGTATACACAAATTAAGAATCGAAAATAGTTAAACTGCTGTGCACGGGTATCTGTAAATAATTAACAAACAAATCAAGTATTTTACTACCTGTAAAGTTTATGAAGTTTGGGTGCAAATGAACTTCTTACCACAACAGTTTGGGACCTTTTGGCACTGCTCCGAGTATTCACTGGTCTCGCAAATTTGCACATCACTGCAGAGCCACATTTTCTCCGATATACTGGCAATGCGCATTAGGTTATGCAATAGGGAATAAAACGGATGAAAGTCGAGAAATAAAAAGAATAGCTCATTGGATTCTATAATGGGTTTTGTTTCATACACAGCAAGGTAGATTACAATACCAAATGAATAGAAGGCGATTACCTTGAGATAACAATTATGAATCTTACACTTTCCAATGGATATAAGCAAATTTATGCTGAGGACACAAAGCGCAACGACAACCAAGACGTAGGCATAAAGCACTGTTTATATTAAACAGAAAAAATAAATAATATCATTCGAGTAACACACCACTTACGGAAAATATCGACATTCATTAGTACGTCCCACTGGAGAAATATGACGGCTATGTTTAAAGGAAGAAAGGCGAGTGACACCACAGCTATATCGTATATTAGAAAAGCTAGAATCATTATGCTCATCCGCATCCCAGCAACCAGTTCAAAATAGTTATAGCGACTCTCTCGGCTCAGTGTCATATACAGCAGGGGGATGCTCCAAATAAAACAGAAACTGAAGCTCAGGGAGCAGGCGAATATCAAGTCAATGCCATCGATGTTCAGATGCAACTGCAGAGTATGAACCGTCGAGAAGGGCAAAGGTTCGATTTCCACCTTTATCCCCGAGTCAGAGCCCAAATAGCCACTGGAAATATAAAGACATAAAAGGATGCCAAAACCCACAAATCGATTATCAAAAACAAGGAGCATGCACTATAACAAGTGCTCAATTGCACTATAATTCCCAAAGGGTTCTATCAGAATCAGAGTTCGACTGCCTCGCAAAGCAATTGTACATTGCACTCACACTCATTTAAAGATGTTTAAGATATAAAAACGCTACTTACACTGCCAAGGAATTCATTGCCAGGGCCAAACTATCGGGTGCTGAGTGGGGCCATTTGTTGTTGAAGAGAGCTTGGACCTCGCCATCGGAAATTATGGCAGCCGCAATAAAATCTATGTCGGATAACAAGTTGTGGCTTGTTACATAGCTGCGAATGTAATTCGTAATGTCGAGTTCCGGCTTTATCTCAATGGCTCCTGATGTGACATACTCCTCTCCCGCCCTGACCAGTCTCTCTTCTGAGGACTTTTGTTGCAGGACAACGATACCACTGCCTTGATCGCCAATGGGAAAAAGAGCTTTTCCCGGTGGCTGGCATGTGTCCCAAAAGTATGGCATGCAAAGTGTCCAAACCGCAACCAAAGTGGGTAAAATAAATTTTAAAAGTGGCATAAAGCAGTTTCTGAAGTCGGTGATCAGACGCTGGCGAAGCACTTCCCAAAGGTGCATAATCGGTAAGATATATCTCTTCTGGCGCTGGTTGCTGATGGAAAATATAAGGGATCTGCGGTCTTCAAATTCAAAACTTGATTGCTCATTGGCAAACAAGTTTAATAGAATGTGTTCAAGGCTGCATTCCTGAAGTTGAAAGCTGTATATATTCAACTCCTCTTTGTTTTGAGTCAAGTCCTCAAGCAAAGCAATCAATTCAGTTTGGTTTTTATATTTAATTAGGAAAACTGCGGTGTCGCCCAAACTAGAGTCTATCTCAATATCAGCTATGTACTTCTCCAAAAAAAGGTGCACTTCTGCGAAATTGCAATTTTCGTTAGCATTAATAGTCTGTTGAAATACAAAAATAAATATTAGTAACTAGGTAAAACTAACTATTTGGGGTCATGAGTGCAGTATGCAGGAAAAGAATAATAAATGGTCTATTCTTACCAATCGATAGGAATCATTAAAAGTGTTGCACAGACTTTGCTCGGTTCCCAACGATAGCAGTTTACCCTTGGACAGAATAGCAATGCGATCGGCAAGATCGCTGGCTACTTTTGGGCTATTGGTGGTGAAAAATATGGATCGACTTTTCTTTTGTTCCTGGAGAAAACTGAATAACAACCTGGCCTTCGGCTCATCCACACCGTCAAAGGGCTTGTCGAGGATTACATTGCGAGTTCCTCCAACGAAAGCACATAGGGACTGCAAAAGGAGTTTCTGTCCGGTAGTAAGTTTCCTCACCTTTGTTCTTTCCAACTCCTCAATTTTCAAGGAGCGAAGAAATGCCCTTACTTCTTTTCTGGCTTCGCTGTGCTTAAGACCACGCAACCTGCAGAAAAATATTAGGTGGTCGTACACCATGAACTCGGAGAACAATGTGCTGGAGGACAAGGACGTTCCGGTATTTTTAAATGCTTGCCTTCTATGCGTACCTACATTATGGCCCGATATGTAGACCTCTCCATTAGAGGGCATTATCAGTCCACACAGCATCTTAATAATTGTGCTTTTTCCCGATGAGTTACTGCCCAATAGTGCTACCACTTCTCCAGGGTAAACACTTAATGTGAAGTTCCGCACCACAAACGACTTCGAGAACTTTTTCCACACGTTTCGAAACTCAATTGTCGCAATTTTTTCGCTCTTTGCACCGGTGCTTTTTCTTCCTACACTGAGGATCTTCTGAAGCCTAGTTGACCTTCGATCGTTGCCTGCTTGGATTTTAAAAGGCCACCTTTCCACCGCCTCCTCAGTAGTATTTAGTTTAATTCCTCGAATTTTTAGTCTCATTTTTCTGAAAATACCTCCAAAGCAAGCGCATGCATTAGTTTCCAGGATCAGGGTGATTAGCATGCAAAGTAATGCCTGTATATAAAAACATGCAAAAGGTACTACCAGACCATAATCAGAATGCATAACTTTGTAATCAAAGAAATCACTATTTTTCGGTTCTCTCGGGAAGTCTTCGATGTAAAAAAACTTCTTTAAGCCACGACTCAATGATACATTGCAAAGAAGTACAGTAGCTACTATATAAAATATATCTGGCAGTTCAGAGATTAGCTCTTCGTCCGACAAAAATGGAAGGGGCACGAGAATCCATATGATTGGGACCAGAACCATAGCTATTTTTGTGTTACGCATTACTGATGACATTAATATGACAAAACTGCTAACAGAGAATCCATATGAGATGAAAAAAAAGAATAATATATGCCAGGGACTTTTTTCTAATACTCCTGCAAGTCCATCCCACTCGATCTGAAAATAGAGTTCTTAACTTTTCGGCTGGACCAAGCAATTAGAGTTTGAACCTTGAGTAAACAAGTGATAAAAATACAAGACACCAGGAACTCAAGGAATCCGTTGAAGAACCAAGCTACCATTTGCATTGCTGCACTGGCGTTGTTGGCCTCCATCGCGAAACGTTGTCCAACCTCGCGCTCCTCCACAATCAACTGAAAAAAGAAACAAGAAGGAACGCTATAGTCGAGTTATATAATCAGATTTCGAAATAAATATGTCCCAACAGATTAAGCTACTTGCAATTCTATTGAGGCAAAGCAAAGAGGATGCGGTGCCATCTGATGTTAAGATATATATATTTGCTGACGACATTGATCATGTTAAACTTTATTTCTTAATAGCCTCTAAAACAATTATTAAATAAAATAAAATCGATATTGCACAAACCTTAACTAGAACAGTCACAGGAAACATGAAGCCAAGTAGAATCAGTAATATGGCTGAAGTGGCTACTCTGTCAAAGATTAGTACATTAGCATTTTCATTAAATCGGCGAAGTAAGACTTTTGGGATTTGTTGTCCCATGGTCGCAGTTCGCAGGTATTCGGCACTGATGTAGTACTGTAGGGCTACGAAACCCTCTCGTAAAAAATCCGCGTAGCTTTCCTCCTCGGTTTCCTCGCTATCGGAACTTTCAGGATTGACAAGAAAGTTGATTTCCTTCCAGCTGTCGCCGATCCATGTCTGTTCATAGTTGCGGAGCTCTGATGGCATAATTATGGCGAAATGCAACAGCGTAGGTAGGCCATTTTTCGTAGGATCGGCATTTACATTGCGAAAGCAAACACTTGCCAAATAATGTTCAGAAGAAGCGTGAGCTCGCAAATCATCGCAGTCCTTAAAGCCTTCTATCTGGTCTGACGAGATGGAAAGTTCTAGTACGGCAGCCTCAATTAAGATTCCTATGGCCGAATTCGAATTTGGAGCAAATCCCACTTTTATTTGCGGTATGAAGACATTCATTTTAAAACTGTAAGAAATGGAAATAGGTATTATAAATAAAAACTTTATCCAAGGATTGGATATGTATGTAGGAACTTTGTTTGCTTAAAAAAGAACAGCTTTTTTCTCACTTACTTACTTTTTCTGTTTCTCCACCACTCTGGCTCGTCGTTCATTTATTTTATCGATCAGCGAACGCCAACCCAACTCCAATATTCTGGCTTCGTCTTTTCCCGAGTAGTCCCTCAAATGTTGTTCGTTTGAGGATCGAAAGTAAAAGAGCAATAAAAACGAAATCACAGGCAGGACTATCGACAGAAATAAAACTAACTTATAAGCTTTTTGTTTTTGAAAGTTCTTCCAAACCAACATCCAAAATATGGAAAATATGTTGCAAGCCATTATAAAATATTCATTTATTTATTTTTTTTTAAAAACAACGGCACAACCTTTTCAAGTTTCACATATAAAATGACAGGTAAGGCAATTCAGGTTTTCTCTTTACGTTTTACCCACTGTTTCATATCACTATGCGACAGTAATTAAAACACAACAAATAATTAACATACTCTAGTCTCTTAAAGTTATTGTCTACAGATAGTTTGTAATCCGCATCCGTAAAAATACATCCGCTGACATTCGTCTATAAGCATTCCTTTGACATCAGCTATGCAGGTATATCCAACTCGGCTATATTGACGGGTTTTAAGGTTTATTCTATAGATCTGTCTATCTATGCTGCAAGTGTAAGCAAACATTTCAGATTCCTCGTTGGTCTCCTTGGTGCGACAATGTATTGATAAAGCATTTACTTGGGCATTGTGCAGGCCCAAAAATTCAGTTTTATATTCCACTCTTTTGCTGTCCAAATTAAGTACTGTGTACTTTATATTTTCATCATCCCCGCCTGACAATATGTGCAATATGTGCCTTTCGACGTATATATCTATCGTATTTACTCCCGTCACATGGAGTTGTAGTTGAACACAAATTGTTTGTAACGTTTGATCAAAACCGTAGATTTCTCCATTCGTTGTTGTGATTAGTAATAATCCTTTGTTGCCAATCCACTGCACCGTCAGTGGGCATCTTTTTATATCTACAAAAGTTTTGAAATCAAGATGGGATGGATTTTTGCAGTTCCAGATATAATGACTGATTTTCCCATCAGCTCCTGCTACATATATTGAGAAATATCCCTCAGTAGAATGCGGGGCGATATCGATTGCCATAAGTCGCGCTTCAATAGTGCTGGTTTTAGACGGGGTTAAATTCTGCAGTGTATGTGTGCACAGTTCAGTAATGTAGCACTTATTCGATATGTCTATGTTCAGTTGGCTAATACAGAGTTGGGATCGACCTCCTACCGAGAAAATCAGCCATGAACTTGAGTCGTTTTCCGATTTACAAAGATGGGCCTGAAGACAGCGAACTGTTGAGATATGAGAGTGCAATTCAGCACATTGGAATAGTGAATCATTGATTATTTTCGTGACTTTTATAATATTATCATCGCCAGCGGAGAGAATAAAAGGATCCGCCTGACTTTTGGGCGTCAGAAGTCGAATTGTATTGCAATTTCGTGTGTGCCAGGTATTATTTTGTATGTCTTTAATGCGACTGACGGCGACTGCACTGTAGAGTGGACTGCTATGGAATAAGACACGCTTCTGCTTCACATAAGCTATGGAAAGTAAATTACTACCCAGCCGGTAGTCCCAGCATCGATTGCCCCCGCCGCACTCCACCTGCAAGAGGACATCGTGTTGGCGTGACCAGGCCACAATGTGATTGTCATTAAAGCCTAAAACCAAGTCCTCGGAAGGAGCTGCTTCCACCCAAGCTAATGGAACACTTTCGCGTTGTCTAACAGTCAAAGTGCAGTCCGTAAATCCTATGTGTAGATATTTTAGAAAAGCTTCGTGGCCACCACTCATAACATTGGCATAGTCCTTATTGACATTCATTAATTTAAAAAAATTGGCACCCATTTTACCATGCAAAAATTTAATTGTATCTTTTAACACAAAGTCGTTTCCTAAACTGCGGTGGTATAGCATGACATGCCCCTTACGATTGCCCAACAAAAGATAATGCTCGGAAACGAGCAAGGCAGCTGTTATCCAAGGCTCGCGATCATTGAAAAGAGCAATATGAGAGTCTATGCAAAGCTCGTGTGTTTTCAATAACAGACAGTAACCCAGGTTATCGGATACAAGATATTGGTCTCTGCTTAAAAATTGAAAAGACCGAATCGTGCCCTTCATCCTAATGCCATCAAAAAGGTTTTCGAACTTATTTGTGAGTGCATTATACCTGTGAATTGTTATTCGTCGATGACCACAAGTAGCTATAAGGCCATCGAAGACCTCTAAAACTGTCCGTTTGTATGATGGAAAATCATTTACCAAAAGCCAATTGTTGTCATTAGGAGAATCTGGCAATATTCGAGTGTAATATAATCGATTCGAGCTACTTAAGCCAACAATTGTGTCGTCATTTAGGAACTTAATATTCCTCGGAAACTCATTTGCATCACCTACACTGCTCAGCATAGTGGGGCGATTCCTATCTCGGTTGAAGATTTCCTTAAGGTTCTGACCGACCAAGTTACCCGTAGAGCTGGTGCTGTAAAGTGTATGTGCATCCTCGCTGAATCCCAGCCGCCAAATTGGTGCCCCAAAATGCTGACGGCGTTTTAACAGCAATTCGCCAGCAGTACTCCAAATGCAGACGTAGGAATCCTCACCGCCAGTAGCCACAAATGTTTGTTCACCTGCAACGAACGTTATTTATAGCAGGCTGCATACAATTCTTTGTTATTAAAATCTTACCAACTTTAAAGATTATAACGCACATTACACGTGATCCATGTCCAAAACAACTATACATTGGCTTAAGCTCGGCGGTTGTCCAGTCGGCTGATTTTTTAATATTCCAAAACTTAACCGAACGATCGTCAGATGTTGTTACTAATAGTTGCGATTCCAAATCAAAATCAATGCTGTGAATCACTCCATTGTGTGCTTGTAGACGCAAAAGCAATGGATATGTTTTCATAATGCTGTTACATTCGGATTCAATGGGAAATTGAGTTTGCCATAGCAGCAATTCACCAAAGGCATTTCCACTTATTATTGCCAGTTTATTATAGCAATTGCCATGCAATCGCGTGTAGTAGAGAATGGAGCTGTCCGTACATCTGGCTAATTCCAAAACTTTGCAGTCTTCACTGGATGTAATATTAAATTCCAAATAAAGGAGTGCACTATGCGAGGTGTGCAGGACAAATCGTGTCTTATCTGTTGCATTCTCCTCGAAAAACATAGCAGCATTAATCCAGTCTTTGGTTTCGCCCTCGTAAATCAATTGAAACTGGTCCTTATCACAAATGGAGGTACATATAATGAGCGAGTATTCATTTTCGCTATAAAGCAATAGTAATCTTTGCGATTGATTCAAAGAACTCCACTCAAATCCACGAACTTTTCCTTCACGCAACCGAACCGGCATCTCGACTTTGGCATTTGAACTGTATAAAACCGCTTGATCTCCATGCCCTGTGTATATAAAAAACATATATTATAGTCTATAAAACTGCGGTTCATCATTTAACGTACCAACCAATATGCAATTGGAGGACACATGCATGGCAAAAGCATCAGATATCAAAACCATAGCTTTATTTGTATTGTAAACACGTTGATTGATAAACACACTCCGTCTAGTGTGGCCGTGTCTTTCCAAAATTATAAAAATTCACTTTTTAAATATGTGTCTAGTTAGCGTCAATAAAGTCAAAGTGGAACGGTGGACTGTCGAACATAGAAGCGTTTTTTATTTTAAATTGTAACTCTTATCACTATTCTATTCAACTTGACTTTCGGATTTTTGGTCAAAACCCTGGGAAAAATTGTTAAATGATAAAATATCTTACCTTATTGAACTTGTTATAAAATTTCCAATCGATTGGCGTTCACAATTGAAGATTTTCATTATTTGCCAAATTTCGTTAAAATCATAAGTAACCCTTTATGAAATATATTTTAAGCCAAAATCTAGAGTTTCGGTTTTTTGATTAAACTAAAAACTAGAACTATGGAAAAAATGGTTTATTAGATGTTAGGAACGTGTCAAAAATCTGGAAAAACAAAAACGAGAATATATTATGGAAGACAAGAAGATATTGTCTTTAGTCCAGTGCGACGATTTAACGATCTTTTGTAGGGTGAAAAGTTAATGCTTAAAAAGACTTTAAGACACCTAGATATCTTTATGAGTATTATTTTGATCGAACTCAAAGAAGAAGATGCCAAGACTCATCAATTAGAATGAGACACGATGGGGCTTTCAATTTCTTGAAATAATGAAAAAGGAAATACAACCTCATCTCTCATTTTACTTATAGAAACACCCAATTTTTAAATAAGCATTATTTCAAATTCATATTTTATAAAAAATGTATTTAATAGACTAAAACACAATGTAAATCATTAAAAAAATAACTAAATTATCAAAGATACGCTAAGAAGGCCAGCTTCTTATATGCACGGCAATAGATTCAGAGAACTGGATATAGTTGGTTCAATAGGAGGAACCTGCTTGTCCTCATGATGTTGTAGCAACTTAAAGATACCGGTACCTATGCCCGCGGGCATCCCTAGGATTATACGTTCTGAAACCCCATTAATGGCGTCGGTCTGACCGTAGTATGCTGCATCAAACAAATGATCCGCCGTCTTTTCAAACTGAAATAGTAATATAAAATCAGTAAATGAATATAAACTTGAATGAATCTCCTTACCGATGCCAAATTGAAAACGCTCTCGCGCATTTTGGCCAAACCATGTCGAGTGATACCCAATACTTCGCCACGCGCTGTCATTTGGCTGGCTAGGAGCATGATATGGCGCCAATCGACACTCATGCCATGGCCCTCCATAACCTCTGTGATCTCGCTCATAATGATAGTCCGGGCTGCTTCTATCCCCAGCGTTTGATATATTTCACAAATGTTGTTACTGCGGGTATGTTCGCCTACCACACCAAATGTAGCGATGACATCGCGAAGTCCGTAGCCTTCGATGCAAAGTTTATATGTAGGAGGCTGTTTCGCATCATCCACAGCAATTACTGCACGGGCGATGTTCGGTAGGCCCGCCACCACGACATTCTGTAGACTGAGGGCCAGACGCGCCAGCTCTGCGTTTATTGTTGAGGTACGCGTGGCTTCGACCCGCACAACAATTCGCGATAGTTTCGCAACACTCTGCACTTGGGACGGCTTAACCCGCATACGCGACTTCAGTATGCTAAAAACAATTGTGTCCAGGTTTATGTGGAGACCCAGAAGCTTAATTCTGGCCATATCGATTCCGATCGCGAGGTAGCAGCTGTAAGGTCCGCATACAACTTCAACATAGGATGATAGCTCTGCCAAAGTTGTTTTCTCAATACGCGCCTTGACTTGTCTTGCAAATTCCATGCTATGGCTATTCTCCAACTCAGCAGTTATGATTGGCGTCGATATTGTTTTCGTCGCGTTAATTATCTCAACTATACGGGGTACACCTTGTGTAATATTCATAGAGGCAACGCCAGCAAAATGGAACGTCTTCAAAGTCATTTGGGTTCCTGGCTCTCCAATACTCTGCGCTGCAATAGCTCCAACTGCTGTGCCAGGTTCGCTTACAGCTCGGTTGTATCGATCATTAATTCGGCGCAAAAATTTAAGCAGCTGATCGGCGGTGATGCATTCGATCTGATTGCAAATGTCTTTATATTTGTCATAGCGTTTCTGCAATTGCTCAATCCGCTTGGCCACAGTATTTATATGGTTTCTGCAATATATCACGTGAAATGTTTATAAATTTTAATTAGTTTAAAGAAACTACTTTTACCTAACATCTACTTTAAAATCATCTCGGGATTCTATGAATTCAGGCGTCTTAAAAAGTGATTCTAAGGTCTCAGGAATTTCGGCCCCCAAAAGCGGACGTTGCTCGCCATGTGGATGTTGAGCACGCAGATTGTCATATTGATGGACTAGATCAACTGGTTTGTTTCGGGTCTCCATTGATACTGGGTCGAGGCCATCGCCACCGTATATGGTATCCACCATTTCGTTGACAGCATTACGCACAGTGCCGTCGTAATGCACTACCAAATCTTCAAGGCACTTCACCAAACGTCGCTGCAGATATCCAGTCTCCGCCGTCTTCACAGCTGTGTCCACCAATCCCTCTCGTCCGGCCATTGTGTGAAAGAAGAACTCCGTTGGTGTGAGGCCGGAGTAGAAACTGTTCTGCACAAAACCTCTTGCCGCCGGAATAGCAGCTGGAATAAATTGTAAAGTGTTAGTAATTATTTCAGGCCGAATCTTTCTTATACTTACAGTGCCTTTCAAAATGGGGCAGGGCTCGATTCTCAAAGCCATTGGGCACTCGTTTTCCACTTATCGCCTGCTGCCCAACGCAAGCGATCATTTGGGAAATGTTAATATTCGAGCCCTTCGATCCACTGAGCGCCATTATCAACGCACTATTTGTGGGATGGAGCTCTGCAAAACATGTTTTGGCAGCCTGCTCTCGGATTCCCGACAGTTCGCGCAACATCACGGCCTCAAGAGTCTCTTCTGGGGTGCAGCCAGGTTGGCACTGCAGGGTACCCGCCTTAAGTTTTTCGATATAGTCATTGCATTTTGAATATCCATGTTCTAATAACACTTCCTTGTGTTGCAGAAGTTTTTTGCTTGGGGTGACGTCGCTTATTCCAAATGAGAAGCCTCGGTTCTGTAGATAGTACGACGTGATCTGAAAAGAATATTTACTTTATTGTTTGTAGCATTCAGAATTAAATTTGTTTTTATTTTCTAAAAATTACATCAAAGGAAAGTGCTGCAAACAAAGTTGTTTATGCTAATGAGTATAACCTCTTCTTTATATAAAAAGGGGTCCAATCTTTTTTAAACAGTCTGTAAAATTTGTAAGGTGACAACAAAAATGTAAACTCCAATAAGTAAAAGCTCCAGAAAAATAAAGCCACATTTCTTTCCCGTACATTTTTTTTTAGCCCACAGTGCACAATTGTTATTCTTTTTAATTTCCGGGAACTCCATGTTTGCATGACAGTGGGATCGCTCAGTAAACAATTTATTCAAAAAAAGGATGCAAGCATTTTTCATCAAGTGATGGTAATTTTGTAACTATTTCAATATAGCATTATAAAATGATCGATAAGATATTTTGCACTGGCATGTCAATTGGATGATGAATGGGAAACGAACTTTTCATTTGTGGCACTCGTATAATAAATTGTTTAATCATAAGATAATGGACAGAATATATACTATATCAAAGATATCATATACTTTGCCAGAAATGTAAATACCCTTTAAAAGGGTATAAAAGAAAATATATTTTCTGACGCTGCGGGGCTTGAACCGTCCAACTACCGAATGATATGTCGACTCCTTTATAGACAAACATTTTAACGGCCGCTAAAAATATCGGGTGACCACAAACCAATTCTAGAACAGTGCATGTTCTTGGAAGCAATTAAAAGTCAACTTTAACAACAAGCGAATTAGTGAAGCTATCATTCCTTATTGTAAGAGCAAGACACACGTCGTATTTAGTAAGTTAAGTTAGCAGTTAATCTTATCAGAAAGTCACATTGTTAAAAAATTTCGTGCAAAATACAGATAAAAGATAGCTACTACTGAGCGTCAAGGAAAACAGACGTGTGAAATTAAAAGCCAACTTCCGACAGACAATAAAGCACGACGGCCAAGCCATGGGGATACATTTCAAAAAATCCCTAATGCTAATTTTATTGGCTCAGATTATGGTTTTCGGCCTGCCCGCCCAAGAACCAGCTGCAAGGGCTTCAGTGGATATTGTAAGTAGTGCAGTGGTCAACACCAGTATGTAAAAATGGCATACTTCATAAGTCTAATTTCAACAGCAAGGCCGAATTATATCCGGAAGTCAAGCTAAAATTGGTCAATTTCCCTGGCAAGTCATCTTGAAAAGAGACGAATGGGATGATTTACTCTGTGGAGCATCCATTATTTCTGCAAACTGGGTACTGACGGCAGCTCACTGCGCCTCCGGCCACGACTCCTTGTTTTTGATGTTTGGAAGCGTGCAGCTTAACAATGAAAATGCCCAGAATATGACGTCCACAAATATTTTTGTCCATCCAAACTATAACGAACATTTGAATAACGATGTGGCACTGATACAGCTTCCAGAACCACTAGTGTTTTCCAGTTACGTTCAGGCCATACAATTAGTGACAGAGTCCGAGCAATCAAACAATTTTGTGGGCACTACAGCAGTCGTGGCAGGATTTGGATTGATGGACGACGAGTACCTTGACTATTCGGAAACACTGATGTTTGCCCAAGTGGAGGTCATTGGCAACGATCAGTGCCTACCCATCTTCGGCGCTGCCGTCGTAGTGAACTCGACTATGTGTTGCAAGGGCGTCGGAGGAAGCAACATGTCCATTTGCAGTGGCGACTCCGGCGGGCCCCTCATCGCATACAACACCAACAGCGGACAATGGCAGCAGATCGGCATTAATTCTTTCGTCGCTGAAGATCAGTGCACCGCCAGCTACCCCTCTGGCTACGTCCGTCTCACTTCCTTTCTTCAATTTATTGCCGAGACAACAGGCAATGCTGTATGAAATCTGACTTAAAGCAGAAGAAATAATAAAACATGGGCATATCAAATCACTGGTGTAATTATACCTGCTGAGTTAATTGGTAAAAAGGAAGCGTCGTTGTGTAACCAAATGACCTAATGACCAAAAAAAAAAAAAAAACAAAAAAACTCAACGTGCACACCCTATTATATAAACTGATTCTTATTTTCTTAAAACGACCAATCTTCCGCCCAATATCCAAATTAAAAGTTTTATTTTAAAATAATTATGTTTACGGAATATAGGAATTTCTTGAATCCAATATAAAGCTCCCCCGTAACGTTATTTTATTTAAAATAGGATCTCTTTTGAGAATCTTTCAAAGGACTTACTATTGTTAGTTTACTAATTACTTTAAGGGAAAACAGATGGCTTTTGGCTGTTATCCTATTTAGATCTTTCGTACCTTATGTTCAGGTGAAAGGACAATTTTACGATTTTATATCAATGAAATATTTATTAGAACTCAAAAAAGTAGAGCCTTTGCCAAATATTGCTAATAATTCAACTAATTAACTTTCAGCATTAATGAGGTAGTGATTAGCTTTTAAGTCAATAAATCAAGACTTATTTTCTTTTCAATTAAGTTCAGTTTTTAAATAATCATACGAACCCTTGCTAATCTCCACATCGCCTTAGTAGCGTGAAGTTCTCCAAAGTCTCTTAGCAGCAAGTAGAAGATGCACTGTTTTGTACCAGAGCCCATGCTAGCCTTATCCATAACACCGCACATCAATTCCGAGTTGCGTATGTGAATCCCTGGCGACAGAACAAATAAACTCGCTGTTTACTCCACACATATTAATGGAGGATGCACTACTCACATGAGTCATTGCTGCACAGATCCATGTTTCGCGTGTAGTTTCGTCCTTTGTTCACCATATTAAGGCGAACTTCAGAGTCGTCGTTCGGTCGCATTAGCAAGCTAAACAGTTGCTTGCCTGTCCACAGTCGACGTGGCTTGAGAAGAGCAGGTGGTGGCAGCTTTATGTGCATGGTGGAGTCTTCACATGCCAAGAAGCATGCGGCTAACTGCATGGCATCTTCCTTGGTAAGAAACACCTCCTTTTGCGTGAGCAAGTAGCCTCCAGTGATGAAGTCCTGTGTGGCGGCAATTAAAATCTCACCATTTTTCGGCGTTACCAAATTCGACTGGTTTCCCATTAGAATTAGCGCTTCAGCTCTAGCTTCCTCCGTTTGCGGCAAGTGCAGATTCATCTCGTCACCGTCAAAGTCGGCGTTGTAAGGTGTACAGGCACACTCGTTGAAGCGGAATGTCCTTTGTGGCTGCACTTTGGCGCGGTGGCACATAATGGACATCTTATGGAGCGAAGGTTGACGGTTAAACAGTACTATATCATCGTCGCGGAGATGACGTTCAACGATGTCACCGCACTTCAGCTCCTGCGCCACCTTTTCTCGATTGCCATAGGCCAGGTACTTCTTGAAACTCGATCCTCGCTGCTGAACATAGTTTGCGCCGGGATGCAGGCTTGGTCCATTGCGTACTAGTTCCCTCATGTGACGCATATTTGCTGGATTAACGCGCTCTGGGTACGTCAGTATTTTAGCCACTCGCACTGGAACCCCCACCTGGTTGATCATCAAGTTCGGATCCGGTGAAATGACGGTGCGCCCGCTAAAGTCCACTCTTTTTCCAGATAAGTTACAGCGGAAGCGACCCTGCTTTCCCTTCAGTCGCTGAACAATTCCGCGCGTTGTTTTCTTTGGTGCCATATTGATGGGGATTCCGCTGATTTCACTATGGAAGTATAGAGCGACATGAAGCTGCAGAAAGTCCCAATCCTCGTGTATAAGCTCGATCTTTCCGCCGGTAGCCATGTGACGCTGAATTACATCATTGATGAGCAAGATTTCACTCTGTTTCATGGTCAAATCGTCCTCCGTGGTGCCGGCCTTTACTTCAGACAGCACTGAGGGGCGAATGCAGGCGGGAGGCACAAAGACTCGCGTCACAATAAGATGCTTTGGGTGGGCATCGTGCGAACACATTCCCAATAGGGCCACATCGCTCTGGGGAATCTGTTCGAAGAGGTCGAGCACCATGAGCGGCGTAAGTTCCTCGGCTGTGCTATAGCTACCCAGCGTTAGATTGAGATCTCGATTCGCCTCTGTGGAGCGGAGCATTTCGTTCATATTGCTGGTAAAGAGAGAATCCACTTTGCGCCCCTTGTAGGGATCGTGCAGGATTTTAAGGAGCCCGGGACCCTTCTTCACACCACCGTTTGGGGAACCGCAATGCGGGCACTTGGTGACCTTTTTGGCCTTGGCCAGCATCTGCACGTGCAAGGCCTTCTTTCCCAAATAGGAGAAGTTCGGGTTGTGCAGCTTCTTCTCGAACAGCTGCCTGTCCTCGGGCTTCAACATCACTTGGGCACATGCCTTGCATATCATCTGTAGGATATTAATGGTGGAACGAAAATGACCGATATGGAAAACGGGTAGTGCCAAATCCAAGTAGCCAAAGTGACCGATGCACTCGTTCAGACCTTGCCCACAGGTCTCGCACATGGCATCCTTCGTGCTGATCCCCATTCGGCGGTCAAGCACTCCATAGGGAACCGGCTGTCTCTGGGCCTGGTACAGATTCTTGGAGATTATCCGCACAAGGGCCTCCTGTTGAATCTCATCCGCCCCACTGATTCCGAATTGCACATGTGAACTGAAGTACAATTGGTTAATTTTTTAATTTACATCTAAGGAAGCTGTGACTTACATCTTTTTGTTCAGCGCAGAGGCGCGAAACTGTTCCTTGGGCATGATTCCAGCTGGAAAAAAGTGGGCGCACTTAAATGTATTTAATTTAATATATTTGTTTACTAATAATTAACCGGCACGATTTTCCTAAATTTGATTTAGTGTGACCGCGCCTAGACTTTTGAATACATTCCAGAGCACATCGATAAGATATCGATACACCTTCTTAATCAAATCATGTGCGCGTCAAAGTAGCAACGGAGTTACGGCGAAAGTCTAACGGTGTTCAATACGAGCGGTTTTGATTTTAAAATATATTTGAAATATATTCGCAATTAACGAATTTACCAATTAGTAGACAATTATACCTTGTAAAGTATTGTGTTTAAAGATATTCATAAACATAGTTTATAATGTCTTTATTCAACCACTTAAGATAGAGTCCGTAATAAAAATACTCTTTTTAAAAACTGTACAACTTATGCTTTAAATATTTATAATAAATAATAAATAAAATAATACGGGTGTTTCCTTTGTAAAAAGGTGAGATTTCGCCAAAGGCAAATCAAAGCCACTTTATAAATTAACTAAATTAAAAAGTCCCAATGTATTTATATATTATCGACATTTATTACCTCAATGTTGATGGTTTTTCATTTCATTTATAAAATTTTTGATGAAAATTAATACATTTCAGCTGAAAGCATCCCGTTGGTTTAAGCACTTGTTATGTGCTCACGTGTCTGGGAGTTATTTTTTAATTTCAAGGACAAACAAATGCCTATTTTAAGTTCACTCCTGAAGAGTTCATAAAATTAATCAAGACTTGACTCCCAGAGGAATTATAATATAAAAATTAGATTTCTTTTATTTTCAAAACAACAGACAAGATTTCTATAATACCTTAAGTACTAAAGTTATTCGTTTTCATATGTTATAGACCCATTCTTGAAGTCGTGCACCTTTTCATACCATACATCATCGGAAGTTTGCTGCAGCTCCCCGAAAAACGTTGGGAATGGCGGAGCTTCTTTATTTTTTCGCAGTGGCAATATAGTGTCGTATATGTACACCAGACCTCCGGTGGGGCCGGGCACTGAACTTCCTTGCACCCACATCACGTTATACTTTGTGTTGATACGCCACACACGAAGGCCTTTGATAATACGCCACCGATTACCCATATGTCCCGGCATCTTTGTTCCAGGCCAGACGCGACCCTTTTCGCCACCTCCGCCGATATTGCCGGCACGACGATGTGTCTTGGTAACACCATGAGATGCAGGCATTCCTTTGAAGCCGTGACGCTTCACAACACCTTGGAAACCATGGTCAACTCTGTAAAAATATATGTTAACTATGTGTTAAATGCAACTAATTAACAATTTACTAGCACTAGCTGACAAAACTAGACTTCTCCGAGCCTTCTCTTTGGACGTTTTTGAGAAGTTAAGTTTTCATTAAAGTGCAACCGTTGTTGTCGAGTAAAAAAAAAACATTTAAATAAAATTGTCCAGCTTGGAACCCAATTAGTATTCCAGTTGTGATATAATCGCTTCTCATATTTAATTTAACTAATTTTATTAGAGCTCATATTAGGTGCTTCAAAGATAAGTTGTACCTGTATTATTTTCTTAGTTCTTATTTATAAGTTATATGATTGGATTGACTTCATTGATGGGACGAAGAATTGTATTTGTTTTTTAAAACATTTTTAAATTAAAGAGAAATTTAGCAAAAATTGATAAAATATTGTTCCTATTACAGCTATAGTATACACTCCTCTCCAAGACATATAAAAACATGTCTACTAGGTAAGCTGGAGATTAAAAAAATAATACATCTTTAAATAAATACTTACGTTTTGCCGCGAACATCGACAAAGTCACCAACGCCGAAGTGATTTACATTTAAGGGAGTTCCGGGGACGAGTTCAGCCTCTGGAGAAACTATAAATCTGGCCAGGTTTTTTTTTGGGCCAACACCCGAATCTCGAAATATTCCAGTGTACTCTTTGGTCAGCAGAGCGGGATTTGTGCTCTCCGAGCCTACCAGAATGCAACCGCGCTTCTTTAAATTGTGGACTTTGGGTGGTTGCGCAGGTAAATACTCTTCCGGAGGAATGTATTTAATGACATGGTTGTCCGCGATCTGCAGCAGAGTGGTCCGTATCCTTTCGCCATTCTTAAGCCAGAGGGGGTACTGGCCAATTTTGCGCGCTATCAGGCCGCACCGCCTTAAGCCCGGGGTCCACGTTACCTCGTTCGTGGCTGCATCTTTGGTCTTGATCAAATTCTCCTGGACATCTTTTTTGATTGCTGGAACGCCGAAGTTTACACCACCCAGTTCATTGACAAACTGTTTGTTCTCTGTTGTCAAATGATCATCGTATCTCTGTAGTATTGGAACATACATGAATAGCTTTTTTAAATATGGTTAAGTATATACAACATACTGTGACTTCTTTGCGCAAAAACCATTGGGGATTCCGGAGTCGGGGTCTGCTCAAATGGCCTTTATCACGCACCTGCGTAAGAGTAACACCGCAGCCACCGCTGAGCCTGAATGAAGAAACATAAATTAACTGTTTGTTCTGTTACCAACAATTATTGTACCAACCTTAGACCCAATAACTGGTGGATAACACTCCGCATCATACTTATATAATATAATTCAATAATGCATAAAACGAGCCGGTCTGGTCTAGACAACAGTGTGACCGCCGATAAAAATAACCATTCATAACATAAAATATACCAAATATACCATAAAATTACCATCACAAAATGTAAGGGGTATTCTTATAACGAATTTTGATCTGCTGTTTGCCAGCTGTTGCATTCTCATTTTACTCCCGAAAAGTTATGTATTTAACAATGCAGGACTGGTAAGCATTTTTGTTGAAAACTACGTATTTCGCCATTGTCTAATAAAAGTGAAAACTCACATATATTTTTTGTCAACATTGAAGTTTGGGATTTCAGTTTATAATTAAGAAACAGCTGATTCAAAATTTATCAACTTTTCGTGGAAGTTAGCCTACTATATCGTAAAGCGCAAGGCGAACATGTAGAATACCGTAAGGTAGACGGCCTTACGTACAATATATATATGGACATCATAATTTCACAAGAAAAAATTACGACGTCATAATTAATTTTAATATATATTTCTTTTTTGATCACATCAAATAGGGCTTAAAATATGTTTTAGACAAAAAGAACATTTGCGACCGAAAATATAGTGCAAGAACAGCTGAACCAAGCAGGCCTGAAAAGTTTTGTGCTCAGTGGGAGTTAAACATAAATATTTTGGAAAATATTTTGTCTGAAAAATAAAATATGTATTTTGGGACACTATCGGACTCTTCCCAAAGTTTGCTGGACACCATTAAGCATATACACTTTAAATATATACACTCTCTGTCCCATATCCTACTAGGGCCAGTCTGCATACACTATGATCTATAATTCCGTAATGGCACAGAGCACGTTAATAAGGAATGGTTGGGATTATTGAAAGATGTGAAACCCCGAATTGTCAAAGAGGCTCTCTTATGTTTCAGCCAGTCTTAAAAATAGTTTTGCATTCTATTGTCTTATGAAATAATGAAATCTTGAAACACTTTTAGCATAACATAAGCTTATGGACCATACCATAATTGGTGTGTGATGTGTCTCCGTGGAAACAGGCTTTTAGTTGCGCCTAACAGCACATTTTATATACTTAACAGCACCTTCAGATAACTTGTGTATTTTTATCAGACCTACATTAATTTTTTTTTTCTAATCGGAGATTTAACAGTCCAAGTAATATATTGTCGTGCACTGGAAAACAATACGAAATATGTGCAATTAATGTTAAATATTATCCGTGCATTGATACGAAACTCGCGACGCGGTCAATTTCCGTTTAGAGAGCAACATTAGATATTGGGGAAATTACTCATACACTAATGTTTACTCTGTGAGTAATTTTAACACGGTACAAATGTGTGTGCGGTTGCGGTACGCGAAAAACTACCGACGGTTGCCTTTCGTAACTAAGAGCATTTCTTTTTGTATAAGTGAATTCCGATGGGCAAAAATCACATAAAGAGTGTTTCAAATGATCCAATAAACGATTAATTTTAAGGATTTATTTATTTGTGATTCCATATTTGTGCTGGTGTGTATCTATGTATATGTATATTTTATTTAGTTTTTTAAACAACTACATGTATACAATATAAACAAAGGATTTAGTGTTGCAGTTGTTTTTCGTCCAACGGGGTATGTCCGAAATCCGAATTATGGTGTTAGTGGCCTCGCAACCAGTTTTTAGATGAATGTTTACATATGTACATCGAAATTTAACAAGTTTATGCAAAAAAAAACTCTCGATACGCCTCATATTCATATAAATAGTGTTGCAAAGTGTGAAAATAAGTTATTTACCACTGACTTCAATTTATCATTAAGGGGAAACACAAATAAGTTATTTTTAAACAAATCATGTACACAATATCGCCACTATACAGGCGGTGTATATACATATGTATGTATGTACATACATATGTACGTGTAATCAACAACTTAAGGCTGGTATAACTAAGGAAAGCGATAAGATAAATTGAAATGCCAATGGTTAAGTGTTTTTAAGCCTTTAAAAACCAACATAAATTATTCTTTACCACGAAGTAAACTAAAGTAGTAAGAATGCATAGCAACAGCTGTGTTTTATATTGGGTGGTGTGCATCCAACAAACCACCTCCGTCAGCTGATGACTACCAGCTCCATTTAGTATGTTTTAATGTATTTATTTAACTAATTACGGCCAGCATACAATGCTAAACATAATAACAAGTTTCCCGAGCCCTTGGTACGGTGACCTTCGACTCCACCTGTGATTTACATTATCAATCTATATAATATAAACATATTTTTGTATATCCATATACCTACAACTCTCGATACAATTTTTTAAGTCAACACAACCATATAAAGCGGCAGAACACAATTTGTACCAAATATTCTTGCTGTAGTGTGATACATATGTACGAATCTGTGTGTGTATGTATGTATTTGCTATGAACTGATTTCGCACCAAATGGTACTATCGGCTCCAAAAAATATGTTTTCGGATAATACTGAACTCTTAACTCCATCCGACTGTTATCTTTAAAATGTTATTTTTTCAAGACATAACGAATTCCATTTGCAAAATCACTGGAAAGTTATTTCGCACCACAAGCAAGAACTTCCTGCCAGCGTTTCCATATTTTATTTTTATAATTATATAATTGACATTCAAGTTTAAATTCTCATGATAAACTTAGTATTCTTTATAATCCATCATTTTTAATTTTTGTATGGAGCTGTATTAAGGGGTTTGAGACAGAATTCACGTGCAGTTATCTAACAGGTGGTCGGTGGTTAGAGGGCCTTCAAGCCGGATAAAAGTTACACAAATGTCTATTATTTTGGAGCAAAATGGGTTAACTTTGGTAAATTTGTGTTTTTAGATATCAATATGTCAGATTCTGAAAATCTTGTTGTATATTTCAATATATCTTTGTGTGATAAAGGTGTGGTTAGCCAATGCAATATAAATATTTATAAGCAGATAACATTCTTTTTAATCATGTGACAGTATTACTTGAGGACTCTTAACAAAGTTTCATACAAATTTTGACATATTGTTTGATTAGCTTAGATGCTAGATTAGTTGGTGTAAATTGTTTTTGTTTTGTTCAGGACTATCTGTTGAACTGTGCCGATAAGTGTGCCTTTTGCAACAAATAAAGGGGGAGTGGCCCTCCAGAAATGGTAGAGTTCTTGGTGTCAACGAACACACATGCATGGAACCACAGGAGTTTGTAGTGTGTAGCCTTTGCTTTTCTCCAAGGAGTCATTTACCTGTTGATTGGTTGGTGTTCTTATGAATAATTCTGATATTATCCTGACTTAGAGTAAGAGTAGATTAATCGTTGCACTGATCTATTATATGTTGGTTGTATTTGTTTCATGTCAAGAAGATATTTTCGCCTGTTGTTTAGAAGTTATTTAATTTTTTCATTTAGGTAACAGTGGGGCCTTATCAGCTTAACGACTAGTTTTATAGTGATAGGGAAATGGCTAAGGGGCTATATATTTGCAAATGTAGTTAAACATGCCCCTGGTAAATGCTTGTATATTCGGGAGAGATAAGAAGTCTAAAAAAGTGTGATGGTTCCGAAAAAAAAAACGATAAGAAAAAATCAAAAGGTAGTCGATGCGATGGCTGCCCAATTTTTATCTAGCCCATTCCTCTAATTAATCTCTTTACATAAACTCTTTTTAAATACCTACGATCGTATGTTGCCTTTCCTTGTTCTTCTGCATTTAATTTTAAGTAAATTTCTATTCTTCGATCGGTATAATTAATAAATTTGCTTTCTTTGTCGGGGTAGATCAAATCAGATATACCCTTAAACTAAACCTTGTCCTACCTTGTAATAATCATTATTTTTGGTTTGTTTGTTGGCACTGCTTAATCAAATGAATAGTTGTCAATCGCCATTGAAGATCGGTATATTGTTATTGGATACGTATTTGTCGTTAGAGTTCAACATTGTTAGAACATTTAAATAAACGATTTAATAAGAAACGTTTAATATTTCAGGCAAACGTCACAGTGATTTTTGGGCTGCAACGCCAATATTCGCCTTCAGTTTTATTTTAAAACTCTTAGCCCTCTTTGATTTATTCAACGCCGAAAACTGAGCCTTGTGAACCAAGAGGACGAAATCTGGAAAAAACACGATATCCAAAAAAAAATGGAAGAAATTTTCTTTGTTGAATATGTTGCCCACCTGTTAGCAGTGCACCACCATGCGCAGAGGTTTCAAAACTAGAGAAGAAGAATTGTGTTATGTACAGGCTTAAATACCAGGTGGGAAGGAATTGTCACAAACCTAAGGAGGACGTGCGGGATTACACATTTAACTTAACAACTTCGTCATATGAAGCTTAGAAAGCTATCGCTATATTTAAATTGCCTTTTGAGGATCAACAACATTCCTGATTCTCTGTGGCTCCACACTTCACACTTTTTTGTATAATATAATCGTCATCTCATGGTGACGATGACATAGAGGACCTCCTTTTAACGTAACATCCAAAAAATCTTTTTATGTGGAGGTGGCTCATCTCTAAGCCCTTCAATCTGTTGTATCTTTGGATCTCATATCGGATGCCCAAACCAGTAATATTCATGGTCTAAGTAATCCTGGCTCAGAACGTCGGTTTTTCGAAAAAAGGTGTTCTTGAAAGCATAAGCCTTTTGACTAGAGGAGTATGCTTCACCATGCATCTTGAATATAGATCTTTCGTTTAATTTCCTTGTCCTTTTTCCTCGGGGTTGTTGCAAATGTTCTCAGCCGTAGCTTATTTAACTGGAGTTCTTATTTATTTAGATTGCCATTACTGCCCGTAAATCATATTTCCAAAAATCAAAATAGAAATCGAACGGCAACAAGTACGAAGTTTGTTTATATAATGCACTCAAAGCATAAAACAACTTAAGTGGCCTTTCTAACTGACATTCGGCTTAATTTAATTTTAAATAGTTCTGAACATTAAGACACTACATCTCGACTTCTAAATAATTGACTAATTAAAATAATTACTCCTAAAAATTTGTAATCGACAAATATTTGTATGTAATAAATTTCATTTTAGTTTAATGTTAAAAAACCACTAAAAGTTTTATGTACTGGGTAATTTAGACTGCAATCCTTTGTTTATATATACCCTTACCTTTTATACGTATGCAGCAATTGAATAAATCATTTTTTTTTGTATTAGTTATATTCACAGGAACACCAATATGCAACTATCAACCACTGAAGAAAAATATTTGCAGTAAAAGCAAACATTTAAAAGGAGTAATTTCTGCTGTAAATGTTTAAAACACTTTAGTTTCAAATATTGACAAATATACACAATATATTGGCAACTAAGGAATAACTAAACCCTGTGGTTATTCAAGGAAACTCAGCCTGGAACTCTTCAATATTAATAAAACCAAAAGAAACCACAATGGGCGGCGGCAAAAATATACGCCGCGGCTTGGAGCCCCTGGAGTTTGAAGAATGCATCGTCGATAGTCCAGACTTTCGCGAAAATTTAAATCGACATGAAAAGGAACTGGACCATACTAGTCATCAAATAAAACGAATAATCAAAGAGGTCAAAGATCTTATGAGTGCGGCAAAAAGTAAGTTAAAAACATGCAATCATTTAAATTAACTGGTTTATTAAATCGTGGCAAAATTAAATGCTCAGCAGTACATATTTGTTACTAAGGACACTAACCGGTTTTAACTTTGTAAGTACCTACACAGTTTAGTTAATGATGTTAAAATAACATTAACGAAATGTGCACTTCCTATATTAATAGAAATACTTTGTTCCACAATAAACAGATTATCATTCGTACGTCCATCAGCAACAAAGTCTTGTGAATATTATAGATTAAATTCAATTTTATTGTATGAATTATAAATGTCTAACTCGAAGAATTTGAGCTTTTTTCAGTAATTTGAATTACTTCACTCTTCATCGCCTTTTTCTTTTTGATTGCTAAGGGGCTAAAGTTGTTATTCATAACTTGCGTGTACTGCGAAAGACTCAGTTTGGCTAATCTTTCGTAAAACACTTGTTTTTCGCTAAGTGGCTTATTCAGATAATCAACAACTTCTATCCCATCTTTCTTTTTGCATACGGCATACAACTTGGCCTTGTCATACATATTTCTGATGTTCTGCTGATGATACAGGTACTCTTTGAATTGTCGAAAGGTTACGTAACGCATATTTGGGCACATCCTGGTAACGATACGATGGTATCCACATTTACTATCACTTATCCACTGGCGAGGATCTATCAGCTTTATCTGGTTATACTCTATATTCTCTTCGAGGCACTTTGGGTCCTTGTGAGAGGTTATTATCAAACTGCTGTAGAACAGTGCATCCTGAATAAGACGTCCCAGGCCTGGGAGCTGACTAAACACAGTCAGAATTGGGCCAAAGCAACCTATATTGTTTCGATCCTGTGTCTTAAACTTGCTCAGCATGGTGGGTGACAAGAAACCAAAGCGAATGTTTTTTAATATCTTCTGAGTGCATGAACGGCGCTTTGGCCATAAATGATTGAGCCACAACAGTGCGCAATACAAAACCTGTGAAAAAGGGACTCTTTAAGCATGCAATAACCATACGAGTACTTATAGGTTTTTAATAAGCCTACCTCCATTTCCGAGTTGACTGCCAGACTATTTGATTTCAGTAAGCTGCATACCTGCCGCTCACTGAGGCAGAGAAATTCATGGCTAGCTGCCACTCTCATAAGTGATTGGGAGATTCGAGTGGCCATTAGCTTGTGAACTTTTGACAATTCGGGAGCGTGGCGACTTTCATACAGTATGCTAAACGCTGAGACTTCATTAAACATTGGACTATCCAGAATTTTCCAGCAATACTTGATCAAATCGGGCATTTCTAGATAATATGCGGCTCTCAAAACGTCGATAAAGTCAGTACAATCTAAATTGTAATGGTCGGAAGTGATCCATTTATATGCTTGGCTGAAACCCTTTGCGGACAGCTTCGGTGTGTTAAAACAAATGCTGCCACTGTTTAATTTTTTAGCCATCAGCTTTGAGTGGGCACATAGTACAAGGGAGTGGCACATGAACGAGTGGTTCTTCACGGTGACTGCAACGTCTGCATACGTATTCGACCGAACATGCTCCAGCAAAACTTTTATAGGCGAATCTGTGTTTATCACCTTAACAACACCAGTTCTCAGATCTTCCCTTACCTCCTTAGTGAGTACTTGGACGGATCCTTTTGCAAACTCGAGGAATGGCTTATGTCCCTTGGGCACAGGATCATTACTCCTTCACAATGCCAGGAAAAATAACAAAATTTAATTAAAAACAATATTCGGCTATTGCCAGATGTTGCTATCTTACTTGGAAGACTCTCCCGGTTTTGATTTAGTTAAATGGGTACGGTCTTTGCCCATTCTTAAAGTTTTAGTGCTTAACTGGGAGTCGATGTTATTGTATATTACTATGGCTTTTGAGAAGTGTTACACATGGCTAACTTTTTATAAAAATTATATTGTCAAACGGGATTTGCAGTTCGTAAAGTGAAATTCTTTTTATTAATATTAAACAAATTCAAAAGAAATTGAGCTCTTTAAGGAGAAATATCTGGTTTAATAAGTATATAAACTAATATGTTTTTGTTATAAGTAACCCCCTTATCATTTCATATTTATTTTAATTCTTTATTAAATTTTAATTACATTTTTTTCAGTGCTGTCCACTAGAATGAAACAATTGGCCATTTTACTTACCGACTTTAACTTTGAGTGCATAGGCACTGCTCAGACCGACGATGAGAATGTCATTTGTGAAAGCCTTAAACGATTCGGTGCTATAATTGGCAATATTGAAGATGAGCGCGAAAAAATGGTAAGTCTTTTGACTGATCAGTGGCGGATCTCAAAGGAACTGCAGTTTTTAAAGGGCGTACCTCCCAAAAATTTGATAGGATCCAATTCGCCACTGTGTAACCATTTTCCAAAACAGTTTGAACTTTATCTGAACAATTTATTACATAGCTAACTCTCGCTGATAAACATATTATTGAGTCACTGGAGAATTTTCGAAAAAATCAAATTGGTGGCGTCAAAGAAAACAAAAAGAAATTTGATAAGAAAACGGAGAAATTTTGTCAATCGCAGGAGCGTTTTCTAAATATGTCAACAAAAAAGCCCGAAAACACTATTCAGGAGGTAAGTTATTAAAATTTTAAAATTTCTATATAAAAATTGTTGTATAAAACATAAAACTCACCTGACTCAAAAAACCACAAAGTTAGTATAAAAAATTTTTAAACATAAATATTTTGTTCTACCATTTTTGTAAAGAGGTTTTCTTTTTTATGCTGTGTTATACAGCTGAGTATCGGGTTTAAATAAAAAAATTAATTATAAAACACAAAATGTCCTTCTCATTGTGACACTTCTTTTATTAGTTACTGAATTATATAACTTATCGTTATTTGTATTAAGAAAAAAAACCTTGCTACAAATTTATTCTCGCAGATAAACGTTGGTTCTGTGCAAATTTTGTACGGAGGGTTTCGGGGTCGAACAATATGGGCTGCTGTTTAATTTAAGGGCGTACTTAACGCTGAAGAAAACAATATTGAATTCAGTATCTTAGCATGAATATATAACAGTCGACACCTATGTATTTATATATGTAAGTAGTTATTCCTTACCTTGAAAGAATTACTTTGATTTGGAGAGTTTTTTCCTAAAATGACTAAGGGATTTTGAGTTGCTGAACACACAAATCTTATTTGCTTTGGTGATAAAATGCCGGTGCTTTTGGAGGCTTTTAAAATAACCAAGTAATGCAATGTTTTAGATGCGAATCTGAAGTCTGTTTTGCTCGAGTCAGATTGTCAGTTGTAATAGTTTACACATAGTTTAATCGTGTCTAAATAACAACATAATTATTTTTTATTTTATAGGCTGATGCTAGTTTGGGCATGCATGAACGCGAGTATATCCAAGAGTCACTCAGCTATGTTTTGCGCATACAAGAAGTGCAGGAACGAATCAAATTCGAATTTGTTGAAATATTGCTTGCATTTATTTCTGGCTGGTTGGTTTTTTATCACACAGCACACGAACAGGCGGAAGATCATCGCGATTACCTGCAGGATTTAAGGCACAAGGTGCAGAAGGTAAGATGTCAATACTTTAAACATAGCTATGTAGTTTAGGCAGAAAATTAAGAAATTTGTCTTGAAACAAATAGAGTTTGTATATACATTTTGGTTATATTCCTCCAATGGGAGCGATCAAATGAAATAAAGCTTGAAAGCCTAACAATCCGTGTTATCCGTTTTTAAGTAATTTTGAATATTATTTTTCACTTGATTGAGGCGATGTTTGAGCATACCTAAAAATAGAACACATTTTAAATTTAACAATCAACAATTGGTTGGCTGAGAAGGCACAAAAGTTTGAATGAAATAAAAAACGTTCGCTGGAGCTATAATTCTAATTTTAAAACAACTATTCCAAAGGAGAGGTGTTCCAGGATATTCATCAGGAATATAACAACTTATTAATAAACCAATGGTTTTATTAAAATACATTTTTAGTTTCTCCTGGAAAGGATGGAAATATTTTAAAAATTCACTTTTTACCTATTTCCGTATTTTTTTCTTCGATAAACAAGTATAAATTTATGAAGAGAACTATTTTTAGAAATGCATGTGCAAAGTTTTCAGGGCTTTCTTCGGAATTTTTCTCATTTTTCCATTTGCTTCCAGACTCGGGAAAATTTCGAGGAGGCACGCGAAAAAGTGACTGAACTAAAAACAAAGTACATGGAAAAACGCACAGTAAGTTGATAAACAAAATATACTGCATTATTTTCTGACATTTTCTGTCAACAGAAACCCGAGGAAATTTTTACTAAACGTGGTTACCTATTTTTAATGGAAAAGAGTACGTATTTTAAATTACATTATCATTTATAGGGTTACTTTTTCTGGTTGCGGATTGACTTGCCTCAAAGATTTTATATTAAAATTTTAAATTATTTTTTGGTAAACTGTGGGGTAAATAAAAGTAAAAAAAAGAAATGTTTAAAAGCAGAAAACTGAATATTTTTTTCTGATTGAACAGAATACTCTTAATAATATTACATTATAATTCAAGATTTATTATTTTACGTTAAATACAAATTTTAACATGACTTTAAACAATATGTTTCCTTAAAAATAGAATGCATTTATGCCCGCGGTGCCCAATTAAAAAATTGGTGTTGAGAAGTAATCAATAATATAACAACGAAATTCACTGCCATCAACTAATTATTTTATTGCGAACGAATTATAGGTTCCATTCTGAAAATCTCCCTTTTAGAGCCATTCAAAGCCACATGGACAAAATACTATTGCACATTCAAGAAGCAAAAGCGGGAATTCACCATGCTGCAGTTTAATCAAATGAATCACAACTTCACGAGACCAGAGGCTCGCGATGACGAAAAACTGACGCTGTTCTCCTGCCAACGACGAGCGTCTGAGTTTGAGAAGAGGTTTTGCTTCGATTTGACTTTCAAAGAGAAACCAGGAGTCGTGTACACGTTTCAAGCGTTAAGCGAAAAAGATCATCGATATTGGATAAGTGCTATGGATGGCACGGAGCCAGTAAGTACACTAAATCAAGATGTCAATGAATAGAACTCACTTTCAAGAAATTAAAATAAAGCAGCAGTATAATATTATAAATCAAATCAAAATCAAATCTCTACCAAAATCGATAAGAATTTGGTTTAAATTTGTTTCTAAGAGATTTCTATAACACCCCGGATAGTAATACTTTATCACATACAAAAGTTGTTAAACATAATAGTTACTAATACTTTACTTGTCTATTTCATTTTTCTGTACAAAGACATATTTGGCTCCCGGTAAAATCAAAGTCAGCGAAGCATATCAACTGGATGAGCCCGGATTCATGTTCATTCGCAAATGCATTCAGGTATTAGAAATCCGTGGTCTGGAGGACGAAGGCATTTATCGAAAGAGTGGTGTTGGAACCAAAATCAGCAAACTGTTAGCTCTGGGTCTAAATCATAAAGAAACAGAAGATGTGTTTGTCGACGACAAGTACCGTGATTTGATGGAAAGCAACACCATTGCGAGTGCCCTGAAAATGTATCTCCGGAATCTTAATGAGCCATTGATGACGTATCAGTACCACAGTGACTTCATTGAAGCAGCAAGTAAGCATATATATTTGTCACCCATCGTTTCACATAATATAAACAAATATTTTCAGAGCAAGAAACCCTAAATCAACGCGTGAATGAGGTACACAAGCTGGTCTACAAATTACCACAACCTAATTTTCAGATGCTAGATATGGTTATTTGTCATTTAACAGAGTAAGTAGTTGTTTAGATACAAAAGTATCTGTATCTGCGGTTTTAAAGTTATTCTTTTTAATTTTATACATTCATTCATACGTATTTTCATATTTATTTAGCGTTTCACGCAAGTACGAGAAGAACAAAATGTCAGTATTTAATCTCGGAGTAGTTTTCGGGCCAACTCTGTTGCGCCCTCGAGAAGAATCAGTGGCCGCCATATTGGATATCAAGTTTAATAACATCGTCATTAATATTCTGATTGACAACTATGAGAGGATTTTCAAAAACAAGCCCAGCACTGATGTGAAAGCACCGGAAGCCACGAAAACACCCAGCATCATGTACCCCAGTCGCAGCAGTCCACCGACTCGCATGCCGCGGGCTTCTCAGATAGGAAAAGCTGCTTCCACGGGTGCCATGGGCAGTAATACGGCAGCCAATCCAGTGTTCCTGGCGCAGCAAAACATCTACCGGGTATTCAACAAATCCAACTGTGCAGAGCCCACAATGTCATCTAGCTTGCAAAATATTCCAAATGGCGACAACTATGCCCTGGGCATGACAAGCGGTGGATCGACCGTTATTAATAGTGCGGGGGGTGCTGGGTGCAAATCCCTGTCACCTCCGATGCACATGCTAAACGGCGTACTGTCGCCGACAATTGGAAGCATCAATAACCTTCACACAGTATCGAAAAACGAGACGGGCACCCGACGATACGTCCCCAGCTCGTGTACCGACGCCGAGGTGGCTCCCGAATATGGGATAATAAGTGCCAGTGTTGCCAACAATGGCGGTGTGACGTTACAAGCGCATCACGCCGTTCCTGTGAGTAGTACGAGTAACTTTCGACATCCAGAGTACCTGATGACCACGGCCACTCCGGTGTCGCAATCTGGCTCTAGCAACCACATATATACAAACACCTCCAGTGCTGGTGCTACCTCAAGCAATCGTATTAGTCTAAACAACGTTTCCCCGCCAAATACTGCAATGCGAAAGGAGCGCTTTCTGGGCTGCGCCAGTGGGCCACAGCAGCATCCACCCGTCCAACGCGGACTGCACTCGTACGGCCAGACAAAACATTATTCGCCCCTAATGCCAACTTCAACATCGAGCTCCAACGACAGCGTATGTGATTCACTTTCTTCCAATAATGGCTTGGGCAGCTCCATTGTGGCCAACAGCACTGGAAATGTGACTCAGCATTTGAACACACGGAACTCCAATGAGTACGCACTGATAACGTCACAGAATTCATCGTTGTCGCCACTTCTTGGTCCCACCTGCGATGAAGTCGTTACGGCGACCACATTGCCCTCAGTTAGTCATAGCTGTGGCGGCTCCACCAACGAAAGCTCCGAGTATCCGCCCAGTAAAATGCATCGTAATCGTGACATTAACCAAATAAAACGGGATTTGTCAACAGGAACAGCGTAAGTAATTGTATTAACTCGCATTCCATAGAATATGTCCAATCTTGTGTGAAGAAATTTTGTTCGATTTACTAAACGTCGTTTTCTTTTTTTATAGTCGTGTGCGCACACTTTATGCTTGTATGGGAGAAAGTGAAGGCGAACTTTCATTTGAGCCCAACCAAATAATAACCAATGGTAAGTGAAGACAAATATAGAACCTTAAAAATGCAGTCTGTTAGAGATAAATAAAAGATCATTTGATCACTAAACTTACAAAATATCATAAAAATACAGCTTTAAATTAGGAGCCTTAATAGTAATGCAACAACATATTTAAACTATTTATTTCTTTCCTCATAGTTCGTTACTCTCACGAACCTGGCTGGCTGCAAGGAACACTAAACGGCAAAACAGGACTCATTCCGGAGAACTATGTGGAACACTTAAAGCCTCATCATTAGATTATGAGTTTATAGAGTTCTCTCTTATTTTTTGCATTCGTCGATAGATAAAATTAAAATGAAAATTAGGAAATCTGAAAATAATCGTTGTGTAAAAATTAATAACCCTAAGGGTTATACATGAGATGATTTTCATTTTATGCCAACCCATGAAACCACAATCTTACCTTATAAATATGTTAACCATTATATTACCATGACCATAAAATGTACTTATTTTTAATTATTTAATAAGGAGTATAAACTCAGTGCAACGGCAAAGATTTATTTACTAATTGTTACGCTCTTCATTTGTTGCTTATTTATACATAATTCACGTAATTTGTGCAAAAATGGATTACATCGTATCTAATATCTACTACATATACAAGTGTATAAAAATAAATAGCAGTGCTTCGATCACTTAAAATGTAAACTTTAAACTGAAGTCTGCCATATATCATATCAAAAAAAAAAATAATAAATATTTTCTTAGCAAGGCAAAGAAAACGTAGAATGTTGAAAAAGTTGTTTGATTGTCAGCAGTTTCTTACAAATCATGGATTCTCGGAACCCTGAGAACCCTCTTAACCCAATTTTTCACGATGTCCAATTATATTTAAAGCTTCAAACATACCATGATTGTGATTTGTTTTTTAAAGAATTTTATTTTGCAGGTTGTTTTATTCAGGTGAGTAGTGGGCTTTAATCACTCGATGCACTTTTCTGTCGTGAACCTTCTTCGAAAGAGACTAGATCACCAGTCAAGAACATTCTATTGTGCTGAACAATTTCTCAAATTTGTTGCAAAAATCTTTATTTATGTGCATAAACAAACATATTTGAAGTCATAAACAGGGAGCACATTAAATCTATTGTCAGGTTGTAACTATTCATTTTTTTGTTTGTCATGTATATTGTGGCTGTTAAAATATACGTAAAATAACAATTGTTAGCCAAAATTGTTTATTCTGTCAACTACAAAGAAATTTGTGCATGTATATTTCTTTTATATTTGAGCTAAAATTAGTCCAATAGAGACAAGGTTAGGAATGTAGGCCGAAGAAGGAGCGATGCTTCAATATTTTTGGACTTTATTAAAATATACATTAGTAATATGAATATACCTCCCGATTTGAGATTTATGACTAAGAGTGATTTAACATACTTTAGATTCGCATTATATTTTATTTGATCTTTCTTTAAACAGAATTCTTATATAAATAACAGAAATAGTTTTAAATGTAAAAATGTATGCGATTCCAGAGCACCAAGAAAACTATCATTTTAAATGGAAATTTAAGTTTGGAAATCGATTTCGTTCATGGACTGTCTCCTAAAATCCCTTAGTCGCCCAATGGTAATCCATTTATCATTAAACTATTATTATCGCTTAATTCTTTTGGTCCTTCACCAACTTTTGTGTGAATTATATATCTAAAGGCATTTCTTGCATTAATATCTAATATATCGATTTTGGTTTTGTGGACATCCCCAATTTTGGGTGTACTGTCAACTTTTGGTACGGAAAGACCTCGTAAGTACGTTCCACTGTCCATCGAATCACTTGGGAACACTTTTTGAACTGCATCCAACAGCTCCGGAACATTTTCTTCCAGAACGTATAGGCATGCGTTTGGTCCAGCATCAAAAGTGTACGCAGCGTGCAAGCTACCCATTATTTCGTTGTAAGAATGAACAAAAGAAGCAATCTTATGGGATACATCGTTCATATACACGCATGGTGGATAGGTATCCAGAGCAATGGCGTGAAACTGATTTGAGTCTTTCATTGTTATCTCTGCGAATGTTTGAAAGTCACGTTTTTCAATTGCGTCCGTTAATTGCGCTATTCTCTCCGGAACGACTTTATCTGCCCGGTGCCTAATTAGTTGAGACGTTTTCACAGCCTGTTGCATTCCCTTTGTTGACGCAGTCTTCTTCCGTTCATCATTAACGACCAGAATGAGTACGTGCATGTTTGGCCAGTGCTTTGACGATGCAATTTGTTTGGCCACAGAATCACTGCCATTATCGAGCGCGCCACGGTGCCACTGGACAAACCCGCCATATAAGCTCCGACACGCTGATCCACTGCCCTGTCGGGCTACAGTAGTTAGCTCCTCACTGAGCGGGATGTCGTACAGACGGGCTAGGGAATACACAAGGCAGGCATAGCCAGCCGCACTGGATGCCAGTCCAGCAGCGGTGGGAAAGTTGTTAACCGATGCAATGTGTATTTTCCACGATGGCGACACTTTCTGGGAGCCATTGGCCAAGGCCAGACGGTGAACTAGAAACAATATAAATATGGAATTAAGCACATGGTGATGGTAATGTATTTATGAACTCACCTTCTTTTAAACAGCGCGTCAGGCGTGAACCCTCTTCGAAAGGGACCTCGTCCCCATTTAACCACATTCGATTCTGTTCGAAGGTTTCAGAAGCAGTCACTGTGGTCTTGGCGCACAACTTTATATCGTGCGTAAAGGAACATATTTGAAAATATTAACGTCTGTTCATGCGCATTAAATCTCTTGTCAAGGTGTAACTATTTATTTTTTTTATTATCCACTTATTTAATTTGCGATAAAAATACATTACCATATTAACATTAAGCAAATGTAATACTTTGATTTTTTGAGATACTACAACGATCCGTTTAACTGGCACATTGAAAGCCAAAGTTTAGGGTTTAACGGTTTTTAATTTTAAAAATAAATTTTATAACAAAAAAACTATAATAAGACGTTCCATTTATAATCTAAATAAATTCTTTAATTTATCATTTCGCTGAAAACTTTTTGAACTTTACTTTAATTTATTAATTCATTTTCTAAAAATATTCTAAATAATATTTCAATAGGTATAAAACAATGCATTTCTTAAAATTGTGACGCTTCTTAAAAATGTTAAGCTTTACAAAATACAGAAAAACTCAGACAAAGAAAATGCGTGGAAAAGTGAAATTCTCTAGGGCGTCCAAAATGTTAAATAGAAAGTTTTCGAATAAAAGCATGTTCTATTTACTTTCGCGTGTACATTCGAACAGGCTTTAAGTTTAAGTTTATTAAGAGTACTTGATATAAGTCTCATATATTCAATGTGTTATCTTCAGAAAATGAATAGTTACGTGCTGTTTACCCAACTTTTGGAATATTTACCTCATCTGTGCTAAGAGTCATGCTAATGGAGTCATTGATGGGTAGTATTAGATCTTCGTGACGCTTTCCCCCTATAACAAAAGTAGGTTCCTTGAGCTTTTGCCAATTAACTCGAGTGAGATGAATTACTTACAATATTTTATTAGGGCTATATTGACAGGGGCTACACAAGTTACCGAAATCATATTTCAAATATGTGCTTTCAGAAATCCACACAGCTTTAGTTTAGTTTCGGCGAAAGCGACAAACTGTTGACTTCAACATCAGTGTGACCAAAAATGGACTGTTGAAATATACCATATGGTGTCAAAACATACTTGGGGTATTCCCGTAAAAATTGCATCTGAAATATCGGGTCTTTATATATATATTTATAAATCTTCTTTTTTGAATTGCTTATCTCAGGTTGTACCAAATTAATATAGGCAAGGCGTGTTATAATGGTAAATATCTCAGGCAAATAACTTGATTTCCTAACTTTTCTGCTCTAACGCTGATTTCAATAGAATAACGGTCATTTCAAATATATATTGTAAGTTTTTTATTAGTAATATGAACAAAATTCACTTTGCTTAGTTTTCAATTTACGTTTTTATTTTTAAACCAATGGTTTGTATTAAGTAAACATTAGTCGTAATAGAAATAGAGAAATACATTAGCGATAAGTATAGAGCTGTGTATGATTTTAGATTTCTTTGTGAATACTTTCAGCCGCAACCGTTCCAAGTTCGTGTATTTCCAAACTCAAAAGCTTTCTTTTGGTTGTGGTGTTTTGGGAGACGCGGGTTGAAGAGCAGGCGGTACATTAACTTGGTTAACGAGAATGAATCGGGTGAAATGGAAGGGACTAGCCCTTGAGGCTTGTCATGCCCGCACGCATAACCTCGTCGACGAGCAGGAGGTTGCTGGCGATGATAGAGCAGGAGTTGAGGATCTGCTTCTTAACGATGTAGTTGTCGTAGATGCCTAAATCCACGGGTTTCATGGGCTCGCCGGTGGCCAGATCCAGGCCGACCAGTTCGGGGTTCAGGCGATCCTCCACTGTCAGCTTGACGATTGTGTCCTGGGCATCGTAGCCACTGTTCACGGCCAGCGTCTTGGGAATGACCAGCAGGGCATCAGCGAAGGCCTGCACCGCCAGGCGGGACTTGCCCTTGATAGTATCCTTAAAGGCTACCAGCTCGTTGTAGGCGCGCACCTCGAAGGCTCCAGCTCCGGGCACCAAGGCCTTATCGGCAATGGTGTTGTTAATGGCCCGCAGACCGTCCCTGATGGCATCCTTGATCTGGGTGATCGTGTGCTTGTTGGGCCCCTTGATGAGGATCGTGACCGAAAGCGGGTTCTTACAGTCCTCCACGAAGGTGTACTTGTTCTCGCCCAGCACATGCTCATAGACCACTCCAGCGTAGCCCAAGTGCTCCTCCTGCAGATCGTCGAAGGAGTTCATGGCAGTGCCACCGCAGGCCAGCGCCAGACGCTCCATGTTACGCCTCTTAGCGCGACGTAGGGCAAGGATGCCCTCCTTGGCTAGAGCGTCCAGGGAGATGGGGTCGATGCCCTTCTGGTTGATCAGAACAAAGGTCTTTTCGGTGCCATCGCACACGGAACGCTTCAGCTCGATGACCTTCTTCACACGCTGGTCGATGAAGTCGCGCTCGGCGCGCACAAAGGCCTCACGCTCCTCGGCGGTCTTGTAGAAGAAGCCCGAGTTGACCTCAGCCTTCTCGTACTCCAGCGAGACGTTGGCAGTAAGGATGTAAGCATTCTCCAGGCGCTTGGGCATGTCCGGATGGCGGGCACCGTGATCCAAGACCAGGCCACGCACCAGCTGCGTATCGGTATCGGTCTTGTGCTGCATCTCCATCAGCTCCACCATGTAGAGGTCGACGGGCTTGGTCTTGTCGGCACTGGCAATGGTCAGCACGGCGTCCACACAAACATCGGTCAGCAGATCGGCCAGGGCGGGATGCACCTTGGTCTTCAAACTGGTGTTGGCCACCTCGACCAGGCTCTTCTTGTTGATCTCCACGGGTATTTTGACCTTGTCGAGCACCTCCAAAGCCTTGTCGCGGGCCTTCTCAAATCCCTCGGTCATGATGCGTGGATGAAGTCCCTCCGACAGATAGATGTCCGCCTGTTTCAGCAGCTCGCCAATTAGCATCACCGTGGTGGTGGTGCCGTCGCCAGTGGAATCATCCTGGGCAGTGCTGGCCCTGGCAATCATCGAGGCAGTGGGGTGCTGGATCTGCATCTCGTGGAGCAGCACATTGCCGTCCTTGGTGATCTTGATGTCGCCGGCGCCGGAAACCAACCTGCGAAGTTTCTGGAATTAGTACGTTTTTTCACACAGCGCGTGAGAGTCACGCCTTTTTCTATCTCACTTTATGAATAGGACAGAGGTTAATATGGAACTTTAAATACATTTTGCATTAAAACAAAGTCTTGCAAGTGTACTATCAGTTATTTTAAATAGGTAAAAACACTTAAATTTAAAGCTTATTGGTTTCAAGTCGCATCATTGCCTCTCTTTCTCTTGCGATGACGCATGCCGCTAGTTCCACTCTAACCTCAAACTTGCGGCCGCCGCAGCTGTGGCCAAAATGTATTTTTTGGTGCATATTAACTCAAATTTTGACTTAAACTGCTGGCACAACTTAAACCTAAGATTAATAGATGTAAGGACTGGTTACTTACATCTTAACTGTGCCCTTGGGTCCCAAATTGGTGCGCATCACATCCTGCAATCCCTTGGCGGCACTGATGTTGATGGCCAGTGCCTGGGCGGCGCGGGCGAACTCGGCCTTGGGGTTCAGCAAGCTAATTGAAGCCATATCGTCTCGGAATCAAACAAATATTTTCTTTATTAAGTAAATAAAAGCAAGAATTCGGCACAAATTGAAACACGCTGAGTGTGAGCCGAAGAAACCAATGGACAAGTGTGGCCAGGCAAAAAACGAGCAGAGACTTCAAAACATTAATAGCCCTATCGATAGTATCGATAATTGGACTCCATGCAATTGTTTTCAGCCTATTTCGTTACCATTTCGTTTGCTTATTGTGCGAAAAATTGTTTTAATATATTCTGTTGAATTTAAGTGAAATTGGTATAGTTAAGTTTTAGTTGGCAGTTTCTATAATTCAACCATTATTAAAAAGAATTTATTACATATCATAAAATGTACTTCATTAAATTTAGATGACCATTTATGATTCTGTGTATTGATAATTTATATCTACAATATACAAATTTATAAGGCATCCAAATATCATAGACACCAAAGCTACTTATTATTTATTAATTAATGTTTTTTTAGTATGTTTTGAATTAATTTTAAAGGTTAATTTAAAACTTGTTTTGTTGCGAAGTTAAATATTTTAAAAACTGTTAACCCATTTTTAAATTTATAAAAAAGTGGTAATTTTTTTATTAACAAACTTAAGTTACATATACTCTGATGTGTTTTTTGAAATATTTAAATACTTTACATGTTCCAAGATAATTAATCGATAGGTGTTCTAGAGCCAATGCCGATAAGCAAACGAAAAGCAACCGTACCCCTAAATACCATCTCTATACACCAACACCAAAAAACGACAATTTTATTGGCAAAATCGGTATAAAAATAACGTAAAATAAAGCAGGATATTCGAGTGCGCCGACCGCAGCGCAGCGTACCGAGAGCCTCAATTGAATCGCGAGCGTCTACCGGACAGGACGAGGACCTGCAGGCGGCGCGATGAGTGTCCTGGCGTATCCACGTACCAACGACGAGGAGATTTTCCGTCACTGCACCAAGGACTGCGGAGTGGTGACGGCCACGGAGGACTTCCAGTACTTCGCCCTGCGATGCATCTTCTGCAGCGAGAAGTTCCTCTACTTCGACTCGTTCATCGGCCACATGCAGACGGTTCACCTGGGCGACCAGTCCGTGGCGAATCCCGCCTCCTCCTCGCGTCTGGGCTTCAATCTCGGCGAGCCGATGTCCCTCTCCAGTCGCAACGGGGACCTGCCCAACTTCCACGAGATCGAAGACTTAACGGACGCGGACACGGCGCTGCTGGAGCCGCAGATGGTCATTAAACAGGAGCTGCAGGAGCTACCCTGCAGCGACGATGATGTGGCCGGCGACGAGGAGGACGACGAGCATCGGTTGCCCGATTCCGATGCCGGTGACGATGAGGACGAAGCTATACTGCCCGAGAGCGATGTCCCGGTGGTCAGCTCCAAGCAACGGGCTCGCAAGAAGGTCACTAAACAGCGCCAGATGGACATCTCCAGAGAGGCACTCATCGTCGGTGACGGCGATTCCTCTCTGGACGATTACGGCGATCCAGACCACAGCTACATGGACGATAATTCCGGAGAGTATTTGGACTACAGCGGCTTCGACGGCGCCAACCACAGTGGCCTTGGACCCGAATCTGACTTTCTCAGTTATGATGAGATGGTGGAGGAGTCCTTGCTGGGAGTGAGTTCTATTTTTATGCCTCATATCGCTTTACCCACTTGGGAAGAGATCGAGCTTTAGTTGCATACTATATTTTAATGCAAATTGTCGTCAAATTTTTATTCTGTAATTTTATTCGAATTAATCCTAATATTTTATTTGTATTATTTTTTCGTAGCATGTATGTTAGCACTGCAGCATTTTGTATTTACATAGTAATTATTGTAATTAATGCAGGCTAGATCTATGAGTTTTAAAACTAAAATATGTATATTAATTAATAGAATATAAAATATTTTGAATTTTTAAGCATACGTTAAGGTTTTGCATATTCAATTACGTTGCTTTCACCCTTAATACTCCCCAATTTACATATATACACAGTTCCGTAATGTTTGTTTCGTTATTTTGCCACCCCTTAGCGCGACCGAGAGGTGACGATGCACATCAAGGACCGCAAGATGATCCAGTTCCTCATCCACTCGTATCAGCGCAACCCCTTTCTGTGGGACCACGGCAACGCACAGTTCCGGGACCGTGTGAAGCGCGCCCGCTTCCTTGACTGGATCGTGCTGGAGTTCAAGAGCCGCTTCAACATCTCGCTGGCCAAGGACGCCATCACCCGCAAGTGGGACAACCTGCGGACGGTGTACAAGAGGGAGTGCAATCGCATGGCTCTGGAGAAGACCAACATTAGCACGCTGTGGTACTTCAAGGAGCTGCACTTCCTCAACGAGGTATACAGCTACAATGACAAGATGTCCGATGCCGTGGTCAAGGTTAGTGGACCTCATTTGAAATCGATTTCATACGTTCGCATTTGTCCGTTAAGCGACGGAATTAGAAGAATGTTTTGGAATATCTAAAAATTAGAACACATCCTTTTTATTATTATAAGTATAAATACATTGTTATTGGTTGTGGAGCAGGTTTAAACGTATTTTCCACGTCATTCATAATATATTATCAGACATTTCTGCAAATACCGACTGTAATTTTTAAGTAGTCTCAGTTTAGCTAATTGCTAAATTCCTAATCAGAAGAATTGTTCAGTAGATGTGACAAGGATAGGGGTGGGAATGTCCAATGGCTAATCAATAACTCTTCTTTTCCCGTCAGGAAACTTCATATCGGCGCCGTTTCTCGGCCATTTGGAATGACACGTCTACGGCCAAGTTGCTGAGCATGGTGAAGCGGTACCAGTGCTTCTACAACCGCTTCGATCCCGACTACCGCAGCAAGGAGCGGCGCGGCGAGGGCCTCCACCAGATGGCCATTGAGCTGCAGCAGCTGATCGACGTGACTACCATCCAGATCTCGAAGCGCATCTCCCAGCTGCGCTTCGATTACTCCAAACAGAAGATGGAGCGCCTCAATAGCGAGCGCCTCGGCAAGAAGTTCATTGCCCACTATATATACTATGATCAAATGCACTTTATGGACGACGATATACCGCCGTTCAAGTGCGCGCACTGTCCGGAGATTGTGCAAACACTCAGGGAACTGGACCTTCACATGCTCACCCACCAGCCAAGTTTGGGTGGCGGATACTACTGCAACATTTGCAGCATACAGTTCCACAACGCCGAGGAATTCGACAGCCACAAGCAACTGCATTTGGGCGGCGTGGCAGAGGTAAAGTTCAACTGCGAACTGTGCACGGCCAGCTTCCGGGAGAAGGCCAACTACGATGAGCACCTGCGGCGGCACAACGAGGAGCTGTTCCTTCCCTCGCTGGCCCTGAATCACAGCATCATGGATAGTGGGACCACGGAGGAGGAGGACAGACTTGAAGGTGAAGGGTCCAGAGGTAGCGGTGGCCGACGAAAACGGGCAGGCGGAGCGACTGCTTCCAAGTCACCCGAGGTCTTGGCCGATGATGACGATCCAATGGGTGGAGGAGGAGGCAGTGACATTGCCAAGCCGTATGGATGCGAGGTGTGCCGCCGCAGCTTCGCCACGCCGGGCCACCTGAATGCGCATCGAATTGTCCACCAGGATGAGCGGGAGCGATGCTACAAATGCGACTATCCGCAGTGCAATAAATCCTTTGTAGCGCGTAACAGTCTGTTTGAGCACCTGAAGCAGCATTACAGCAATGAGGAATTCAAGTGCGACATTTGCGGCAAGACGTTCAAGTCAACAAAGAATCTGCAGAACCACAAGCAGATCCACGACAAGGTCAAGCGCTACGTCTGCCAGATCTGCGGCTCGGCGTTCGCCCAGGCTGCCGGTCTCTATCTTCACAAGCGTCGGCACAATCGACCCAACGGAGCCGTCGGCGCTGTCGGGCGTTCGGGTCGTAGCAGTCTGTGAGATAGGGATTGGGAGAGGGACAAGGACAAGGACAAGGACTGGTCCAAGGCCAAGACCCGCGGTCGGGGGCGGGGACGTGGCCGCGGGCGTGGGCGCTATGTCAAATAGTTTTTAAAGTAACTGAAACTGAAACTGTAACTGCAACTGTAACGTCTTTAAATTGCCAGCAACCCAGGCAGCTTAGTTAGCTTTCTTAATATTACATTTAGACTCACTCGATGTTCAGCCCTATTTGCAATTCGATTCGGTTGGAATTTGAAGGTACTAAAGTGGAAGAACTAAAACTACGAAATACTTTGTAGAATTCACTTCACTGTCAAAATGTATTGAAACCTTTAATTGGAGTCTATTTGAACACCTTACGTGTTTCCTTAGAAATTCGAAATATGTCCCTCTTATTTTGTCTGAATCGGAAACGTAAGCTGGGTATCTCTTGTATTATTTGTTTAATATATTAATAGTAACCTAAATGTAGTTGTATTTTACATGAACCCACTTACCTGTAGACGTACTTAAGAGCAAAAAGTATTTAACAACGCCCATGAATGCAACTTTAGATTTAAGCAAAATGGCCAACACTTCCTTCCACTTCCCAATGATTCTTGAGTAAGTTCAAATAGACAGAAATAGAGAGAGGAGAGTCCAGAAAGAAAGAGAGGGCTTGATGGGTACTTATAATAAATAACAAATACTTAACATTTCTGTGCCAATTTTGAGTTCTTCTCCTCAAACACATAACACAAAGAATGTAATTAACTTTTAAGAATTGTAAACATTCCTCCCCGTCCCCTTTAATCGACGTGCGCGAGCCGATGCATTCCAGAACTAAGTATTTCATAAAGTATTCTATGTACTAACTATATATTTATATGCAAAAACTAAAAGTGCAGACAAGCATTTGCCATCAAACTGACAAACAGAATAGAAAACCAAGCAACTTAAACCGATAATTAACAGCAATAACTAAGTTTCTAAGCATCTAACAAACAATTAAGTGTAAGCCACTAAAAGAGAAACACATACAAATGTAATGTACAGTGCATGGCGCAGCTATAAGGCAAGTGCCACACTGCCCTATGGCTACAAAACGCACTGTCTGCGAACGACTGAATCTGTAATACATTTCGAGGCGAGAGTTATGGTCTCGAAAATCGCGCCGCTTCGTCCTGTAATCGTAACTGTAACCGTATTTGTAACCGCATCTGTAAATATATAACTCGAGCAGGCCGATTAACTATTGACAACAGACATAGCTATAGCCATGGCAATATAGCATACGGAAACGAGAGCCCACTGCTGGCTGAAGCTTCATTTAGGCCTAAGTTCATTTAGCACAATTTCGCAGACCCGGATCTGCTGCTTACTCATGCGAAATTAACGAAAATCAAAGACCTTATCAAGGCCCACGCCGATAACGGATCAACTTGGTTTCCTTTGGAGTTAGACGAGCATTCAAACAAATTGTGAAATAGTTAACAGCAACGAGGAGACAAAAACTTAAAGGCCAGAAGGAGATTAATAATCACAAGAATCGTAACAAAAGTGCGCTTCCAGGAGAATCAGACGGAAAAAACACAACCTACAAAAAGCAAAGAGAAACTCATCCGATAAAAACGAAATATATAAACAAATTAGCAGCATAATGAGTATTTTTAACCATAAGAAGCGTCTTCTAAACATGTAAATTAACTGAGAGAAAAAGAAACAAATCACAATTTTATTTATCCTAGTAATATCAAATGAGATTTTAGTACGATACAATATACACACACATATTCGAAGTATTCTCGAATAAATAGGTTTAAATAATTTAAAAACAAAACAACCAACCAACTGAGTTTTTTTTAATGGGTATATCTATTTATCCGCTGCTTTCCGATTCAAAACGCTGTTTTCATGCTTCAAAGGGGGTGTTATCTCTTAAGAATTTCACTCCAAAGATAGCCGATGACGTCCTTATCATTATCTTTACAGTTGCTGTCGCACGTCTGGTAGGTATGTAAATAGCACTTAAGCTAGACGCTAGTGATGGACGTTATACTATGAATCGTCGCTTTTGATTGTTTTTACGATTTAAATAATATGGTTTTGATTGTGTTTACGTCACAGAAACTGCCCTGTCATGCTTAGTTGGGAATTTCGATATTATGCCTGCATGGATTGTTATAAAAAACAATTTTTAAAAAAACAACCTCAATTAAAGACTGAAACATTTTTAAAGTTATAAATCTAATATTATTCCTGACAATACAAATAATGACATTACATTTTTAGAAATGTAGTTTATTGCATAAAGATACTTAAGACCTTTTTAATATTTTATAAAACTCAGAACCATCCTATTTGCTGACAGATTAGATATATTTTTAATTATTATCATTCGAAAAAATTTTTTAAAAAAAGGACAAAACAATGTCTCCAGGAGGTAATATAACCATTGCTGTGATTATAAATTTAGTATGATATGAGCACTTCAAATATATTTATATTAGTTGCTTTGGATCCCCGGGATCTAGGGACGTGCCGTCACTTTCACTGTTGTTAACCCAGGCTATGGCATATTTTTCTGGGTTATTATCATCGCAACAGTCTAGCTTTAGGCCTCCAAGACGTAGAAACGATCACTTGACAGGGGCGTGCTTTTTTAGATATGTATGTATGAACTATAGTCTAGCGCCATAGCCATACCTCCCCGGTACATTTCACCATTGCGTCGGAAAGCCGGCAGCGTGCCAATTTTTATTGTTGCGATAATTAGCACCCCTCCTGTGTTTTGATCGATCCGATCAATTAGCAACCCGCAACCAAGCCCCTCGACTTCTACTTGGTTCTAGTGCTCTCCAGATACGTCGAATTTTGTCTGAACGCGATTTCTAATTTCGGGTAAACACATTAATCAGCGCATATTAATATATATAACATGCGTATGCGTACACAGAAAGAACACAGATTCGAAGTGCGCAGGTCAAATATATAATGTTAAATGAAAAAGAATTACAATGTTTTTTCAAAAGTTTGATGGTTCAAAAACTTTGATTTCAATTGTATGACAGATTAAATACAAATGTTAATGTAAAATCTTTGAATTGGACTTCATAACAAATCAAATTTTCTTTCTGTGTACACCGATTAGATAGTCCAAAGGGAAACAGATTTAGAAATATGGCTTTTAGCTTTCGAACTGGGCGTTCTTTTAATCACTTTTTAGGCATTACTCACGGCCCGAAACAATCAACAATTACAGTACAATTATTATATACAGCCGGCTGAGCTCGGACAGAATGAGGGATTCCGGTTTGTATTCGGGTAGTTGGGTGCAATGTGCCCCCCGTGCCGAGTGTGTCCTCCTCGAACACGATTCGCAGGTTGACGGCACCAGGTTCTCCTGTACTGATGCCCCTTGACTAGAGTTCCTAAATCAGCTCGCCGTGCTCGTTCACCTTGATGACGCGGACGCGGGCATGACGATCGGCTAGCACCTGATCGATATTCTTGCTGGTACTGATCCCCGAACTGATGCTGCTATCGCCGTCGCTTCCCGTGAAGAGTCCAAGATTGTCCTTGATCAAATGGTCCACGGCACAGCCGTCACACTGCAGGATCACAACGCCGCTGTAGTAGGCCTCCTCGCTGATGGTCTTCGTGTTGCGGGTGTTGCACAGCTTGCAGCGGTACACCAGCTCCATGCGGCGCTGCATGGGACCGAAACGCTTTAGCGTCGTCGGCGACACGGAGCCGCTCTTTTGGGTTCCAGAGGTAGTGCATTTAAGGTCAAATGGCTTGGCCGAGAACTGGCACGCATCGAGTATGGAGCGCGGTATAGAGAGCGGGGCGGGACGCGACGACTTCAGCTGCTGGTCGGGATCAGTGGACAGCGGCACGGCGTCCACCGCCTGCTGTTGCTGGGTGGCGTTGAGGATCGCGTTCTGTCCATTTTGGCGCAAGTAGTTGAGCGTTCGCGATGTGAAGATGTTGCGCAATGCGTTCATTTTACGTCGCTATCAGTCTGTTGCACAGCAGTGTTGTGTTCCTCTTCTTCTCTTCGCGCCCGATGCAGTGCGTCCTAAATTTGGCGCTGCACGTGCTGAATGTTGGGTAGTTACTGCGTTTTGTTTTCCCCCGATTGGGGAACAAATTGGTTGAACGGGAGCAAGGAGAACAGCTGGTGGCTATCGTTATCGGAACAGTGCTGGCGACCGCCTGGAAAAACTAGCTTTTTACCGCTGAAAAACAATGCTGCCCATTCAACTGTTTTGTGTCAGCAGTGTATAAAAATGATGAAATCTTAAAGTGATTTGTATCTTATTGCTGGGAATGTTTCAGTCGAAACATTTCATTTAAAATATTTTAAAAAACTTAATAGCATTACAAATAATTTATTTTCGAAAAACCAAAAATAAACATGACGAAAGAGATACATACAAATAAAAGGACGCAAGAAACATATTTTTTCAGTTACATATTAATAAATGCATATCTAGCTTTGTTACTACATAATATTTTTAACGGTTCCCTATGATTTGAATGTTCCTCTGTCTGTTTCTTTAAATGTACTTATCTAGATTTACATATAGATATATATATAAATATCAAGCTATCATAGAATTTTATAAAATGAAAACAACTGACAGCTCAAAAACAAACTCATCACTGCTGGAGCCTATCGTATCCGATAATCACAACAAAGGACAATCGAAACGCACCTTACCGGCTATTATATAGCCACCATAAACGATACGTTACCGAACCGATCTTGGAGAAATGGCTAACTAGTTGCTCTTAGAGGATCAATCAAAAGAAACGCCATGAACTTTGCACGCCTGGGATTCGAGCAGATGCTGTTGCGAGGATTTCGAAATCCGCGCCAGCAGCTCCAGACGCAGTGGATGATGACCCGGCGGCGGTGGTTAGCCAGTGAAGCCACCTCGCCGACTTCGGCCACAGCTCCTGCCTCCCCCGCAGCTCCTGCAGCAAAGAAACAACCGCAGAGCCAGGTAAAACCTTTACCGCTGGCCGAGGAGCGTCTGGAGTCCATACTATCGCCCATTCGCACAAGGATCATACGAAAGAAGCGTTTGGCCATTGACGAACTATCTGCCCTGGGCTTCCTCAACACTCGTGGCTATACGACCGCCGAGGAGTACAACCTCGAGGATCTGCAAATAGCGCTCCGCCAACAGAATCTGTACGAAACGAAGCGTTTCTTCTCCACGGACAACCTGGATGTGGAGCAGAACGTGCTCTTTGTGGCGGCCAAATATCCAACAAGCCAGCAGCCGCGCGAGATTTTTTTCTTCCGCGAGGGATCGGTGGTCTTTTGGAACTGCAGCGACATCGAGACGAACAATGTGCTCAGTTTCCTGCGCTCCTTCGAAAGGGAATCGTATGTGAGTGCCCTGGTTCACGGGGAGAGCGAGGTGATGCCCTACACCTATATTCCATCGACGGCGGTGGATGTGGAGGGCGATCTGGTGGCGGAGAGCAGCGACTTTAACGTCACATCGCGGGCATTCTTCCAGAATGGCAAGTTCTTTGTCACCGCCGACACGGATAGCTACCTGTATAAGTACACCTTCTCCAATGCGATGGCGCAGTCCATAAAGCTGGGAATTTGGGAGGCCACTCTGGATCGCTACATAGACTCCATAGAGCATCTCACTGAGGATCTGAAGCGCGGCCGTCGGCTAAGAATATCGAGGGCGGCCATGCTGCGAAAAACCGGAGAACTCTTTGCTCTGCGTCATGTGATCAACCTCTCGTCGGACCTGCTGGATGCTCCCGATTTCTACTGGGATCGCGAAGAACTGGAGGCCCTGTACCTGCAGGTGTGCTCCTACTTCAGCATCACACGGCGCACCAAGGTGATGAACGAGAAGATCAACCACTGCGTGGAACTGGCTGAACTGGTTTCGCACAACCTCAACGATGCCCATCACATCCGGCTGGAGTGGATGATCATAATCCTCATCATGGTGGAGGTGGGCTTCGAGGTGCTGCATTTCGTCAGCGATCACAGTGATCCGCATAAGATGCAGGTCCTGCCCTTAGCGGCTCCTGCCGCCACAATTCCTAAATAGAACGTAGGCTTAGTTGACAGTTTTTGTAATATATTCGTATTTTGGCCAAAATATAGCATTGTTAGCGTTTGAGACCAAACAAATGTCACAAATGATTTAAGCCATTAGTGTTTTATATGTAATTTTAATTGCTGGATTAAAGAATCAATGGCTCAATTGACATTTACTTCAAACATGTTCATTTGATTTTCAGAAAAGTGACCAAAACCCTTGATTTCTAAGCCCATAACTTTCCAAGTGGCATATTTTCAAATGATTGAAAAAAATCATTGTTTCATTGATCTGAAATTTGGGGACGATTTTTCGTTATTTTTTATGATTGTGAGCTAATTCTCTAAAAATCTGCGACTAAATTTTGGTTTAAAATGTCGTTGTGAATTTTTTTCCCACATTCATTTTTTCAGTTCTTGAATAAAACTTTTGATAATTATTTTAGCCTTCAAAAATAATTTTCGTCTAAAGGTGTAATTTTTATTTTATTTTTTTTATAATTATGGTGCATACAGCGTTAAGTCCTAGGTGCACTGCATCCGGTCAAAGTAAGATGGTATTTCGCTGTGAGTCCTGCAACCGCAACATTAAATTAACACTACATTAACATTACATTTATTGATTGTTGATTGTTGGTGTTGACTGTTGATTTCTTTCTGTTTATCAACAATAAACATGATTAATTGCCGATTGGTAAGTGTTGATTATTGGTTGTTAATTACTTGTTGTTGATGGTTAATTGTTGATTGTTGATTGTTGGTTCTTGAATGTTGATTGTTGATAGTTGAGTTTTAGTTGTTGATTGCTTAATGTTCATTGTTGATTGTTGCATGTTGCGTGTCAAGTGTTGCGTTTTGAATGTTGACTGTTGCATTTCGCATGTTGCAGGTCGCATGTTGCAGGTCGCATGTTGCAGGTCGCATGTTGCAGGTCGCATGTTGCGTGATGCGTGTCGAGTGTTGAGTGGTGAATGTTGCATGTTGTATGCTGTATATTGTTGGTTATTGATACATAGGAGAAGTGCGATGCAATGAAATTTTTCGGTTTCTTCTGTCTATGGGAAAAATCTGAGGAAAATAAACATAATTTCGTTTTTGTTTTAATTTCAAAAACACATTTATGTTTTTTAAGAGACTGTAACAAAAAGCTGCTATAAAAACGATCGAAAAAGTATAGGAAAACCAGACTGCCGAAAATATCTCTTTTTTTCTTGGGCCAGTCCCTGATTTCATAAACAAATTTTAACTTATATTGTGGCCAGTATTCTATTATTCCCAATTTGAACCTGAACGACTCCGAAACCGCAGTACCATCTGCCATCGCTAATTTGGACGACTATCGATAACCGCTTGCCGTCACTGAAACATGATTGTTTTGTTGCATTTGTTCGTTCTTTTAAAAAGTGATGGCAGCCTATTAACATATCGAGAAGTTTCTTGCTTTGAGAATTTGGTAAACTTTGGGGGTGAGAATTTGGTAATTTTTTTGCGCTGCGGAACCGATGACCCGCCCCATCGTTGGTATTTCGCACTTTGGCCACACTTGCCCTACACTGTTGCATTTGCATTTGCCCCCTTAGAACAGAAAAGCGAAGCGAAAATAAAGCTGGGCGAAAATGCCAACCAAATGGTAGGCTAAGCAACCAAATCGAGTGAACCTACCTGAACCAGAGTCGAATCGAGCGCGAGCGAACGCGGAGCAGCAGGTGACCAGCCCAGCGGTAAGCGAAGTGCAACGCAGTGCAGCGGACATGAACGAAGAAATCGTGCGGGAGCGCGGCGGCGAGGAGTCCTCCGTCGTCTCGCCCAAAACTGCATCATCGGCAGCGGCGGCGGCGTCGATGACGTTGGCCTCGGTGGCCTTGGAATCGCACACGACCGCCATCGCCAGCAGCGCCACCCCCGGCAGCACCAGCCCCACCTCCAGTGGAGCAGGAGCAGGAGCTGGAGCAGGTGGTGGTGCTGGTGCAGTTGGTGGCTTAGCGGGAGGAGCAGGTGCATCTCCGTCCGGCGTGCAGTTGCATGAGAAGCAGCCACTGCAGTCGCAGCAGCAGCCACAACCACAGCAGCCCCAGCTGAATGCCACCGATATGCGCGAGCTGCGCGAAATCAAGCAGTTGCTGTGGGGCGACAATGTGCGCGAAGATGTATTCAAGCGTTGGTCTCAAGGTAACCACCCAATCAACACCACCACCCCGCCCCAACAACCAACTCCCACCACCCCGCGCACACAGTGCACCACCCACTGTGGGCCAAAAAGCGCGCCCTTTTTTGTGCCCAGCAATGGCAAATTGTCGGGGTATGCCCAATTCCATCTGTCACTTGCCACCAAAAATTGGTCCCGGTCATAACAATTTGGTGTTACTCTTCTTATGATGCAAATACTTTGTTTTTCTCATAAAAGTAAAGTTCATGACTTGCAGTGTTAATTAAGGAGATTATTACAAGAAATATTTGGTGTTTTCATGGTCATCTTTGAAAATGTGTGTCCGAAATTAGCCCAGGCCAGAGAAAAGGGTATGCCTCAGCCGAGTAAATAAATTAGGCCATTATCGTATACATAAATAACAAACAACAAAAATCCAAGCAAAGGCCTTATCACTCAATATTAAAACTTATCCCAGGTCATGTTTAATCTTTTTTCTTTATGGCAATAACAAATTATTACATTAAAAGAACCTCTTAATTCTTATAAGATTGATTAGCTTCATTGTTTAAAAGTACAATTTGTCAATTGTACGACATTCCATGAAAACTTAGTTAGGAATGTTTGTTTTTAAAAGACTTTTGCCTTAATGTTTGTACATAATGCAAATGCACTAGTTGTAAGCAATGATTAGGGTATTCCCAAGATTTACTTTATGTTTTAAGTTATCGCGCTAGTAAGAGTTTATAAAAATTAACTCCAAAGTCCACTTCATAAACAGAAAATGGATTACGTTTATCAAGTATAGTATAGTATATAGTGCTTCTAAAGCACTTGCCTATTATCTTAAATTTTGATATGTATATAATGGCTAATGGCTATAAAAAGACAAGATCATTTTATTATTATCCAATTTTCAAATATTAGTCATCGCTTTTAAATGGCAAATAACTATGTGCAGAAACCCAATATATGTATAGTAAAATTCCATTCGGTCCATGAAGTATCAACTAGTGGCCCTCTTATACCATTTTCTTCTGATAAGATTAACCCACAATTTAACCCCATCCAGGATTCGAGTTTAGTAAAGTGGAGCCGTCGGCATTGGTGCAGAAGCAGGGCGGTCCTTGTGCTGTGATAGCGCCGGTGCAGGCGTACTTGCTTAAGATAATTATCATGGATATGCCAGGCGTGAAGCTGTCGGAGGTGGGTCTACTAGTACTTCACCAAGCAAACCCTCACTAATTTCTCCTAATTATTAAGATTCCCTACGACAAATGCCAGAACCTGCTGATCCAGGCATTGTGCAACATTTTGAAGAACTGTCGGGCGCCGCGCTACCGCATCGTCCATCTCTTGCGCCGTCGTGGAAATGCTACAGAGGCTGGTTTAACCAAAGAGCGCTCGCCAGCCGTCGAAACAGGATCTGCTCCGGCTGGCCCAGCCGGATTATCTGAGGGGGCAGCCGGAGCTGTGGAGCTGGCGGCCGAGGCCACTCCCGCCTCGGTCAACGAGATGACCCAGGAGCAGCTCGATAATGATCCGCATCGCGAGCTGTCGCCAGATGAGTTCCACGAGCGCCTGCACACGCTCCACTTCGAGGACATCGCCGCCGTGGCCCGCTACTATATGGAGAACTACGGCCAACTGGCGCACACATATGGCGTGCTGCTGTTCATGTACTCGGTGTTCCTAACCAAGGGATCGGAGCTGGTGGCCGCCGACATATCGGACACGTCGGAGCCGCTGATACACAGCACCTACGGCTATGGTGGCCAGTCGCTGATCAACCTGATGCTAACGGGCCGTGCCGTGGCCCATGTCTGGGATAACGAGCAGGATGTCGGCGGTCTGAAGCTGCGCGGCATATGCGAGCAGAGCGACATTGGGTTTATAACGCTGATGGAGCAGATGCGTTACTGCACCGTTGGTTCCTTCTTCAAGAACCCACGCTACCCCGTCTGGGTGATGGGGTCCGATACGCATTTAACCGGTGAGTCATCCACTAATTGAAATTGTCGATGGCTTTGCCCGTGTCATCGCCTTTGTTCGTTTCTTACTTATTCTCACGGTCTTATCTTACCGCAGTTCTGTTCAGCAACGAAAAGAGGCTTGTCTCGCCGGAGACGCCCTCGGAGACCGGTCGTCGCATCTTCAAATCCTACGACCCGGAGGGCAACAATTTCATATCGACCACCATGCTACGCGAAGTCCTCGCTGCCCTAAATCTGGTCAGCGAACCGGCTTAGTAAGCTTAACTCCTGTCGTTCCTTAAAAACTGTTTTTTTATCGATACCTTTCGCAGCGTGGCCCTCATGCAGAAGCGTCTGGATCCGGAGAACTTGGGCATCATACTGCTGAATGCCTTCATGGACGAGTTCTTCCCGCTGGAGCGCCGCTCCACGCCGGACACCTTTGAGCTGATGCATTACAACGGCATCCCAGGCTCCAATGAAAACAACAGGGTGAGCAAATAATATTTTTATTAAATTAATGAAGGCCAAGCAAAACGCCCTTCAATCTTTAACAAGTGTAAGGATACTCTTAATAGTTTTTAAAGGCTGCTGCTAATTCAGTTATTAATTTAAGGGCTTAAGCCAGATGAGAAAAGAATAAAAACTGAATAAAACTTATTTTTTCGCTTATAGATACAATTTTTTTAATAGAAGTACGAAACAGGTTTTCAATTTACTGAAACTGTGGATTTATTCAATTTAAAAGAGGAGATCAGGAGCTTAGGTCAAGGGTTTTAAATAATGATTGTATTCTTTTCTAAAGTATTCTATATTTGCTTTTGCAGGTGCGCTACTATTGCGGCTCTGCCATTCTGCTCGAGGGCGACCTAAAGTCAATCTGTACTTCGAACCCGATGGTCACCTGCCTGCAGACCAAGTGGCCGAACATCGAGATCAATTGGCACGATGCCCACTTGCCCTCCTTGAATTGACGCCGTCAAGGGGGCCAGGACACACAGCAGCAGGGGGATGCGCGTAAACACAGGAAACCAAAAGGACGAAAAGGAAACCCAGGATCTACTGGGGCGGAGAAAACACAGCTGTAGACGCAAAAAAAATGCGACAAGATGCGATTGCACTTTTTTATTTCAAACACCCTTCATTTGTTTTTTTTTGTGATTATTTAAGAACCTTTACAAAAAAGAAAGCTGGAGTGGAACGCACCAACAACTAATTAACAAAAAAGCCGCAGCAAAACACTAACAAATGCGCTTTTAAAGAGAGCTGCAGCCATGTTGAAGAATCCGCAGGAGGATAGAAGATTTACGCCAAGCGTTGACTCACACAAAACACCCAAAAAATAAAACATCCCATAAATGCATAGCTGTATGCAACATGGAGAAAAAATACAAAAAAAAAGAGGGGAAAAGAAAGAACACACATCTTATAAAAACTAAATCTTAATTTCGAACATTGTACGTTTAAACTTGCATTGCAAAAACGAAACTCAACTAAAAATACAGGCAACACAAATATACCTTTATGAATAAACTAAAACTAAAAGAACAAATCTTAATTGAGAATTAGACAAAGCAGAAGCGAGGCGACGCAAGAAGTAAAAGTATGAAACAAAATTTGTTTTTGGCCTTTTAACAAATTACTTGTAGTGTTAAACGATTTAATAAAATTAAATAAACACAGATGCATAATAAACAGGAAAAGAAAAGGGCAAATTAATAACATCAAAGCGAAAGAGACAGGGAATGAGAGAGAGCAAAGCAAAGATTACTTCAACGTGAAAAAAAACTAAGTATAAATTAACAAAAATAATAATTCAAATTAAAATAAACAAAAAAAACATAAATCTAATTAAAATGTTGTGCATTTTTTTTATATTGCGGAGTAAAGTGTCATTTTTACGACCTTCTTTCTCAGCTGAGGTTTTGCTATTTCCCACTTTTTTCCAAAGTGTCAAACATTTCAATGGTCATAAATTATATCTATGTGTGTTTAAATAAGCCTGCAGAACTGGCTTTAATATTCACCTTATATTAAACGCCCCTATCTTAAACGATTTCTGGGTAATACTAACTACATCCCCTTCCTTTATTGTAGATATTACAAAAGATCGATTGATAAAATCATATGGCTACGATAGGAACATTTGGACCCAAGACTTGTTTTATTTTTTTGGAAGTACTTTTCCATTACATGTGATAACCCAACACCAAACCTAAATTGATTCAGCTTAAGATCGTTGCACATAAGTATTAATACTGAAAATTGGGTAGAGTAAATCACGTAACCAAATTAGACATGAGATCCTAGGACTTCTTATGTTGTCGTAAAATGTTTACAAATTATTCCATGTTGCCTGAGTTGCTTATTATAAATAACTAAACATAAACTATAGCCATTCTGAATGTATTTATTGAAATAAAATTTAATTTAACATTATTTTCGGCACTAGGTTTCTTATAAAACTGTTCTAACAACGATATAATAAATCTACTATTGAAAATAACAAATGGCTTCTATCCTTTCTTCGCTCCCATCCATCATGATCTTTTCAGAACTCTCTAATTTTATATAATCCGAAATAGAATATGTGTTAATGGGATATTTTAGACACTAGGCCTCCCGACCATAACTTTTATTTAGAACATATATTTATGCAGGTGATATTCACAATTTTAATATTAGGAGAGGAATCCACATCAAGATGTATTTTAAGAATCAAACTTGCTGCTAGCTGCTAACAATCGATTAGTAACGCTCACGCCCGCGGCCTCTGGTCTGCTGGCCGCCCATGAAGATCTGTATATCCAGTCGATAGTGACGTGGCTTGCGGTGCCGCCTCTCCGTCTCGCCGGACATCGGATCTCATTTGACATCCAGAAGACTGCGCTGGAACATTTGCATGGCCAGGTTGCGCAGTCCGTCGCCCACGATGGGAACACTGCGTGGGAACTCGCACTCTCTGGCAGGCAGACCGCACAGCTGGCGGCGCAGTCGCAAATCCTGGCGAGCACTCAAGGCCCGACTCCCCGGACCGCAGACATTGCCCACTAATCGCTGGCGTTCGGCGGCTGCGCTCCGGAGACCCATCTGCACGCAAGCCAGTGGCTCCAGTTGCTGCTGACTGGCCAGCAACTCGCGGTAGTCAAGCAGCGGCGAGGAGATCTTGGCCGGCGGCTCCAGGTCTCCATCCAGATCGCGCTCCCTCTCACGCTGCTGGCACTGCTCCTTCTCCTTGATCAACTGCTGGCGGGCCTCCTCCATCACGCGACGGGCGTAGCCCTCTCCCGCCATTCCGAACGATATGCCCATGTCGAGGAGCACGCGATGGGGCTGCCAACGCTGCTTGGCGGATGTGCCCCGGTCCACGCCCTGCTGCGCCGCCTGCGCCTCGGAGGCCTGCTGGCGGGTCTCCGCTATCAATCCCTGCCAGTCCACGCCCAGAGCATCGCCAATGCCTGTAGGATGGGATGGGAGTTAAGAATTTAGTAATCTATTCGTTAACTTTTTCCCTAGCATGTATAATAAACATGTGACTATAAATTTACGCGTACAGTTTTATACTCTATTGTTTCTAAAATGATATCATCGGTAGAAAATGTATTTGATATATTTATAGATGCATTTTGATAAATTACCAATATGTCACGTACGTGGCTAGCCTAATTTTTTCATTACGTTTTTAATTATACAGCTATTAACACAAAACAAATGAAACCTATTTATATATTATTTCCAAATGATTTCCAAATTAGATCAGCATAACATTTGATTTAAACCATATTATAACATTGTATTATATTGTTAAATTTTAAATTTATAACTGTGTATTCTGAATCACTTATTAATAACACGTTATTTCTCTCACCTTTGTGTCGAGCATCCTCCTCCAGCTCGCCATCGGATATCTCTTCAAAGTCCAGAACTTCGTCCACCTCCTCGCCCTTAATCGGATGACCGGCTACGCCATGGAGGCCCTCGTTCTTGACCTCATCAGCATTGATGTCCATTTCCTGATCAATCTCTGTTGGCAGTTCGCTCTTAGGTCGCACCTTGTCTGTCTTATTCAGGATGTCATCGTCGCTGTCGCTAATCTCGCTTAGCTCGCCCTCGACGGCGCTGGTACGCAGTGGCTCCAGCTTCACAGGATTGCCCTCGGAGGTTAGCGAATGGTTCAGATTCTGGGCAGGTGAATCCTGGGCGCCGAGCTCCGGTGTGCCTGCCGAGTCTTCTGAGGCATCTTCCTGCTTGATGCAGACCGTGTTCAGTTTGCTCACCTAGAAAATAGATTTTAGGGTTATAATGATCGTATTGTCAAACATCTAATTGTTTTTAATTTTAAATGGAGAATATTTAAAAAATGTAGGCGTATTTTTAAACAATAGCTTCACCATCTTGCCAGCTTGCTTGATAATCTTTGAAAGAATGAGCTTTATATGCTAAAAAACGAAACCTATATACTCGCAAGGAAAAACGAAACCACTATCTGTTTTGGTTTAAATTATTTACCATAACAGCCAATCAAAAATTACGCTTTCAGCAGTTATAAACAAACAAACCGGTAAATACTAGATAGGCATACGCAAATTTAAATTGGAAAAAAATCTATAACTTAATAGTTTAAGGGATTAAAGGGAGAGGTAATGCATTAAGTATCTATAAAAGGTCAAAAAAGTAAACCAAAAACTAAGCGCACCTGAGCGAGTATTCCGGGATTTGTGGTGGCATTGGCTGCACTTTGAGCCGCCGCCTTGGCCGCTGCCACTGCGGTGGTTGCCGCTGCCACAGCGCTCGCCTGTGCGGCTGCATTGGGCTTGCCGGGATTGAGGAGCGGGTTCAGCAGCGGCGTCTGCGTGGGCGAGACCAACGGTGTGTGGATGTGCTTCTTGAGGAAGCCGGATGAGCCGGGTGGTCCTCCATCCCTCCCACCCAGTCCGCCGCCATCTCTGCCACCACCGCCGTAGGGCAGCCTCTTGTGAGGAAATCCCCGGGAATAGCCGCCAGGCGGCTGCACGGGCAACGTCATCAGCGGAGGTGGATGGGATCGGTAGCCGGGTCGCTCGCCGTGATCGCCATGACCGTGGCCACCGCGTCGGAAGCCCCTGCCGGATCCTCTTTCGCCTCGCGGATGCACATGGTGGTGCGGGGAGGCTGGTGGGGCATCGTCGTTATCCCGCCAATCACCGCCAGAGTTGGACGACTGCTGCTGCTGCTGCCAGGCGCGGGGCTTCTCCCGCTGATCGTGCTCCAGCCAAGCGGGCTCGTTCTTAATGGAGGGTCTGTCATTGCCAACACCGCCCACTCCTCCGTCCGGACGATCCTCGCGATCCCTCTCGCGTTCCCGATCGCGCTCTCGCTCCCTTTCCCTCTCGCGCTCCCGCTCCCGCTCGTCGGCGTCCCAGTCGGGCTCCGATGCGGAGTGGTGCTGCTGCTGCGACGGAGGTCCTCCGCCCGGATGCGTGGGGGGCTTGCCTCGCTTGGGTCCGCCCACGAAGCCACTGGGTCGTCCCGGGGTTCCACTAGGACCACCGCCCGGACCGCCGCCGCCGCCACCCTCCTCGTCCCAGTCGCGCTCCCATTCCGGGCGGAAGTCGCCACGGGGTCCAATGTTGCGTTCCCTCTCCCGGTCGCGTTCTCGCTCCCGATCCCGTTCCCTGTCGCGGATCAGGCGCTCCCGCTCGTCCGGATACAGGCCATCCTCCGTCTCCAGGTCGCGGTACTCGCGTCCTTGCAACTCTCGGTCTCGCAGCTCGCGTGCCTCCAGCCAGGCCTCACGTTCCCGCGAGGAGTAGCGGGCATCCAGATAGGCGCGCTTGTAGGCCCTAAAATAAGCGATGCCAAAATGTGGAATTTCAGACTGGGTGCTACAAAGAAAAGGCAATGATCTTTCCCAGGGAAGGAATTGATTAGACACTCACCTCTCTCGTTCCTCTTCGGAGTACATTTCGCGGGGATCCCGCAACCTGGGCGCATAGTGCTCGGGCAGTGGACTGATATCCCTGCGCCGATACCTCCGCATCTCGTCCATCAGCCCGTGGCTATGTCGCTCCTCCAGATATTCCTGCTCCCGCTCATAGGGATCCAACTCACGCTTGTCGCGCACATGACGACCACCGCGCTCTCGCTCCCGTTCCCTTTCGACGGTGTCCAGTGATCGCTCCCGACTGCCATAGGGCGGCAGATCCAAGTCGCGGCCGGGACCGCCCCGCTTGCCACCCTCCTCCTCCTCCTGGCGACGCAGTTTCTCGCGGGCCAAGCGTTCCCGCTCCCGCTGGCGCTCCTGGCAGCGCGCCAATGCCTCAGCGCGCTCCTTGTCCCTGGCTGCCTCCCGCTCCGCTCGCTCGCGTTCCCGATCCCGACGATCGCGCTCTCGCAAGGACAGATCATGGCGTTCCCGTTCCCTTTCCCGTTCGCGCTCGCGCTCCCGCTCGCGTTCCCTCTCCAGCGAAGGAGTGCGTCCGCGTGCTCGCGTCTGGATGATGATCTTCTCGCGCGACATCAGCTGGTGGTGCATGCGCGAGGATGAGCTGCTACCTCCGCCTCCAAGTCCTGAGCCCAAACCTAAGAACAGGGTAGGATTAGCTGGTTAAACAAACTTCAAAATAAATTGTCATACTAGGTAAGTTAGTAAGTAAAATTAAGTTAATCAAATGATAAAATGTTTAATTATTTTTCTCTGATTATTAAGGTTTGACTGTCACAGAGAATAGCAATCTTGGTAATAATAAATTGACAACACTTTGACATTTAAGGCATAGGCAAATGATGCATGTATGAAATAACTAAAAAGTGTTAGAAAATCTGAAAGGATTTGGTATTTTTGAAATGATTTTATGTTCAATTACATTATTATCAATTCGATAACACATAAAAATAAATGTTTTTGTGGTATAGTGGCAATCCCTTAACAAATTCAGAGTAAATGTAAACTTTAAGGGAAAAACATTGAAATGTCATGAGAATGCTAAAAAAAAACACAAACAAAGTGCGTTCCTGGTTTAAATGACCAAAATATTATCCGCTAGAAAGGATAGTTTCAGCAACTTCTTTTAAGTTAATTCAAAAAACTGTTGGGAAATGTGTATGCTTAAAGAGATTTTCGTTCAAATATATGCGGATTATCTCAGGGTATCTTTCGGTTGTTTGAGAATACATGTTTCTTCTGTATTAAACATAAGCTTTTATTTGCAATATTTAAGAAAAACTTATTGTTCATAATAATACATGCTTTTAACCGCCTTTTTTGAACTAGACAGACCCAAGTTTCGGGCACATTGTTACCTGGACTCTTTTGCCGCTTGCCTACGATGTCCTGATGGATGCGTATCTTCGTGGTGGTGGTGGTGCTACTGCTCGGCGGACTCCTGCTGCTGCCCAGTCGGTGGTGGTCGCGCTCCCTGTCCCGTTGGACTGCCCTCAGTTTGTCCCGCTCCCGCTGCTCCTTGCTGGCGGCCCTCAGCCGTTTCCGTTCCGCCAGCTTCTTTAGCTTGGCCCGGGTGGTCGGCGAGAGGGAGCGATGGACATGGCCACTTAGGGCGGCGGCAGCCCGCTTCTTCAGGCGCGCCTCCTTCAACTTGCGCTTGATGTGATTCCGCTTGGCCACCAGTTTCTTTTGGACATGGTCTCGCTTGTCCCGCTTGCGACGCGACGGCTCCTCACCGGATGAGCTGCCGCCACGCCGCGAGCTCTTCTTCTTGCGATGATGGCGCTCCGCGGACCGCGGATGATGCCCATGGCCGTGCGGATGTGGGTGGCCGTGGACGCCGCCACCGGGTCCGCCGACGCCACCCGGTCCGCCCACACCGCCGCCGCCCACGCCCTGCTCGCTGTCCGTGCTGCTGTAGGAGCTGCTTCCGCTGTCCGAGTCCGAGGTGGAGTCCGAGCTGCTCGAGTGCGTCGCACTGTGCCGGGCGGCCTTCTTGTAGCGGCGCAGCGATGCCTTCTTCTCCATCGCCGCGATCTCCGCTAGCCTGCGCGCCTCCGTTTTGGCTGATTTGTATGCGTTTGCCGGGGAATATTATGGTTTTTCTGCTTTGTTGTCCGAATTTAGCGTTTTTCTTTTTGGTGCCTCTTCTTCTTCGTCGATGCTTAGATCGATGTCATCGATGTTCTGTCGATGATTGGCGGGGCGCCATCGATGTTTTTCCATCTCTAACGAGTAATAAAACCACTGCTTGCTGTGTAAGAATTAGCGGTACACTGCTTAGTGGTATAATTGTCAACCATTGAATTGTCAACTGCTTGATGCGAAATATGTTGAGCGGTACACTGCTTATAAGTAAAATGGCGGTTGTTTAAAAAAAATAAGGTTGATATTTTAATGTGTCTTATCGATTTATAACCCGGTGAAATTAGTGTACCAGCTTCTTAAGTTTAATGTTCCTCCAAAAATATATTAATAATAATATCGTATGAAACAAAACATTTCTGTCTTTAAAAAAAGTTTGTTCAAAAAAATATTAAAATTGTTTAATTTAATTTTATTAAATTCTTTAAGGTTAGTCTGTTTAAGCAAAAAAAATTGTTCTTAATTATTTCGCAATATACATATTTACAAAAAGTAGCATTAGAAGAATTTATTTAATTGTAATATTTTTGTAAAAAACATTTTTAAGCCCCTAACAAAGATCTTATAATATTTTTAATTGCGAATGTTGTTGGTGGTTAGATTTGATATAACAAAATATTGTAAAAAAGTTTACAATTCCAGTTAACTATAAATATTGTATAAAGTCACCTTTTGGTTTAACATGATTGTACTTTAAAAGTTTTGTAGTCTAGTGATCCATGCCACTAAAATCGAGACGTATTCCTAGGTCAGCTCCTTCTAAGCCTCAGTTTTGATACGAAATTCGACATAACAACACATCACATCCAACTCTCTCTCAAATTAAAAAAAACATATTTTTTTAAAGTACAAATTTATACGGCTTTTAAAACCCTGATTCGAGGTCTCTTTCGGGAAAACCCATGAATTTGCTGCGCCGGCAGCCTCGGCTGCTGAGTAAACAGGGCACTTGGTTGCTGAAGGGCTTCGCTGTAAACCGGGATGTGTCCAAACCCGTTTCCTGTTTTGCGCCGGCTCTGTCCTCCGTATCGCTATCCGGACCAGCGATGGATGCCCCCGCCACAGTACCCCTGGTATCCGTGGTATCCCAGTCCGCCCAATCCGATGGCCAAGGAGGAGGACAAGGAGGAGGATCAGGATCAGGAGCAGGTGGGTTCAAAATCCAAAAGTGACTTAAATTTTTACAACTGTTTTATAGATTTTTTTTTTGTTAAATTTATAATAATACACAAGAACAATAATTTTCAGACAAAAAATAAAATTCAAATAAAACGTAATTTTTAACTTGCGTGTGAAGATTGATAACAATTTAAAATTTTTGGTTAATACAAAAACAAAAAAAAATGTACTAGTCTAAAATATGCAAAAAGAATAATAATAAGTATACAAATTTTCACAACAATAATTATAATTAAAAATTTTTTTTTTCATATAAAATAATCTTGGTTTGCATTGGGGTTTATACTTGAAGAATATTCGAATATCACGTATAATTGGAATATATTTACCATTAGAAATCACTTTGGTGATTTTAATTTGTTTGCTTAATTTTGTATTACAAAATAATTAAAAGGAAATCAATTTTTACATTCCCTAATTATAATAAGCATTAAAAGACAATAATTTTTTGCATTCCCTCTCTATCATTTTGCTACATTTTATCGTACTTTTTTCACAGGAGGATCAACCTCCAGAGGATCAACCCTCAGAGGATCAACCCCCGGAGGATCAGCCCCAGGAAGACGGTACTCCGGGGGAGGAGGACCAGCCCCAGCTCCAGCCCCATCCCCATCCCCAGGAGCAGGTGGAGGACCAGCCCCAGCCCCATCACCAGGAGCCGGAGCCACCGGAGCCGCCCAGTCCGGAGGAGCGTCCGCCGGGAAGCCACCTCAGCAGCCGCCGCCTCCGCCGCCCCCTTCACCCACCGCCCCCACCGCCAAGCCCAAGTCCACCACTCCGCGGATGAAGAGCTTCGAGATCTACCGCTGGAAGCCCGGCGATCAGCCGCAGCTGCAGACGTACACCGTGGACCTGGAGAAGTGCGGCGCCATGGTGCTGGACGCCCTGATCTTGATCAAGAACGAGATGGACCCCACGCTGACCTTCCGGCGCTCCTGTCGCGAGGGCATCTGCGGCTCCTGTGCGATGAACATCAATGGGACGAACACCCTGGCCTGCGTCTCGCACATCGACCAGAACGAGAGCAAGTGCTGCCGGATCTACCCGCTGCCGCATCTGTATGTGGTGCGGGATCTGGTGGCGGACCTGAGCCAGTTCTACGACCAGTACAGCTCCATCCAGCCCTGGCTGCAGCGGAAGGACCTCAAGCGGGAGGCTGGATCGGCGCAGTACCTGCAGTCCGTCGAGGATCGCCATGTGCTGGACGGCCTGTACGAGTGCATCCTGTGCGCCTGCTGCCAGACCTCATGTCCGTCGTACTGGTGGAACAGCAACAAGTACCTGGGTCCCGCCGTCCTCATGCAGGCCTACCGCTGGATCATCGATTCCAGGTGAGCTATACTCGTGCATACCCTGCACCCTGTGCGGATCAGCAGCGATCTCCCCCAGGGACGAGGCCACCAAGCAGCGACTGGACTTCCTCAAGGATCCGTGGAAGGTGTACCGCTGCCACTCGATCATGAACTGCACCAACACATGCCCCAAGCATCTCAATCCGGCGCGGGCCATCATCCAGCTGAAGCGGCTCCTGGTGGGACTCCAGAAGAAGGAGAAGCCCCAGCTCAAGACGGACGCCCTCTTTCAGGCGAAAGCCTAGGCATCATCACCATAACAACACACCAAAGATTCGACATAACGTTATTGGGACTACTCACACCGGAAACACCATTCCACGACGAAATGATTTGAAATCTCACACCGGAAACGGGAACTTCCTATACCGAACTGATCTGATCACTATCCTTCACAAACATATAATAGGAGATGTAAACACCAACGAAGACCACCACACAATTAGCGGGCAATATAACAAACACAAACAAGTAAAAAAAATTATACAAATCACACAAATCAAACAATTCACACAAATCTCATCACGAACACACAAACTTTTAACATGGGACTTTAATTAAAGTAAAGGACAACTAATTGTATGATATAAGCAAACAATAAAATAATACAAAATCTTAACTAAATTGCACATTTTCTTTTCTGAGAAAAATCCTTTAATTTAATTTTTTTTAGAAAGCGTCGAAGAAGCAAAACATAAATGAATTTTAATTTCTAAGATGTATATTTTTGTAAAAACCATTTTATAAGTGATTACATATATCCCGAACGTATCTATGCCATTAAAGAAAATGCTGAAAAAATATAATGACAGCTGATATAAGAAATCAGAATGTGTAAAGAGGCCTCAAGAAACGATTTTCAATAGATTTTCCTTGAAGGGTAAAACAAGTCGTCTATTAATTGATCAATCGAAAAACAATCCTACAAATGCAAGAATGGGTAAAAAAATAGAGATCGCTTGGCAGATGGATTGCAGTTGGACAGATGAATCAAACTGATCCCGATTCCGATCCCAAACACGCCCAGCATTGCGATGAATCTCCGGAATTTCCAACCCCCCCTCCACCCCTACAAACATCATCCTATGGATCCCGTGCTCGTCTGCTATTTCTGCACTTCTCGTTGCAATTAAGTGGGAAAATGCTGTAGTTATGTGGATGTTAATGTTCGTGTCTGCACCAGACCAATCCAAACAAATAAAGAATAGAATCGGATGAAATGAGCCACTTCCCACACTTAAAAAAAAACCCTCTTAAAGAGCGGGTAAAACAGCATCTAATAACTAGTATATTTATAATAACTATTAATTAACACTAGTCATAAGAAATTAAAAAAAAAAAAGTTACAGACAGAATTGAAAATGAAATTTATATTTATGTTATATTGATCTATATATTATTTAATTTATTTTATTTACGTTTGTATAATTTTGTGTATAATAATATGCTAAACATCTTATATTGCAGTGTAAGAAAAAGTAAAGACTGGTTATAAAAATTAAATGAGAGGTCTGGGAAGGATTTACACCTCACGTTTAAGAAATTTAACTTTCAGTAAATTTTAATACAGAATTGTTTTCTATTTGCTTGCTTAAGTAATTTATTGACTATACTTTTAGCCACTTTCTTGTAGTGTATACAAATTGTTTTCTGTGCAGGCCAAGGAGATTGGTTTTCCAATTGGCGTGAGGATGGAGTTTTTGGGGGGCAGTGAATGAAACCAACTGTGAAAACGGTCCATACGTCTCGCTGGGAGTCTATAAATAAGCCACCGCAAATCTTCCGGCGGGCAAAGGAATTGGAAATGGAGTGACTCGGGTTCGGGATGGAATACTTTCGATGTTGTTTTCTTTAAAAATAACAAGCCCCTCCGAACTTGTCAGCAGCCGTCGCAAAAACGGGGAAATGAAAGCATGAAAAGCGGGAAACTTGTCACGCTCTCATTTACACAACTTGCACTTGCTTGTTTTTTGTTTTTTCTTTTTCTTTTTTTATTTGAAATACTCTTTCAACCGAGCAGTTTCAACTTTCTTAATCTGGAAAAGTAAATATATACAAAATTCTTTATTCAAATGTGTGCAAACATTTAATATAAACAAATACTTGGTTTTGATTATTATTGAAGATATAGTTTATTTTACGCAGAAAGAGTATCAAAATGTTCGGCTTTCGCAATAGATATTTCGTGTTTATTTCTTTCTTTTTGGTTTGCGACAACACTCAATCTCGCTGACACTCAATCGAGCTGACAGGCACAAATCAGATGAAAAGCCTTCGGCAAGAGCCCCCAGAAGATTAACCAAAAGCCAGTTGATCCGCAGCTCCCATTCTGCTGCCGCTGGAGAACCATTCCGTCCGATTCTCCAGAAGCTTAGGCTTAGGCCATCAGGAGCCGCGTGGCGAGGAGACAATTAAAAGGCTATTCCAGCAATGCGCCTGTTTGCACCTGCCGTCGAGATATCAGCGACAAACGACAAACGACATCGTCAACAATGAGCCAGTCGAGCACGATTACTACACTAGTCAGCAAAAGAAAGCTACATTTAAATACCTGTGAAAATAGTTCACTGGTTAGACAAACTAGAGGTCTAGGTGGGCTCTAATTAGAAAACGGATCTTATAGATTTCCCTATTATGAGCTTTCGATTTGAAAAGGAATCATATGTAAACCGATCCTAAATCTAATCCTATTTAAAGTCAAGTATTAAACATTTTTACAGGATTTACAGGTTAAATAAACTATATAGATAATAACTATATTTTAAAATTAAACATTTATTGGTGACTCTTCAATTTTAATAAACTCATTCGATTGTGTCTGGTTATTTCTTACACAAGAAAATAAAATAAAACAAGGTACTAGGAAAATTATGAAAAATGAAAGAAAGTAAGTAATAATGTTAAAAGACATTGTTTGTTGCCCAGTGTTTTTAAAAATAAATACATCACATACATGCAGGCTGACGCACTCCGAAATACTACTTATGTTGGGCTGGAGTCTCCTGCTCCTTTGTCGCGATTCCAAGGTGTTGAGGTTGTTGACAATATGAAACAATCCTAACCCCCCCACCCCCCTCTTCCAACTTGGGGCTCCTGTTATAATTTAAGCTGCTAAGCTGCCGCTGACATCTGACAGGTGGCAAGAGGAGTGGAATCGAATCATCGAAGATAGAAGAGTCAGGCATTTTCGAAAAACATTTCGTCATAGAACACGTGCTGGAATTAGCAGTGTCCGAAAGAGAGGGGGAGTCGTGTGTGAAAGAGATGGATACTATGGGATACTATAATTAAAATAGCTAAAAAAACAGGTCAAAATATGAGTAGGTTTTTCTCAGAGATTTTTTTCAACTTTAGAATGAGAGTAAGGGTACCCAGTGCTGTACTTCTAGGCCTATACAATAATTTCTTTTATTCCCAATTTATCTGCATAAACAAATCTAATTTGTTTTTATTTGTTGACTATTTGAAAATCTTAATAATGGCTAGAAAATTCCATGTTCAGATTTTGATGCTTGTAATATTTTAAAAAAACCTGATAAATATTTTTATTTTATTCACAAAATCCAACAAAAAATAAGCTGAGTTAACAACACTATCTAAGGGAATTGTTTCCTGCTGCTTGCCAGTTGATTTGATTGCCACGCTGCGATTGCCATAGTTAAGATGATATTAAATCCCCAAGATTTATGGCTTTTAAATTTCATTCATTCCGGGATCTGGCTGATTGCTGGCACCCAGAGCCAAAAGCGGATGCACAAATCAATTGTCATCTGGCATGGAGAGTTGTCAAGGAGAGTAAGTTACTCGTAAAATGAAGTTTTTGCACTGATTGTCCACTTCATGTCTTAATCTTCACGTTTATGTACTCCCCATTCGAATGATTTAATAACTGAGTTGTAGAATCATCAACAGAATACTTGCACTCGATTTTTAACAGCTCCAATCAGTCTATCTATTAATTCCTCTTTAAACTATAATAAAATATTCAGCTTATCGTAAAATCAGTTTATTTAGTATTGATCGAGATCAGTCATCGCTCGACAATTGAAAGAGTAATACCCATGAAGCTATGTATCTAATCTCTTTCCATTCTATTTTCATATCCCACAGTCATGTATTGTTCGAAGTGAGAGAACCGAGTCCGAATAATAATGAAAAAGCTTTCATTGAATTTTCTCAGAGCATATTGCTTCAATGAATCACAGATGATTGATGCTCTTTTATCGTTTCTAAAAATTGTCAACATAAAAAGATTGTTGGATTAAAATATAAGTGAATGCAAAATAATCATAGAATATGAAACAGAAATGTATAAACAATTTATGTAAACAAGTTTAGACTTCGTGACTTGAACAAGACATGAAAACTAGCAGATAATAACTCATCGATAAGTTAGAGATTTAATTAAAGTGTAAAGCTCTTGTCTCATTTTTTAGGTGGGCGAGGGCATCTGAACTTGGCCGATAACTTTTTGGCGAAAAGCTTTGGCCCCTGTCAGGGCCTTTTTCTCTCCCCCACTCTCGCAAATTTTCCCTGAACGAAATGCTTGGATATGTAAATGAATTACTCGTAAGTAGCTAATGTAACTACGAAAATATTTACATATGCGCAAGTGGGTGTCGGCAACCCACACACGTATTACACTCCAAAAAGAAACGGAACTCAAAAAATCAAGTAAAGGTGTCCCTACTGATTACTTATAAGGATATGGCTAGAAAACTTCTGCTTTTAAATTTGTTCTTTAATGCGATCAAAAATTATTTAAAAGATACATTTTTGGTGATCTCAAACTATTAGTTTTGAGCGGTGGTAAATTAAATTTCGTAGCTCAAAACTTAACTAACGATTTTCAAGTGATAAATAATCTTAAAATTTTCGATTTATTTTTTAAAATCGTTTTTAAAATTTCGTTCCAATTTTTGCCAATTTAATTTAAATGAAATTTTTGAAAATTTGATGAGAAATTGTACAACTAGTTTTCCATTGCAGGTAATAGTACTCAATGAGCTGAGTAACGGAAGAAATAACATTCCATGATCCGACTATATTTGGCCAAGTTGGTGACCCCAATTTGTTACTGAAATAGGAATTATTTTTCACTTTGACAATTGCTGTTATCATTTTGATCCATAACCTATTAAATATGCATTGCTTAGGTATTGTTAAATACAATTTAACCAGGCATTAGTAGTGTGTATAACTGTAAATATCATGATCAAAGATCAAAGATGATACGATACTTTTTTTGTACTTATAGCTGTGTTTGGCTAGAGTATTGATCCATTACCCCTTTTGAAATGTATCGATTTTATATTTTTAAATACCTACCAAATAGTTCAACGATCTTTTTGTGTAGGACTGAAAATGTCCTGAAGACTTAAGGATTTTCCTATTTGTATATTCATTTTCTAAACCAAAGAGGTCTTTCTGTGTATAACTAAAAAATACCCAGATTATTTTCGGGTTGCTTTGGATCGTCGAGGTGCCGTTTTCTGCGAGTGTAGGGAGCGCATTCGCCACGTGCGGAGCGTGGAAAAGCTGCAGCTCGGGCGAGAGAGCTTTGTGCGGCGCCTACGTCACAGGGCCGCTTTTTGGGGGGCGGGCGAGCTTTTGGCGCCTAGAAAACAACCCCAAAGCGGCACCGCGAATCAGTCGCAAAAAAGAGCCCGTCGCCAGAACGCTGAAAAAACAGCAAACAATTGAGGGATAAATAAATACAAATTCGAAACAGAAATAGTAACAGAGTGACAAGAAGCAGCCGAAAAGCGAGCGCTGCCACAAAATCGAATATTTGTGAGGGATAGAAAGGTAGTTAACATACATTTTTTTTACTGTGAGTGTGGTGTGTGCGTGTGTGTGCAGTGTGTGCAGTGTGTGTGTGACTGGCAGAATCTTCTTCCTCTTGTTAGTTGTTTGCATTTTGATCCTAATACTTGTTACTATTTACCTGAATCAAGGAAACCGCCGAGAGGATAACGAAAGCGCAGCCCCCGCCAACTTGCAACCCCCTCCATCAGTCCATCAATCCATCGGTCCATCCAGCCAGCTATCCCCATCCAGACATCCAGATATCCGGGAATCCAGGAGAGAAAGGTGACGAAAAGAGAGCGGGAATAGGAACAGGAGCAGCAGCAGGAGCAGGAGCAGGATCCACACACAACCGCAACACAACAAACCCAAAACACACACTCCACAAAGATGTCATGGAGATATGCGGTAAGCGGAAGGACAATGGGAAACACGGGAAAGTAGGGTTAAAACAAAAAAAAGAAACAGGAGGAGTGGGCGGATAAGGGTAGCAATTGAGTGCACAGGACACTGGGGGAAAACTACTAATAAGTGGGTTAAGCGCAGGACTAGTTTTCTAGGGACGAGATCTAAGCTAAACCTTCTATCCAAACTATTATTATCAAATTTAATTAAAAGGTTTAAAAATTCTTCAATAATTAAAAAACACCCAAATTCTAAACCTTTACGACAAGAAGAAACTCCATCAATCATTTTTTAGTTACTATTAGCTATTATATTATCAAAATTAATTAAACCTTTTTTTAACTTTTTTTGTATTTTATTTTGATAATATTAAAATTCTTCAATTATAATGTAAGACTTGATTCAATGTAAAACTAATAATGTAAAACTTGATTTAGTTTTACATTATTATCATCATTTTGTTTTACATTAATATTTTGGAATTTGTACATTATCAAAAGAAACAACAAAGAAATACTCGAATTATTTAATTTCAATAAAACAATTTAGCAAAATTGTACAATAATAAGATTGATAGCATTAAATATGATCTCTTTTAAAGTTTGGGTTTAGAAAAATGTGCTGGAAAACTGGCAAACAAATTTGGGTTTATTGTCGAGATCAACGTTTAAAACCATTTTCTAGGTTAGTTTTCAGGTCGCTGAACACGCAAAACTTTTTTTTAAAATATGTCGAATTTAATGCTTATTAAAAATAAAACTTAAATATGCCACATATTTTGACTTTTAGTCCTCACATCTCTATTAATTGCAGTCGTATTGCTTCAGAAATGTATAAATTCTCTTAAGAGTAGTTCCGAATCACAAAAAAATTGTGTTTAGCGACACCAAATTGTCAAAAAAATCGTGTAAGCTAGTGCTCATAATCTTCTTTAATTTTAGCACATATTTTGTTTAAGCTCATACATTCGCACAGTGCATCGATGGGCGGGGGGCGTGGCGCAGGCTGGTTTGTCAAGTGCCGCGTGGTAGACTTTTTGACGCTGGCTTCGGGCATCTGTCAAAAACAGCTGATGACGATGACGATGATGACCTTGACTCGCCTCAATCTTTGGCCATGTCGCGGTCCTCCCGCTCTGCTGACCCAATTTGGCCACCTCTTTTATACACTTATACACTTACACACACCCGTCCACCCAACCACCCACCACTTCACCTATAACCCACAAAGAACAGCGACAAAAAATCAGGGTAAGGAAAATAGAATTTGTTCTATTTTCTGTGGGACAGAGGCCTTGGCACATGTGTGCACCACCACACCATAAACCAACCACCCACCGCCCATTTGAAGGCCTCTAAATGCAAATGCAAAGTTCAAGTGCCTTTCCAAGGCGTGGCACATCCCAACCAACCCAACCCCCCCCACCCAAAAAACCCTCCAAACTATTCCCAACATGTGGGTCGTTAAATAACCATCTTTGTCTGTGGCTTTTGTCGGGCGATTATCCTGGCATTAACTCGGTTTTGGCGCCTAATTTTTTGGGTCACCACTGCTAGTTGCACTGGGTCACCAATTTTGTGCGGAGTTCGGTCTGTCCTTGGCATTACAGCTCGAAGGGTACAAGTTTTCAAGAACTTCAGCATTCTATTTATTTTATTTATTTATCTTAATAGTTTGTTGGGCAATATTAGCATATAAATTTATAACTAAATAACTAATTTTTTAAAAATTATTTTATTGATTTCCGTCTGATTCTCAAACTTAAAAGTTGATTTAATATTGAAGTCGAGCGGTTTTAACGAGTATAATTTATTGCTAAGCTTTTAAAATTGTTTAAGTGTTTCCTAAACAAGTAAAATAGGTTTTAGTTAAAAAATGTATTTATTTTAATACCTAATTTTCCAATGTTTATAACACGAATATTTTGAAGCCAAATCGTGCTTTTAAAGTAAATCAATTAAATTAACATAAAATTCAAAAATCAATCATTGCACATGACAGGCAACCATAAATTCCTCTAGCAAAAATATGTCATTAAATTGGGGGCCCCTCAACTAATTAAAAACTCCCACTATAACCTGGCCAAAACAAATTAGTGACGCTGCACTGGATATGATTGACCCAAAAAAGGCGGATCGGTGATAATAGGCTTTCGGCTTCTGTGGGCTATCCAAAGAAGATTACTCATACGCCGCGTGGACCGATTAAGTTAATTAAAAAAAAAAAAATAAAAAGGTAAAATTAAGTGGGCCAACCAGGAACACCCAATCAGCCATCCCATTGAACTTGAGCCTCCAAATCGAATGCAAAAACTTAATGAATTCAAGAGGCAGTGAAGCTAATTAAGTTGCTGCCTCTTCCACCAACCGACAGTGGCTCAAATTAATTGCCCGGCTTCCGTGTAATGGCCATTGTGAAGTGCTGTAAAGTCGGTAACAGATAGATATATATATATATATCTATATATAGTACTTGTATATTTATAAGCCCCAGAGCTTAGCTAAAATGTCAATGTCATCGCCGTTTTCCGCTGGCAGTGCTGCTGGCTCAGTGTCAAGCCCATCGAGAGCGCTAATTGAACAATCGATAGAGCACTGTATAGACGTGGACCCACATATTATATACAATATGCACAATATATTGTAGGTAAATACTATATATAGCCGTTTTGTGCCGATTGTGGGCGTGTCGCATCGCAGCTGTTGCGCCTGATTGAGCAGAAAGCGAAAGGCAAACGCTTTGACGTACACTTAGAAAAACCCACGCAATCTGTATGGGTTTTTGATTGAGAGCCGTCAAGCCGCATTTTGTCCTTTTTGTATCAATTTGTAAACATTGTTTTATCACTTATAAGTTCTCAAGTTAAATCATTAATCTCTAGAGATTCACGATCACTTTGTAATATTGCCAAAAGTAAGCTTTAAATACTTTTCTATTTCAAAACATTGTTTCTATTTTTTCTTCGCATATCTTTGTGGGTGACTTCAGATCTCTAGGATCTGTGAAATTTTTTGTTATATTTGAAATTTACCTGATTTATTACATTTTGCAGAATTCTTTTAAAACCCATACATAAAGACAGATTTAAAATCTTTAGAAATTTCTGTTGCTCCAATATTTAAACTTACTTTTATATGTTTAAAGCCCAGAGATATAGTAATATGATATCGGCAATATTTTAAAATAAAAAGACGTGCCGAACTTTTCTTTCTCTGTGCGTACTGAAGCTGCGGAAAAGGCGGCGACTTGAAAGCGTTTCCTCATTTGGGCCGAGCTAGAAACCCACCCAAAATGGGGTAATCGTTTTTCTCAAGCTCAAGGTCGATCGGCGATCTGTTGTCGGCTTTGTGAATTGGGAGATATTAATATATATGGGGGAAATGGGTGACTATTGGATTTAAAATTCGAAATGGTCAAACAGTGCTCAATATCATTCAAACTATACGATGATAATCTTGATATGGAGATCTCCAGACCTTTTTAAGCCCCACTTATTTGCATTGCAGCTGCATAATTTGTGGTTCGCCTTTGGATGAGCGACAGGCAGACAGCTATTTGATGGGCTACTCGTATAAATACTTATATATATACATATATATATTTCCCAACCCATAAACGTGCCCACCTTAAAAGGAAAATTAAGCATCCACTGTATTGCGCATTTAATTGAAAATTTAGTTTTGCAATGTAGGAAATTGTTTTGGCTTCGTTTGTTGATTTGCTGGCTGCCAAAGTTTTTCGCGCTCAATGTTGGGAAATCAGCTGAGGAATGTCTCTTTCAGTTTTTTTATTTTTTCATAATTATCTGGGGAATTTTGTTTACATTTTCTTATTTCTTGTTTTTTTTTTGGGGATTGGGGGCATTACGGGTTGGTTCGTTGACTGTTTAATCAATAACAAAAAAATTTACTGCAGGATACTGGCTTGCATGTCAATGTGATTTGCATTTGTCGAGTGCCCAGAAACTATGCAGATTATGCAGATATATAGAGATATATAAATGCACAGACAGATACCTATATGTGTCATATATGTATTTGATTTATCAATGCCAAAGCCAGACGAAAAAAAAATGTCTTGTACATTATATTTTTTTTGGTCGAAAATTAATTGTTGCTTTTGATTTTGGCTTGCTTTAATTTCCAACATTTTCAGCCGAGAATTTTCACACTTGAAAAATGATTTTGGGAAAATTGTTGTTCGAATTTTTTCCGCGCTCTCGTGTTTTTCTATTTCTGGGAATTTTATGTGCTCAAGGCCGAGCAAGTAAATCGAAGCGAATTACAAAATGTTTTCATAAATCAATGGAAAATGTCAGCAGATGCTGATGACATTATTGCTATATAAAGTATAATTCTTGTACTAATAAACAGCTAGTAAGTAGTTTGGAATTTTAAAGTAAAAACCAATTGTTACTTAATAGAAAATAAATCAAAATCTGTTTATTCTAAAGAACTAATAATTACTTTTGTATTATTTTACCCTTTTTTCAAAGTAGTATTTATTTTTTTTAAAGGTTTTTTCTATATAATCAGTGGCATTTAAATACAAAAAAGCTTGGAAATCTTTATCATACAATTTTTTAAAAATTTTTTTGAATACTTCTTCGTTTTTCAAAGTAATTTATTTTTATTAATTATTGAAAAGGGTTGAAAACCCCAGAGGCATTTCAGGGTATTATGTTCAAAACGTTACTTTTAAATTTCCTGAATCTACTTGCGAATGCCTCTCAAGCCTTAGGAAACACTATTAAATAATCGTATGTGGCACGTTGACAAGGCTGACCGCATAATTTCCCCTCACTTCCTTCCTTAGTTAGCTTAGTTTATTTAGCTGATTGCATTGTCTGGCAATCCTTAGACCCCTGCACCCTGCACCCTGCATCTTGCCCCACATTGTGGCCGGCATTGTTTTTCCATTTAGCTTGCTGCACTTCCTGCAGATACACGTAGCCACATGTGTGTAGATGTGTGTGGAGGGCAAACGGAACCAGAGAACTGTGTCAGTCCAGAGGTCAATCGTGGGCCCAACTGTTGCCACCTGCAAGCCGCAACTTGTGGATGTGGCTGTGAATGTGGATGTGGATGTGGGTCAGGCGGTGGCCGATGGGTTGACCCACCCAGCGGTGCCAGAGGACATCAATCGCAATCGAAACGAGATTATGACATCATTAAATGGCTGCAGTGGTGAAGCCACCATCGAGAACCAGTTTATATTGCTTGGGGGAAACAATAAACGAGATTAGATTTTGATGCAGTCCTCAGAAAGGAAAAATGGGTTCAATATATGATAGATAACACAGTTGAAAATTAGTTTTTTTTCCCAACAAAAAATGATTTTTAATACTTATGAATTCATTTTCAAACATATTAAGTGAACCCTTCCTGGATTGCAGAAATTTTTTATTGTTATTAAAATTAAGAAATTATTTGGTTAAGTTTGGAAATATTGTGAAATTTATGAAGTGATTTATAAAAGAATATTATAAGGACTATAATTTGAAATTTCACATTTGGCAGTTAAAGTGTATTTAAAAAAAAAAGCAACCTCGCAAAAAAATATTATATTACCGTTTCAAACTTGGTGAAATTTATAAAATCATACAAAGAGTGCAAGGTAATTTGTAAGTTAGCAGATAAAACGTATTTTTAAAAAATCCTCTTTTGGAGAGTAATTTTTCTGCATAAAGAAATTCCACTGTCGAAGAATGATATTTTAGTGTTTGTTGAGTATTTTCTCGGCATAGAGAACTGCCATAGTTTTCTCCCTTGAACACACACCTCTCAGGTATTTTGGCCCATTGGCTGTCGACTGTCGACTGTTTTCAAAGTGGCTATAATAAGATACGAACACTTTTAAAGTTGCCAATAGATTCACTCACACGAATCGCTCAGCCATCAGGAATCTGAATCTGAATGGGAATGGGAATGGAAGTGCTATATATCTGGCTGTATATGCTGGCGATTAGACGGGGCACCGTTTCAGTTTCAACATTCAATCATGCCACTGCTTTCCACTCGCTTTTCGATTTTGTTTCCATTTGGCGTTTGCATTTTGTTGTGCTTCGTATCTGGTATTTTGTTTTCCCCCCATTGGATTTGTCGTGTCCAGCTAATTGTCTTGTCATGCGGGCCTCCCATATTATAAATATATATATATATATATATTGTATAGGGGGGATTTCGCCGGGGGCGTAGGATGAGTCACACACAACAACAAATTCGTTGCTGGGTTCCACTTGCTCCAACAGATTTTCTCTTCTGTTTTGCTGCCTTTTTTTTCACTGTACATCGCGGTGAGTAATTTTTTTTCTATCAAGTATTTTTAGATGCAAATCGGTGGTGGTGGCGTGGGTGGGAGCGTAATTTTCTTGGCAAGGGGGACAAGGTCAAGGCGCAGCATCACACTCACCTGAGCAAAAGCTTTCCCTCTATTTCCGTTTCCACCTGATATAGAGCAAGTTGATTGGGATATATTTAGATAAGGTTCGCCTGTTTTCCGTATTATATTACCCTCAAAAATATCGTGTTTTATTGAAGTCCATTCATTAATTTGCCAACTAAAGGTCACATGAAAACCTAGGAATTCTTTAGCAAATAAATTGTGATTTCCCTGACAGTTTTTAAATAAATCCCTTTTCTATGAATAGATTATATTTATATTCGCACTTTTTTCCTTAAAACATTGCCCTTAAAAAGAATATGTTTTATTAAAGATCATTAATTTATTTGAGAAATAATAGTCACATAAAAACCTACTTTTTGTTTCTATGATTAATTTATTAATAATAGAAAATTTTATTTAGTTTTTGCTCGCATTTTGCTTGCGTATTTTAATTATTATTATTTAAATTGGCATTAAAATAAAATATTAATATGGTGGTTATTTTGCCTATATTACCAATAAAAGAATATGGTTTGTTAACGATTTGTATTTGGTTTGCCAAATAATGGTCACACAAAAACCAATAAAATAAATACTGATTGCCTGACTGATATTTTACTACCCTATTTTCTATGATTAAATTATTTATAATAATTTTAAATTTCATTTGAAAATCCATTTTTCCAGCTACTTACGGACAGATACAGCAGCAGCATCGGCGATAGATATAGTCCCCACTATTATCAGGTTTGTCCCGTTGCATGAGGGTTAAATGTGGATTTTTGTAGCCTGAATTGTGCCGTCTTGAATGCTGCATTTTTGGACATACATATGTATATATCCAACCACATTGTGCGTTCTTAACCTCTGCTGTGTTTTGTGACACCGAAAACTCTTGCGTTTTTGAATTTTCAAACTAACCCAAGCTGAAAACTAATTTTCGCTACATGTGTGCCGCACACATAACACTCTCGTATCTGACGGATATATGGGCCACGGCGAAAATAATGCTATAAATAATCTCCACGTTTTGTGCGCTTTTCATCAACAGATTTAGAACAATTAACCCACACACACCTTGCGCAGATCTCAGACTATATATATATACCTATAGATATATATATAAATATAAATATATAAAGATGTAGTCGCCGCAAGCTATATGCCATAGATCAGTCACAATAGATCAACGGCAAAATGTTAAAGAACTCTGGCGACAGATGCTTTAAATTTTATATTTGATTTTCTCTCGATCCCACCTTTTTGGGGCTATTCGCCTTCGTTTCGCTCATTTTCATTTTCAGGGTCGCATGCCGCAACAAAAAGTAAAAGTTTGCCGAAACGTGAACACCTAGCCTCAACCCCCTTTCCCTCCGTGTCACCAAAATGATTGTATTATGACAAGTCAGACAGCCGATAGCCAACAAAAAAAAAGGAAAGATATAAAATAGGGAAAATAAAAACAAAACACAAAAGGCAAGACAAAGTTTTCACTTTCTGTCCCTGAAAATTGTCAGACAACGAAAGGCATATGTATATACATATATATGTATGAGGCGACCTCCCTCTATCCGTCGGATTTGTCATCTTTTGTAACCAAATTGCGACCTTCGCCTTTGCCATAAATCTGCAGGGCAAGGCATATTATTTCCTGTTTCCTTTAATTTTTTCTTTGGCTTATGTGGCAATTGACGCTGGGTGTGTGACGTCATGAGAGGTGGGGGGCATTCTCTGAAGCCTGCCAAAACTGCTTGCAAAATCTAATTACCAAAGGACTTCTAAGTGCTGGTAAAACGGTTTCAAACACGACTGCTTGTATACTTTTCTCTGGGAGCAAGAAGCTGCTATTGCTTAAATATTCAACTAAAACAGCTCTTAAATATTTTTATACATTTTTTAATACTCAACCAAGCCTAACCCTTTTAAAAAGCACTCCACACTTATGATATTCTACTAGATTATTATTGTGTGATCTTTTAATTCTGAAGAGACAATATGTTAAGGCTAAAATAAAATTCTATGATTTTTTTAAAAATATATTTTTACGTGCCTAAATGACTTTTATAAACATAAACTTAAGGGAACGACCAAATCAGGTTAACACTTTTTGTATTTTATAACGTACAATTATCGCATTATCTTGGATTTGGTTTGAATTTAACAAGAATTAACAAAGCTTTTTTAATCAAATTAAATTTTTAAAAATGGTAACATTTTTGCTGTATTATCCAGAGTTTAAGGTATTTTAACTTGAAATTTTAAGAGGAAATTCTTAAAAGTTATTATCAAATCGAATCAATGATAAACAGAAATTCCTTTTTTAAATCAAAAATGGAAGGTTCCTTTAAACGAGCTGTCGTTTAAATCGTGAAGCATGAACATATCAATGGTTATTTATGTGTGGAGTGCAAGAAAGCTGCCCAGTTTTTTGTGTGTGTTTTTGAGCACTTGAACTTGTACTAATTTATGGTTGATTGTTTTGCAGTCGCCCAGCCGCTTGGAGACCTCCGAACAGACCACGGGCCGCCAGCTGCAGCGTGTCCTGCACTACTCGATGGCTCCTAGCCGGGCACTTCCAGGACTCCGGCGCGCCGAGTGCGCCATCCACGACGTTGACTGTGATGAGGTCTATCCGGGCATCTACATTGGCGATGCGTGAGTTGATCATTAACCCGGGATCATCGAACTACTCCCAATCGATTTCTAAAACTCTTTAATCCCCCAGTGCGGCGGCCAAAAACAAAACGTATCTGAGAATGATGGGCATCACGCACGTCCTGAATGCGGCCGAAGGATGTCGCTATGGTCAGGTGGACACCGGACACAGTTACTACCGGGATATGCCCAGCATTAGGTGAGTGCCAGGATCTGGGGCATTGAGATACCCAAGTGGTTGGCTGAACCGACAAGAGGCAACAACATGAACAATCGAAAGGAATGCAAATTCTCATAACTTTCGCTCTAAATTTGTTCATATTTTGTTTTCAATCGCACAGTTTACTTTTGATTTGATTTTGCGCACTCAATTTTGACACACATATGTACATATCGAAATTTCTTTGAAAAAATATTCCTGTTTTTCTTTCTCTTTTTTTTATCTTTTCTCCACAATCTCTGTTCCATATATTCACTTAAAATTCACTCATATTCATTATACATAATCACCTCAATTTTGGCTCAACTTTGTTGTTGCTGTTTGTTGTGTCTTGTGTGTTTGTTTGTCCAATAGACGCGGCCATAAGGATTGTGTTTTTAGGTACATGGGCTTCCCCATGGTCGATGCCCCAACGACGGACATCTCGCGCTACTTCTACGTGGCCTCCAAGTTCATCGACAGCGCCATCAGCAGCGGCGGTAAGTGGTGAGGTAATGGGTCCAGAGTAAGCAGCAGGGACTAATGGCACATTGTAAAGTCCTTCACCCTGGAAATACGTTCATTTAACAAGAAACTTTGATAAGCTACTATGCGTTTATTTACACCTTTTTATGTAGAAATAGACTAAAATGAAACAGTGGAAAGCATCGATTCCATTTATATTGCTTTCGTTTTGGTATTTGGTGACCCAGAAATAAGACTTCTAACTTAATTTTTTAGACCACTTTAAAGATTTAGAAAGATTAGACAAATATATATACATAGCTTTGCAAAAATAAGGTGACCCATACCTAAACATTTCGATCCATTTGGTGACCTATTCAAATGTAATTTTTAAGTGATTTATGTTATCCCTTATTAGAAACTAACTCTTTTTGATTGGCCATTAAAAGTTATCTGTTAAATGTTTTTGAAGGGCAGACATAACATGAAATAGGTTTTTGAACTACAGACGGTTACCAATTCTCAAAATGGCTTGAAAATTAGTTTTTACATGCTATCATCCCAGATTAAAAATATTGAAAAATCACCGGAGGCCCTTTTCACAGGCTTACTCTTGATCTTAATATGATCGTTCTACCGAGTTCAGAAAGGTTTAAGGATAAAGTACGAAAATGCTATAAAGAAGAGATTTAGATGTATACAAGCTTACCCTGGATCGTTTACTTCCAAAAGATTTCAATAATAGCCCCTACTAATGCGGTTTATTCTGCTCCCACAGGCAAGATCCTGGTGCACTGCCTCGTGGGCATGTCGCGATCGGCCACCTGTGTGCTGGCCTACCTGATGATCTGCCGGAAGATGTCGGCGGTGGACGCGATACGCACGGTGCGGATGAGGCGGGATATCCGGCCCAACGACGGATTCCTGCAGCAACTGGCCGACTTGGACATGGAGATCAAGCGCAAGAACCTGTATCCCTATTAATGGGTTGCAGTCGGAGGAGATTGAGGGGGCCTGAGATACAACCAAAGATCGAGAGAGGAATTGGGGGGCATGGTTCTTGAGAATGGATCCGGCAAACTAACCAAAAAAAATAAGAATATTATTATGAAACGAAATTGAAAATGCATATGCATATGCAAATGCATATGAAAATGAAAATCGTTGTTCTAAACAAAAATTGAAGCCTACAAAGCTAACGACTTATAATGGTAACTTGGTCTTCTGATATATAAACTGTTCATCCCCAAAAACTGTATAATCGCGGCATACCCATATTGTAGGACTAATATATACAACCAGACAACCAGACATCCAGAAGGGAATCAAGTTATCTCCACTATCACACACACTTAGAGACCTAGATTGGTAGAGCCACGATCGAAGCAATACGAGGCGATCAACCTATATACCTTGCCTATACCTAGACATACAGATTTATATACATGTATTCCGGACCCACATCTACATATGCGTATTTTTTGTAAGGCTCATCTGTGTTAGCGTTCTGTTCCATCCCCATCCCCATCCCCATTCCCATACCCAAACCTATCCCCATCCCTAAATCCACATCCATATCCCACATCCGACTCTTCCATCCCAAACATATATATGTCTACATATATAAGAAGAGCTGAAACTAGATCATGAACAATGTTTGCGGACACAAACGTAACCAGATGCATATATACTGATATATAACTGTGTAACGGATATACAGCATGCGTTATATACACCTATACCATATATATACTATATACACCAAGTGTGGACAATGTAATAAAACCAAATTCATATTTTCTAGAACATGTACGATGTTTAAGAGCAGACGAAACAAATAACTAAACAAAATCAAATGAGCAGAACAAGTAACTAAAACTATACTTAAGAAGTGATTAATAATAAAAACAAAAGAAAACAAAACAAAACATTATCGTTTAAAAATCTATAAAAACCATTGGATTTTAAAGCGTTTAAATTTTTATGCACTTGGGATTTTAGTTTATTTGCTCATTTAAAAATGGAATGCAAATAAGTCCTTATTGTAAATTAAGAAGTTTTTAATTTTTTTTTTTTTGGTAGTGGTTTCATACAGAGGTTTTAATAGTATTTCCATTTCCTTGATTTCTTTAAAAAAAGAAAATGTTGTTTCCTGTTTTTTTGGGTATACCGGTACTTCTAAGCCCATATCTTTTTTACAGACATCCGAGTTAAAAGTGGCATACTTCTAAATGATTGTGGTTTGATTCTCTAAAAATCGGTGTATTCATCTTGATCTGAATTTTGGGGACGATTTTTCGTAATTTTAATGACCCCTTTCTAAATTTTCGAAAAATGGCTTTGCAGAAAACGACCAAAAACCTGAACTTCTAAGCTCATAACTTTTCCTGCTGACATCCGATTTTAAACGATATGCCCAAATGATTTTGGTTTACTTCTCTAAAAATTTGTGTTTTCACGTTGGTTTTTTTTTTGCCCGATTTTTCGTCATTTTCAAAAATCTTACCCCTATCCAAATTTTCGAAAACTGGCTTTGCAATAAAGTGACAGCAAACCTGGACTTCTAAAGCCCATAACTTTTCGTACAGATATCTGATTTCAAAATGGCATATTTCTAAATGATCGTGGCTTAACTCTCTAAAAATCTGTGTCCTTAGCTTGTTTTGTATTTTTGGGTCGATTTTTCGTCATTTTGTATATCCTTGGAGAGCGTATTATTATTTCAGTCAAAAGCTTGCAACGCACATAACCGAGCCCATGAAGTATATATATTCTTTATCATTCATTTTCTTGTCCGATTTTGGGCAAACTGGTCTCTCAGACTTAAAAGTATTGGGATGAAGCTTTGGGAAAAAGTCTTTTTGCTGTTGCAGATAGTATATAAGTCGGAACCGGACCTATCGACCTACTTTATCTATAGCTCCCATAGGAATAAGCGGGAAACAAATCGCTCGATTATTTCATATAGCTTCCGTAGATTCGATCAAAAAGTTTTATCAGAAAATCGACCTAGTTTCATTGTTTTTAACCATTGAAATCGAAATATAGAATATTTAATTTTTGGAACAGCTGAATTGGTATATGCACTTAGGCTTGCCTTTCTATTTTTATTTACTTTGAATCTTAAGTCTTAATATTTTCTCTAATATTTGATTTGCTTGAGAAAGCAAACAAAAAATCGGATACTTATTTTAATGGGTTGAAACACTAAAATGGTTCCAGCTCTTAAATCACTTCGACCTCTTGGTGAAGTGTGAAAGAAATTGAATTCGATCTCCCCCGTTTTCCCATTTTCCCACCCGTTTTCCCACCGATGGTGTTGTGGGGTCCGGGCATTAGCTGCGCCTGCTAAATGCCTGGAAACACCTGCAGAGGCATCTTCTTATCGGGGTTCTGTGGTCCAGAGGGCTGCCCGGCTCGGTGCGTAATTAAAACAGATGATATTGGCTACCTGGAACTGGGGCTGCTAACCGCATAGTTGACCCTAATTTGGAACTATCAATAACTGAGGCGAACTGATCCAAAAAAAAAGAACGCAGAGGAGAACCCAGCGGAGTCACCACAAGATGGCCCAACAACAAGATTTCGATCGTGCGCACAGTCAAAACAATAAAATTAATGTCTCCGCTCGGGTTCACGGGGTTCATGGGGTTCACGACTGGGCCGGGATCAGCGGGTGCCACTAAGTGATCATAGATCCCGAAATGGAATTCCACTAAACCCTAAACAGGTAGCAGTTGTTAAAAGTCGTTGAACAACAAATGGAACAACACCGTGTTCAAGGTACGAGCACTTCCAGCGGTCACTTCTACCGGACTCCACATCAGTCGGTTTAGAGTGCACAAATGGACCTTAGATGCCATACTAGCCCAAAGGAACTTGAATTTGGCTGATACGATATCTATGAAATTTGGTATACGGGGTGCTAATACATGAAAATGTTTTATAAATAGTAAATCAATGCACTGTGTGTGGCAGTGACTATTGGACTTAGGTTTTGGGATATCTAAGATAAATGTGCATGCTAGTGTTGAGCCTTAGTGACCTTTAATATCGACAATATTAATGAGAATTGGTATGTATATTGAAACCGTAATACCTTATAAAGTTCCTTAAAAAAATGAAAAGTAAAGCTTCGAATAAATAAATTTCCAAAGATTTACCTTCATAAGCTAGTATCTTTGAATTATTATATTTATTAAACATGTAACATGTATTGTAGATGTAATTAAAATTTATATATTATATTCGTAGAGGAACTCCATATATATCTGATCCGGTCAAATGGCAAAAGAAACGATGTCCAGCGGCGATTATCGTCTCATGCGGCTCACTTTTTTTGGTAGTGAGGATGACTAAACTAGTTTTTTGCTTTCCCAGGCCCGACTTAAGCCGCTAAAAATCATTTTTCAAAGCCCACACTTAAGACCCGCACTTACGGCTGAACAGCTGGCCCCCCGAGCCCTGATATCATGTAGTCCATGTATATATATCCCTCTGCTCCAGAGGGTGACACATGTTTGGGACTCGGAATGGAGTGTGGGTAAATAGATGAGGACTCTATGCACATGAAACAATTATTATTATTAATAAGTTAGTTTTGCTCCACGTGCCACCCTTTCTGTTCCCTCGTTCTGGAATTGCGTTATAAGATTAAGCATGAAAAATGTTACGAATTTTCCTCTCTGATAATTAATCTTCATCTGGCTGGCGCTATGTTCGCCTTTTCATGTGTGGAAGTGTGTAAGGGGGAGGGGGGTTCGAAGGATTTCGCATGCAAAAGAGTTAAATAATTATAAGTACACACACTACTCGGGCGGTGGTGGTGGATGGCTACCCTTTGGTACACAGAAATAAAAATGTGTATTTACTCAAGGAGTTGTTTTAAGAGACTGTAAATATAGCCTTGTTATATTTTTCTATGATAAATGCAAAGAAAGGTTTTGTTATAGCTTTTTTATATTAACAAAGCAATTTGTTATAAGTTTAGTTTGAAAAGTTTTTGAAATGCTCATATAGCAAAAGCATTCCCTTTTCTATTAAAATAATAAATTTTAATTTTAAAAGAGCTATTGATAGTTATTCATGTACATTTGCAGGCACCAATTTACATATGGAGTTGATACTTAAATACAAATATTTATATATATGAAAAACCATTTAAATACTATAAAAAAGACACATTTGAAAGACAATAAGATATTTAAAATTCAGAAAATACCTCCAACATGTCGATAAACATTTTCCCTGGTGTATTTTCTACTCGGTGGTTCCCCTTCGAATTGTCCTTTTAAGCTCTACAAATAGTTGATGGCCGAGCAGCTGTGTCCTGGCGAATCAGGAGCAGATAGATTGCGATGGTGGGTCCAGGATTCCACTGGCACAAGGGGAATTACCTTGTTACGGGTTTGTTTGAGCACCTGCAATTGTTTACGAAACCTGCATACATGGTGTTATGTTATTTATATCTTTGCACTCACAGATATCCATTAATTTGTGTGTCCCTCATATAGGGTCAGTTTTCAAGCTTTTGCGTGAAGTTTCTTGTTTATAGTATAGTAGTACATATAGTATTAATATTTTAAATCATAGTTAATTAAAGTTACTTTAAAAATCATTTATATAAATTCAACTTTCTACTTAACTTTGAACCAAAAAAAGCCTATCATTGATACGAAAGCCCCGGAATAATCAGATCAAAGGCTAATCTCTTTTACTTCGGCTTTTGTCATCCTTTTCATTGACTGTCCCTTTTTTCCAAATAATTTATATATATTCTTACATTCATTTGCACTCAATGCAGAAGTGTGTTCAATTGAAAGCTTTTAATTAAATTTACTCATAAAATAATAAAAGTTAAGGAAATTCCAATTCATTTGTACACTCGAGCACTTTGTAAAGCGTCCATTTTTTCGAAATTATTAATGAGCTCAGGAGCTTTGGGAATACTCGTAATTTGAAAGGACTTACAGTAACTTAAGCAAATATTAAATGCATTTCGGGTTTTTCAACGGAAAGTGGGAAAATTCAAAAGGGAAAATGCCAGATGGAAGTGCGAGATGGGAATTTTGTGGCTGCTCGACGGAGTGAAAAACAATAAATAATGCAGCCAATTAAAACTTTGGCTGTTTGGCTTCAAATTCAACACCAACAGCAATAACAATGCATTGGGCAACAACAACAGAAACAACAGAAACAAATGAGCACATAACAACAAATGCAATAACAACTAATTGACAAACAACAGAAAATTGAATGCAATAAAGCACATGACATGTGGGTTAACATATATGTATGTACATACATATATACGGCACCGTTCCGATATCAGCTCAATATATTTATATGTGGATATGTATTTATGCACTTAGCCATAGATATATACACGAATGTGTGCGGATATATGCTATATGGCCATCTATCTGGTCGGTGTGATGTGATGGACAGACAACAATCAATTTAAAAAAGGGAGGAATAAAGAAATAGTAGATATAAGTCGAATGTAAGATACCCGGTACTAACGGCCAGAATATGAAATTGTAGTGATTTTATTTAAAATTTCATTTTTTGATTTTTCAAAATTTTATATATTTAAATGATGGATTTTTGGTGATTTTTAAGTGAAGATAAATTAATGTCTTAAACAAGAGGGTTTTAAAAATGCATTTCAAAAAGCAACCATTATCTTTTGGCAAATCTATAGTCCCTTCCCCATTAAAAGGGTATCGAAGGGGTAAAGGAAACCAGAAAAATCAATGCAATTTGACAGGAACAGGGCGACGCAGCAGCCATCTGACCGAGAAAAAGAAATAAAACCAGCTACGGGCCGTCCAGCCTCTCGGCTACTCGAAATTATTATTATAAACTTCTTCACTTTTAATGGAATTGTTATCAAAACACATTAAAAACGACAGACAAGCAGAATGAGTGAGTGAGTGCTGGTGGGAAGGGGTAGTGAG